AAAGGAGACAGGGGAGACAGACAGGTTAGACAGATAGTAAAGGAGAGACAGGTGAGATAGTTTAAGAAGAAACAGGTGAGAGAGTTAAAGAAGAGTCAGGTGAGACAGTTAAAGAAAAGAGAGGTGAGACAGTTAAAGAAGGGAAAGATGAGACAGTTAAAGAAAAGAAGGTGAGAACGTTAAAGAAGAGGAAGGTGAGACAGTTAAAGAAGAGACAGGTGAAACATTTAAACAGACAGATGAGACAGTAAAAAAGGAGACAGGGGAGACAGACAGTAAAGGAGAGACAGGTGAGATAGTTTAAGAAGAAACAGGTGAGAGAGTTAAAGAAGAGTCAGGTGAGTAGGTTAAAGAAGAGTCAGGTGAGACAGTTAAAGAAAAGAGAGGTGAAACAGTTAAAAAGGATACAGTTGAGACAGTTGAAGAAGAGACAGTTAAAGAAGAGACAAGTAAGAAAGTTAAAAAAAGAGACAGGTGAGACAGTTGAAGAAGAGACAGGTGAGGCATTTAAACAGACAGATGAGACAATAAAAAAGGAGACAGGGGAGACAGACAGGTTAGACAGATAGTAAAGGAGAGACAGGTGAGATAGTTTAAGAAGAAACAGGTGAGAGAGTTAAAGAAGAGTCAGGTGAGACAGTTAAAGAAAAGAGAGGTGAGACAGTTAAAGAAGGGAAAGATGAGACAGTTAAAGAAAAGAAGGTGAGAACGTTAAAGAAGAGGAAGGTGAGACAGTTAAAGAAGAGACAGGTGAAACATTTAAACAGACAGATGAGACAGTAAAAAAGGAGACAGGGGAGACAGACAGTAAAGGAGAGACAGGTGAGATAGTTTAAGAAGAAACAGGTGAGAGAGTTAAAGAAGAGTCAGGTGAGTAGGTTAAAGAAGAGTCAGGTGAGACAGTTAAAGAAAAGAGAGGTGAAACAGTTAAAAAGGATACAGGTGAGACAGTTGAAGAAGAGACAGTTAAAGAAGAGACAAGTAAGAAAGTTAAAAAAAGAGACAGGTGAGACAGTTGAAGAAGAGACAGGTGAGGCATTTAAACAGACAGATGAGACAATAAAAAAGGAGACAGGGGAGACAGACAGGTTAGACAGATAGTAAAGGAGAGACAGGTGAGATAGTTTAAGAAGAAACAGGTGAGAGAGTTAAAGAAAAGAGAGGTGAGACAGTTAAAGAAGAGGAAGGTGAGACAGTTAAAGAAGAGACAGGTGAGACAGTTAAAAAGGATACAGGTGAGACAGTTGAAGAAGAGACAGGTGAGACAGTTGAAGAAGAGGCAGGTGAGACAGTTAAAGAAGAGACAGGTGAGACAGCAACACACTGTAAAAAAAGTCACAGCCAAAACTTTCAACCACTCCGAGTTGGACCTCGTTGGCGAAGTTTGTCCTTTTTTCTGGACCAAGTGTGATGGTCACATAAATCAGACACATCCTGTCTCTTTGAAAAACTAGTCCATGTATTTGTCACCTCTCAGCTGTATTACTGTTATTCCTATTTATCATGCTGCACTAATAACTCTCTAAAGACTCCTCAGATGGTCAAAAACAAACTTTATTCTGGGTCATCAGATTTGTCCTCACCTCGCCCAGTTTGTCCAGTTTGATGTACGTCTCCAGTTTCCCAAAACCGATCTCGGACTGCAAAGACACGGACAGGTTTCATATTTGAGCCCTTCTTTGCCGTCAAAAACAGGAACATTATCAGATAGTTAGAACAGAGAGGGACACGATGCATGATGGACGTCTTTTTAAGAAGTGATGTTAGCATGGAGCAGCTGCTAGCTTACATTATCCGAAACTATCCAAATATCCCGTAGCTTTGTGAATGAAAAACCTGAAAATATAAACAGTGGGAGTGAAGGCATACAAACCAGGGAAACTCTGCGAAGCCGCCTGCTGATTGGCTGCTCAAACAGAGCCGGACCAATCACATTGAACTTCTCCAGGTAGCCGTCAGGAAGACGGATGTCAGCTGGCAAAGACAGACGCTTGTTTATGTCCTGAAACAGCAGAGAGGGAGACAAAGAGAGGACGTCTGTCTTTAAGGTGTGTGTGTGTGTGTGTGTGTGTGTGTGTGTGTGTGTGTGTGTGTGTGTGTGTGTGTGCACGCGCATGTGTGTGTGTACCTCGGTGGAGATCTTCTTGTTCCTCAGTCGGACTCTGACTGGACTCTGAACGTCGTCTGATGAAGAAGCTGGATCACTTTCACCATCAGAACTCATCTTTACATCCTCGTGAACGATCTCTGAAGGTGCAAAAACACAACACTGAAACACCTGGAAGTATTTGGGTGAGCCCTACGGGTAGTATGGTTGTATCATCTTTAATATCTGTGTATGTGTTTGCGGTGTATGTACCCAGGCGGGTGGTGTGGTTCAGGTACGAGCTCAGGCTGCGTCCAAGGTTCCGGGGTTTTCGTCCGTACGTCTGAAGAAGAGATGAAACTGAAGAAGAAGAACCTCGAACCTTTAAACCAGCAGATGAAGAAGAACCTCAACGAGACACCACCTCTAATGGGGTGAGAGACACAAGAGAAGGACGAAAACAGGTTGGATGTCGTTCAAGTCACATGACATATTTAACCGGATGTAGCTGCAAGACGGAGCCTCGTTGATTCTCCGTTTCAACCTGTCTTAAAAGTGAGGACCTCAAACTATATACCAGTTTTTAAATTGTGTTGATAGGCCAAATAAAACCAGAGTTATGATAAATTATGTCTGCGATACTTTTTTTCTACTTATTTTGATCACGTTCGGCGCTCGATCGCGCTCTATGAGACAGGAAAACATAGCATGCAGACATTAGCGACAGCTCTTACAGGCGGAAAAGACTTGCCAAAAGAAAAGAAAAAAACACACCACAACATCTCTCCTATTGTTGGAAAACTTCACCACAACAACCAATCCAAAATTATATGGTGACTGATTGACAAGGGGCGGGCGCTCGCGTTCTTCCTGCAACTTGAGAAGGGAGGGAGGGACTCTCAGCAGGGATGCAGTCTGGGACACGTAGTTGCAAACCTAGCGACTTTGTTGTTAGATTCAATGACTTTTCAGACCCCCTAATGACTTTTTTTTAGAAAGAAAGGGACTTTTATCGACTTCTTCTGGAGTTCTGGAGTTTAGAGACTCTGACATGAAGCAGGCTTTCCTTACTGAGGAGTTGGCAACGCTGCTAAGGGTGCAGAGCCACACATGCGCTCCGAGCTCTGCATGGGAGACTGAAGCTGACAGAGCTGCAGCAGTTAGCAGGTATCACCCTCAGATACCACCAGGGGTTCATGTTGAGGCATTTTCAGTTTTTTTTTTTTTTTTTTTGCCATATACACTGTCAGCACAATCTGCAGTTACACTAACAACTAGGGCCCTGGTGGGGCACTGGCGGGCCCGAGCCGTGTCGCGCCGCCCCCAGTGCGACCGCCTACCCCTCCCGATTGCGTCACACTCAAGGTCCAAAGATGGTGTGCGCACTTGTCTGTGGTCATTTACCATTATAATGAATGGGAGGCGCAGTTTCTACCAAAACGCTCGCTGCAGACAAACTCCATGTCCTTTTTGAAAAAAGTCTGGCCCATGAGTGAGGGCACAAACACAGCTAGTATATATCCAAATGGCAAGTTGCTCCTCCTTTCGGTTTTGCCGAGAGAGCGATGCGTTTGAGCCATTGAGCGATGGGCAGGAAAAACTTGACTTTTTCTCCAGCCATGGGGGCGCTCTTTTGGGGAGTAAAAATTCCTTCACAAATGTGTTGATGGCTGGACATTGCATCATCCTAGAAAACTTGGAGGCCAGTGAGCACAAAAATAAAAAGTTATAAGACTTTTAAAAATGTGGATATTTGGGTCCTCTTTGGCGCCCCCTAGAACGTAGACCGTGGGGTGCAGCGTCATGATTTTTACAACTTTGAATGGCCATGGGGTGTAGATTGGCCTGAGCAAATTTGGTGTCAGTGGGACGAAAGCCTTAGGAGGACTAAGCCACATTCCAATGTGTGCGAATCTGCAAAAAATGCGAAAAAGCCCTTTAACCGTACATTTTACAGATACGCGCGCATTGACTTTTTCGTAGATCTTATTGAGATGCACGTGATTGTCAAATTTTGTGTCAATATGACAAAGCGTACAGGCGTGACATTCAACAATGTGTATTTTCGCCTTGGGGGACAAGAAAAAATGGACTTTTTTCTCCTGCCATGGGGGGGCGCTCTTTTGGGGAGTAAAAATTCCTTCACAAATGTGTTGATGGCTGGACATTGCATCATCCTAGAGAACTTGGAGGCCAGTGAGGACAAAAATAAAAAGTTATAAGACTTTTAAGACTGTGGATTTTTGGGTTATCTTTGGCGCCCCCTAGAACCTAAACCGTGGGGTGCAGCGTCATGATTTGTACAACTTTGAATGGCCATGGGTTGTAGATTGGCCTGAGCAACTATGGTGTCAGTGGGACGAAAGCCTTCGGAGGAGTTAGCGAAATTCCAATGTGTGCGAATCGGCAAAAAATGCAAACTAGGGCCCCGTTGGGGCACTGGCGGGCCCGAGCTGTGTCACGCCGCCCCCAACACGACCGCCTCTCCCTCCCGATCGCGTCACACTCAAGGTTCAACGATGGTGTGCGCACTTGTCTGTGGTCATTTACCATTATAATGAATGGGAGGCGCAGTTTCTACCAAAACGCTTGCTGCAGACAAACTACATGTCCTATTTGAAACTAGGGCCCCGGTGGGGCACTGTCGGCCCCGAGCCGCTTCGCGCCGCCCCCAGCGCGACCGCCTCCCCCTCCCGATCGCGTCACACTCAAGGTCCAAAGATGGTGTGCGCACTTGTCTGTGGTCATTTCCCATTATAATAAATGGGAGGCGCAGTTTCTACCAAAACACTCGCTGCAGACAAACTACATGTCCTATTTGAAAAAAGTCTGGACCATGAGTGAGGGCACAAACACAGCTAGGATATATCCAAATGGCAAGTTGCTCATCCTTACGGTGTTGCCGGGAGAGCGATGCGATTGAGCCATTGACCGATGGGCAGGGTTAACTTGACTTTTTCTCCTGCCTTGGGGGATGTGGATTCTTTTAAGAATGTGGATATTTGGGTCATCTTTGTCGCCCCCTAGAACGTCAACCGTGGGGAGCAGCGTCATGATTTCTACAACTTTGAATGGCCATGGGATGTAGATCGGCTTGAGCAAATTTGGTGTCGGTGGGACGAAAGCCTTAGGAGGAGTTAGCCACATTCCAATGTGTGCGAATCGGCAAAAAATGCGAAATAGCCCTTTAACCGTACATTTTACAGATACGTGCCCATTGACTTTTTCGTAGATCTTATTGAGATACACGTGTGTGTCAAATTTTGTGTCATTTTGACAAAGCGTATAGGCGTGACAGTCAACAATGTGTTTTTTCACCTTAGGGGACAAGAAAAAATGGATTTTTTTCTCCTGCCATGGGGGGGCGCTCTTTTGGGGAGTAAAAATTCCTTTACAAATGTGTTGATGGCTGGACATTGCATCATCCTAGAAAACTTGGAGGCCAGTGAGGACAAAAATAAAAAGTTATAACACTTTTAAGAATATGGATATTTGGGTCATCTTTGGCGCCCCCTAGAACGTAAACCGTGGGGTGCAGCGTCATGATTTTTACAACTTTGAATGGCCATGGGGTGTAGATTGGCCTGAGCAAATGTGGTGCCGGTGGAACGAAAGCCTTCGGAGGAGTTAGCGAAATTTCAATGTGTGCGGATCGGCAAAAAATGCGAAATAACCCTTTAACCGTACATTTGACAGATACGCCCGCACTGACTTTTTTGTAGATCTTATTGAGATACATGTGTGTGTCAATTTTTGTGTCAATATGACAAAGCGTACAGGCGTGACAGTCAACAGTGTGAATTTCCACCTTAGGGGGCGCTATGGAGCCATTTTGCATTTTATTGTTTGGGCGACTTCAGAATATCGAATTTTTCACCAGGCCCGGTCGTCCTGCCAAATTTCATGAGTTTTCGCCAGTGGGAAGTGGGCCATTTTCCAGTTTAAAGCGGAGGAAAAATAATAACTAGGGCCCCGGTGGGGCACTGGCGGGCCCGAGCCGTGTCGCGCCGCCCCCAGCGCGACCGCCTCCCCCACCCAATCGCGTCACACTCAAGGTCCAAAGATGGTGTACGCACTTGTCTGTGGTCATTTACCATTATAATGAATGGGAGGCGCAGTTTCTACCAAAACGCTCGCTGCAGAAAAACTCCATGTCCTATTTGAAAAAAGTCTGGACCATGAGTGAGGGCACAAACACAGCTAAGATATATCCAAATGGCAAGTTGCTCCTCCTTTCGCTTTTGCCGAGAGAGCGATGCGTTTGAGCCATTGAACGATGAACAGGAAAAACTTGACTTTATTCTCCTGCCATGGGGGGGCGCTCTTTTAACGAGAAAAAACTCCTTCACAAATGTGTTGATGGCTGGACATTGCATCATCCTAGAAAACATGGAGGCCAGTGAGGACAAAAATAAAATGTTATAACACTTTTAAGAATATGGATATTTGGGTCATCTTTGGCGCCCCCTAGAACTTAAACCGTGGGGTGCAGCGTCATGATTTTTACAACTTTGAATGGCCATGGGGTGTAGATTGGCCTGAGCAAATTTGGTGCCGATGGAGCGAAAGCCTTCGGAGGAGTTAGCTACATTCCAATGTGTGCGAATCGGCAAAAAATGCGAAATAGCCCTTTAACCGTACATTTGACAGATACGCCTGCATTTACTTTTTCGTAGATCTTATTGAGATACACGTGTGTGTTGAATTTTGTGTCATTTTGACAAAGCGTACAGGCATGACACTCAACAATGTGTATTTTCACCTTAGGGGACAAGAAAAAATGGACTTTTTTCTCCTGCCATGGGGGGGCGCTCTTTTGGGGAGTAAACATTCCTTCACAAATGTGTTGATGGCTGGACATTGCATCATCCTAGAAAACTTGGAGGCCAGTGAGGACAAAAATAAAAAGTTATAAGACTTTTAAAAATGTGGATATTTGGGTCCTCTTTGGCGCCCCCTAGAACATAGACCGTGGGGTGCAGCGTCATGATTTTTACAACTTTGAATGGCCATGGAGTTTAGATTGGCCTGAGCAAATTTGGTGTCAGTGGGACGAAAGCCTTAGGAGGAGTTAGCCACATTCCAATGTGTGCGAAACGGCAAAAAATGCGAAATAGCCCTTTAACCGTACATTTTACTGATACGCGCGCATTGACTCTTTCGTAGATCTTATTGAGATACACGTGATTGTCAAATTTTGTGTCAATATGACGAAGCGTACAGGCGTGACATTCAACAATGTGTATTTTCGCCTTAGGGGACTAGAAAAAATGGACTTTTTTCTCCTGCCATGGGGGGGCGCTCTTTTGGCGAGTAAAAATTCCTTCACAAATGTGTTGATGGCTGGACATTGCATCATCCTAGAAAACTTGGAGGCCAGTGAGGACAAAAATAAAAAGTTATAAGACTTTTAAGAATGTGGATTTTTGGGTTATTTTTGGCGCCCCCTAGAACGTAAACCGTGGGGTGCAGCATCATGATTTGTACAACTTTTAATGGCCATGGGGTGTAGATTGGCCTGAGCAAATTTGGTGCCGGTGGAACGAAAGCCTTCGGAGGAGTTAGCGAAATTCCAATGTGTGCGGATCGGCAAAAAATGCGAAATAGCCCTTTAACCGTACATTTGACAGATACGCCCGCACTGACTTTTTTGTAGATCTTATTGAGATACACATGTGTGTCAAATTTTGTGTCATTTTGACAAAGCGTACAGGCGTCAGGTGAGTTTTCACCATAGGGGGCGCTATGGAGCCATTTTTCATTTTTTTGTTTGGGCGACTTCAGAATATCAAATTTTTCACCAGGCCCGGTCGTCCTGCCAAATTTCCTGAGTTTTCGCCAGTGGGAAGTGGGCCATTTTCCAGTTTAAAGCGGAGGAAAAATAACGAAAGAAGAATCCATCAGGAACAAGAGGGCTCTCGCAGCTGCTTAGCAGCTACGCTCGGGCCCTAATAATAATAACAAAAGAAGAATCCATCAGGAACAAGAGGGCTCTCGCAGCTGCTTAGCAGCTACGCTCGGGCCCTAAATAGCCCTTTTACCGTACATTATACAGATACGCGCTCTTTGACTTTTTCGTAGATCTAATTGAGATACACATGATTGTCAATTTTTGTGTCAATATGACAAAGAGTTCAGGCGTGACACTCAACAATGTGTATTTTCACCTTAGGGGACAAGAAAAAATTGACTTTTTTCTCCTGCCATGGGGGGGTGCTCTTTTGGGGAGTAAAAATTCCTTCACAAATGTGTTGATGGCTGGACATTGCATCATCCTAGAAAACTTGGAGGCCAGTGAGGACAAAAATAAAAAGTTATAAGACTTTTAAATATTTGGATTTTAGGGTTATCTTTGGCGCCCCCTAGAACGTAAACCGTGGGGTGCAGCGTCATGATTTTTACAACTTTTAATGGCCATGGGGTGTAGATTGGCCTGAGCAAATTTGGTGCCGGTGGAACGAAAGCCTTCGAAGGAGTTAGCGAAATTCCAATGTGTGCGGATCGGCAAAAAATGCGAAATAAACCTTTAACCGTACATTATACAGATACGCGCTCTTTGACTTTTTCGTAGATCTTATTGAGATACACGTGTGTGTCAATTTTTGTGTCAATATGACAAAGCGTAAAGGCGTGACACTCAACAATGTGTATTTTCATGTTAGGGGACAAGAAAAACTTGACTTTTTTCTCCTGCCATGGGGGGGCGCTCTTTTGGGGAGTAAAAATTCCTTCACACATGTGTTGATGGCTGGACATAGCATCATCCTAGAAAACTTGGAGGCCAGTGAGGACAAAAATAAAAAGTTATAAGACTTTTAAGAATGTGGATTTTTGGGTTATCTTTGGCGCCCCCTAGAACATAAACCGTGGGGTGCAGCGTCATGATTTGTACAACTTTTAATGGCCATGGGGTGTAGATTGGCCTGAGCAAATTTGGTGCCGGTGGAACGAAAGCCTTCGGAGGAGTTAGCGAAATTCCAATGTGTGCGGATCAGCGAAAAATGCGAAATAGCCCTTTAACGGTACATTTGACAGATACGCCCGCACTGACTTTTTTGTAGATCTTATTGAGATACACGTGTGTGTCAAATTTTGTGTCATTTTGACAAAGCGTACAGGCGTCAGGTGAGTTTTCACCATAGGGGGCGCTATGAAGCCATTTTTCATTTTTTTGTTTGGGCGACTTCAGAATATCGAATTTTTCACCAGGCCCGGTCGTCCTGCCAAATTTCCTGAGTTTTCGCCAGTGGGAAGTGGGCCATTTTCCAGTTTTTTTCCATTTTTCCAGGAACAAGAGGGCTCTCGCAGCTGCTTAGCAGCTACGCTCGGGCCCTAAAGAAACAAAGAAAAACCACTTGAGGAATAATAGGGCTCTCGCAGCTGCTTAGCAGCTACGCTCGGGCCCTAAAGAAACAAAGAAAAACCACTTGAGGAATAATAGGGCCCGAGCGTAGCTGCTAAGCATAATAACAACAAATAATGAACTTTGAGAACCATGACTAATTACAACAAGAGGGCTCTTGCAGCTGCTTAGCAGCTACGCTCGGGCCCTAAAGATACCACTAGGGCCCCGTTGGGGCACTGGCGGGCCCGAGCCGTGTCGCGCCGCCCCCAGCGCGACCGCCTACCCCTCCCGATCGCGTCACACTCAAGGTCCAAAGATGGTGTGCGCACTTGTCTGTGGTCATTTACCATTATAATGAATGGGAGGCGCAGTTTCTACCAAAACGGTCGCTGCAGACAAACTACATGTCCTATTTGAAAAAAGTCTGGACCATGAGTGAGGGCACAAACACAGCTAGGATATATCCAAATGGCAAGTTGCTCCTCCTTACGGTGTTGCCAGGAGAGCGATGCGATTGAGCCATTGAGCGATGGGCAGGGTTAACTGGACTTTTTCTCCTGCCTTGGGGGGGGGGGGGGGGGTGTGGATTCTTTTAAGAATGTGGATATTTGGGTCATCTTTGGCGCCCCCTAGAACGTAAACCATGGGGTGCAGCGGCATGATTTTTACAACTTTGAATGGCCATGGGATGTAGATCGGCTTGAGCAAATTTGGTGTCGGTGGGAAGAAAGCCTTAGGAGGAGTTAGCCACATTCCAATGTGTGCGGATCGGCAAAAAATGCGAAATAGCCCTTTAACCGTACATTTTACAGATACGTGCCCATTGACTTTTTCGTAGATCTTATTGAGATACACGTGTGTGTCAAATTTTGTGTCATTTTGACAAAGCGTATAGGCATGACAGTCAACAATGTGTTTTTTCACCTTAGGGGACAAGAAAAAATGGACTTTTTTCTCCTGCCATGGGGCGGCGCTCTTTTCGGGAGTAAAAATTCCTTTACAAATGTGTTGATGGCTGGACATTGCATCATCCTAGAAAACTTGGAGGCCAGTGAGGACAAAAATAAAAAGTTATAAGACTATTAAGAATGTGGATTTTTGGGTTATCTTTGGCGCCCCCTAGAACCTAAACCGTGGAGTGCAGCGTCATGATTTGTACAACTTTTAATGGCCATGGGGTGTAGATTGGCCTGAGCAAATTTGGTGGCGGTGGAACTAAAGCCTTCGGAGGAGTTAGCGAAATTCCAATGTGTGCGGATCGGGAAAAAATGCGAAATAACCCTTTAACCGTACATTTTACTGATACGTGCCCATTGACTTTTTCGTAGATCTTATTGAGATACACGTGATTGTCAATTTTTGGGTCAATATAACAAAGCGTATAGGCGTGACACTCAACAATGTGTATTTTCACCTTAGGGGACAAGAAAAATTGGACTTTTTTCTCCTGCCATGTGGGGGCGCTCTTTTGGGGAGTAAAAATTCCTTCACAAATGTGTTGATGGCTGGACATTGCTTCATCCTAGAGAACTTGGAGGCCAGTGAGGACAAAAATAAAAAGTTATAAGACTTTTAAGAATGTGGATTTTTGAGTTATCTTTGGCGCCCCCTAGAACGTAAACCGTGGGGTGCAGCGTCATGATTTGTACAACTTTTAATGGCCATGGGGTGTAGATTGGCCTGAGCAAATGTGGTGCCGGTGGAACGAATGCCTTCGGAGGAGTTAGTGAAATTCCAATGTGTGCAGATCGGCAAAAAATGCGAAATTACCCTCTGACCATACATTTCACAGATGCGCCCGCGCTGACTTTTTCGTAGACCGTATTGAGATACACGTGTGTGTCAATTTTTGTGTCAATATGACAAAGCGTACAGGCGTGACAGTCAATAGTGTGAATTTTCGCCTTAGGGGGCGCTATGGAGCCATTTTGCATTTTATTGTTTGGGCGACTTCAGAATATCGAATTTTTCACCAGGCCCGGTCGTCCTGCCAAATTTCATGAGTTTTCGCCAGTGGGAAGTGGGCCATTTTCCCCTTCAAAGGGGAGGAAAAATAAGAAGAAAGAAAGAAAGAAAGAAAGAAGAAAGAAAAACCTATACAGGAATAATAGGGCTCTACGCCCGGCTGCTCTGCAGCTGGCTCGGGCCCTAAAAACGTGCCCACTGATGTTTCTTTAGTCACTGTGTTTATAAACTTTGAAAACACCAAGGGCTCTATTTTGGTGCCTCGCCGGAGACCTGCCGCAAGCGCAGCGTCAGTCAGATCCGCCGCGCTGACAAGGCGTTCCCAAGCACATTTTGGTATTTTGGTGAGCCGCGCAGCCCGGCGTAAGTATCCCCCCTCCCTAACTCAGCTCCTCCCAGCACCATAAGTCGTAGACGGGGAGGAGAAAGGGCGGTTAGTGGGTTTAACACAGCCGAGACCTGTTTTCACCAATCACATAGGCTCCTCTCCTTGCCTTTAAATCCGCCACAGGCGAGGCGTATTACTATTTTCATGAAGTAGTCAAAGAGATCAAGAGATGTCTTAAGACAGTAATGCCACAAGATGGCGACAGAGGGCAGCTCCTCAACAAGTGTCCTCCACACTCTCTCATATGAGCACAGATGGATTTAGTGTGCGTAATGTTGGACCCAGTGGTAAGACAAACACCCTTTTCCACAAATAAAGACACTCACATAAAGTTGCTCATATTCAAACCTCACGTGACAAAGGTCGGTTGAGCGCACAGATCACAACATAAACTCCAAAAATGGCATAAAAATCGGAACCATCTGTGCGTAAATGACGCATCGCGCTCCGTGGCCTGGCTCTTTCTTTCATAGATGTTGGCATATAAAATAAATTTGGCTCACAAAACTGAATATTATAATATCCGTATGTCGGCTTAAAGTAGATAACGCATCTGAGCACTGAAACAAATCATCTTTTCAGCTGCAGCAGCAGCAAGATGGACAGAGGGCACGGAGACGTGTCCAGGTCGAGCTGTGCGAGAAATAAGAGGAAGAGGAAGAAAGAAAAGGAGGGAGACGAATTACATATCGAGTTAACTTCATCATGTGTGAATATTTACTAGATATTTAATTTAATTTGATGCAGTTTCAGCTGTGTTGATTCGGTCAGGTTGTGTGTCCAAACGCGTGCCAAACGCGCTCATCAGATCAGATATAGATCAGAATATATCTATATAGATCCAAATGTATGTGCTGACTCAGATTAATAGTTGATGATGATTATTTATTGCACTGAAATGTCCCTGACACTGTGGAAACCTGCCGGTGAGGCATCAGTGACGTATGTCGATACGCCGCTGGTCTACCAAAATACTACTAGACCAGCTGCGTTCCGCCTTGCGCTGAAAGCTGACCAGGTTTGAATCGGCGAGCTTTCAGCGCACTTTACACGGCGGTGGCGAGCACGAAAATGTCACTGCGCCTGCTGATTCTGTCGACACCTCCCCCTGCCAAACCACCACGCCCAGCTTGGCGGATCTCGGCTCACCTCCGTGCGGCTCATGCCACGAAAATACCAAATTGGCCTTGCGCTGGGCTCCGCCAGACGAAAATACAACTGCGCGGGGCTCGCCGCCCTCCGCCGCCTCTCCGGCGCGCACGAAAATAGAGCCCCAAGTCTTGTAATCGTTTGTGCATCGTTTATGCAGGTTTGTGCTGCAAAAATGTTAGTTTGTGCTGCTTTAGTTTTTGAGTTATCGAATATTATTGCAGTGGTCAAGGCAGTAAAGCAGTCCCCACATATCGTTCAAATTAGCTCAAAATGGTCTTGCACGAAAATGTTCGTGCCGCAAACATTTTCGTTTGTGCTGATTTACATTTTGAGATACTAATATGTTCAATTACGTCATGCAGGGGGGCGACCACCTTTCCGACATCCCGCCGTGGAGCCGGTGCTTGAGCAGGGGGAAGGAAAGAGACGCAAATTAACGCTGCTACTGTAATGTCTCAACTCCCACAAGTAGCAGAACACATTAATTGAACATCCCTTAACTTACTTGATGGACTGTCACCGTCCGCTTCTTGCAGCCTTTTCCCACAACTGCTGCAAAAGTTAGGTTTCCCCGGGAGCTCTTTGCCACAGTATCGGCAATACATCGTCAGCCGCGCTTCGTGTCTTTCCGGGTCAAAGGACAGACGAGTCGATTCGAGTGCTTACTTTCCCGTTCCGACATCAATCCAGCAGGTGGCAGTAGTACTCCACCCCCAGCGGAGTAAACTGCCATTAAACTACAAGAAGAAGAAGACAGACGATGCTGTCGTGTTTTTTTTTTTCGCGTTTGCATTTTCGATTTGCTTTTGTGTTTTCTTTTTTTGTGTTTGCATATGTGATTTGCTGTCGTGTTTTCTTTTTTGCGTTTGCATTTGTGATTTGCTGTCGTGTTTTGTGATTTGCAGTTGTGTTTTTTGATTTGTGGTTGCGTTTTCTCTTTTTGTGTTTGCGTTTTGATTTGCTGTCGTGTTTTCTCTTTTGTGTTTGCATATGTGATTTGCTGTCATGTTTTCCCTTTTCTGTGTTTGCATATGTGATTTGCTGTCGTGTTTTATTTTTTGTGTTTGCATATGTGATTTGCTGTCGTGTTTTCTCTTTTTTGTGTTTGCGTTTTCTCTTTTGCATTTGCGTTTTGATTTGCTGTCGTGTTTTCTCTTTTGCGGTTGTGTTTTGCACTTCCAGGCCACCGTATTATCCTCATCATCATCATCATCATCAGCATTATTATCACCAGGCGATGAAGAGTGAATTGACACCAGTGTTGAAAATGGACTAACTGTATGTACACATAAATACAGACTCCTCAGGGTTCCTCAGGGCTCTTCAGTTGGTTTCTGTGGTTTCAGTCTGAGCTCCTCAGCCCACAGTATCCAGAACCAGCCACACCAGGGCGCTGTGGCTTCATGGTGGGTTTCTGGTGAGCAGGATGGCAGCTGATGAGCTTTTGTCAGCTCAGTTGATTGTTCAGACGTGCTGAGGTATTGCTGGGAGGAGGGTGTGGAGCTTCACTCTGTTTTCTTAATGAAGATCTGAGGATAACTTTTAAGAACCAAATATTTGCTCATTTTCAATTCAGTGTCAGAAACATGTTTCTAAAACGTTCTCTATAACTGACATTAATACAGTCGAATAATACAGTCCTGTTAGTTTTGGTGCTACAGGATTGTGTCCACAGTTCAACCCAGATATGGAATATTGCGTTACAAACAGGTCCAAGGTTGTTGTGAGAATTGGGTCCTTCTGCATGATGAGCGCCAACCAGTGCCTGCCTTAGTTCCTTGTTTTAATCCACAAATTCTTTGGATGAAGTGGTAGGAGTTAGGCTTTACCTCTGTTACATACTCACCTAACCCCTCACCCTAACTCTAACCCTCAACCAATATTGGACCAGTCATGTTCAATCATTTTTCAATGTCACACATCTGCGTATCCATAGATTTGCCTCCCTGTAATCTGAGGACAATCAGTCAAGTCAAATCGACCTTCATAGCCAGAGTTACTGAACTCAATGCAAGATCCCAATCCCCAATGCATCCATGATATTTATACTCCACAAATACATTTACAAGGAGATTATATTTTTTATTGAATCTTCAGTTAACTTTAAACAGTGTTACAAAGTCATTATTTAAAGTACATCAGTAGATTAAAAAAGTCTCAACAATTTTATCTTTTTATTTTTTTAATTCTTTTCACACCAAAAGCCAAATGAAGTGCATGTGAGTCAATGTCAAGCTAGGACATTTGGTTCAAAGAAGTTAACTCTTGGTTTATTTTGAGTGACATTTGTTCCTTAAAAGACAAAGAAAAACCATATCGACAGAACATATGAATAAACTCAGATCGCTTAGAAAATAATGAAATGATATCCACCTGAAATTTTACAATCTCATTTAAGCATATAAACTCATATGATGTTCCAATAAATATGCACTTTAAAGGCATCAATGTATCGGTGGTGGTGTGTGATTTTTTTTTTGGGGGGGGACTCAGTGACTCAGAGAGTGTGTGGGGGGGGGGGTAATTAATCAGCTGTGTGATCACTGACAATAACTCGCTATTGCTTATGCTCGCCGCACTTATGTATACTCATATATATGAGTCCAAGGTGGAGCCACGTACGAAAAAAAACTCCTTTTAAAGGGGCCATGGCATGAAAAACTGACTTTGTTAACGGGAGGGGGGTGCATATCAGGGATAGAAAACCGCTACAATCCCCCCCAAGTTCGGAAAAATTCCATCCAGTCGTTTTTTGGTTATCTCCGTATTTAGGAACTGTGTGCTCAGAGCCGGCCGTTCTGAAAACTCCACTGACATGACGTCATGTCAGTGCTGGCAGGTTGATGGTACTGCCCATGGAGCCGCCCACTGCCCTGCCCCAAAAATTATCAAAACAGCGCCATTATTCCCGGCCGCTCGCTCGCATTGCTCCAGTTAGAACCATGGCGAAAGTACGATCTGAAAAAGAGGCAGCATTTGCTCTGTTGTTGGCTGCACAAACGAGCACAAAACTCTTTTGAAAACTCCCTCATTGGAGGATTTGAGGACTCAATGGGTGGATTTTATTTATAATGGGAATGTACCCGCGGCACTTCTAAAATATCTGTACGTATGTGCGTACCATTTCACTTCGGACTGTTTTATCAATGAGGGACAGTTCAACGCTGGATTTGCTAGATGTCTGAAGATAAAGAATGAATCCGTACCAACTATCCGTGATCCTACTAAAAACGTGGCATCTGTAGGTATGAACGTTTTATTTTGACTTACTGTTTAGCCTAAATTCCCCCCAGTGCCTCAACACGGCCACCACGCTTCGATAAACACACCGGAGCCGAGCCGGTTTACCGGATCCTCCCGTATTTTAGCCGCTCGCTTCTTCCCCGACAACACCTCCGGCGGAGGACAAAATCCCCCTCCGGAGTAGCATGTAGCTTTAGCATTTACCCGTGCGGCGACGCACCTCTTTTGGCTCAAATACGGGACGTCCCAGCTAAGCGTGACCCTCCTGGCAGCTTTGAATAATACATAGGATGTGTCGACTAGGTCACTTCAAGTCGCGTTTGGTCTGAACGCGGCTAAGAGTTTCTTCCGGAGCCTCTCCCTCTGGGTCAGACTTTGGCTCAAACTGGTAGGGTTGTACGAGCGATCTTCTTGCAGCCATGACCGAGCCAGTGTAAACATTAGCACATGGCTATCGGAGCACAGCCACAGCCCCTTCCAGAGAGATGGGTGTAAAGTGGACGTGGCTTAGGTGCAGCTCATTTCATTAAAGAGACATGGCCCAAAACGGAGGATTTTGAGCAGAGCTGTTTTTAGCTGATAAAAAGAGCACTAAAATAATTGATCCAAATCAAATTTTGACCGAAGGACGTCACAGACATGCTTTTAACACACCAGGGGACTATTTTAAGTTGTGTGAAATTGGCATGCCATGGGATCTTTAAAGGTGTAGGGCTTTTCTTTAGCTATGGCGGTGCGCCATCATCAACTGTGTAAGGATGCCTAGCCTATGTTAACAATTAAAAAAATGGAAGGTCCACACGAATTATCATTTTGACAAGCTTTACTGGTTGCAGATCTGGGTTACAGCGTCATCATGCCACAAGTGTACCACCAGTGTCACCTAAGTGTAACACAAGTGTAACCAAGCGTAACAAAGTGTAACAAAGATTGGTCTGAGACTTTTCAAGTATATATAGTCGTGCACGTTTCCAAACATACCGCTTGCATCTTGTTGACCTAAAGGAGAGTCCATATAAGGTAATAACAAAGCACAACATATTTTGGGAGCCCAAGTGATGTTAAGCATGGGTACAAGGTCCTTGTTGAGGATAGTTGTCGGAGGCCTATGGCTCCAGAAATCTACCAAAGTATCTGATGTATTTGAGTGACACAGCTCCACCACTCTAAAGGCTGACATGACTGGTTAAAGAAAATCCCCCTAACAAACTGCATGTAGGGGAAACCCTGGGAATGTATGAGGACCTATCAATAGGGTACTGGGGTACTAACATCTAAAAAGTACCAATCATGAGCACAAAGCCATCTATTTTTTGTCTGTGTTAATATTAAACCAAACCAGCTTCAACACACATCTGATAGAAGTGACCCCGTAGATGGAGCAGCTGAGAGGGGGAGTCAATCTCTGCAATGGAGCCCTGGTCCATCACAATGACCCTGTGAAGATACATGTGACTCATAAGAGGAGATACTTACTCTTCATAACAGAGATGTTAGAATGTAAACAATTATTCAAACTTAGAACAAAAAAAACTAGAAAACCACATGAAGACTTTGTTCCTATGGGTAAGGAAACACAGCTACTTAGATGTACCTGCTGTAATCCATGATGGTGTTTAGGCGGTGAGCGATTGTTAGGATGGTACAATCATCAAACTGCATACGAATCGTCGACTGAATCAGCTGGTCTGTCTTCAGGTCCACAGCAGCTGTGGCTTCATCAAGAACCAGAATCCTGGTCTTTCTCAGCAGTGCTCTGGCCAAACACAGCAGCTGCCGCTGACCGAGACTGAAAAGACAAAAATCAATTAAACTTCATCTTGGGTAAATGAAAACTAAAACTAGAAATATATAGCTTTACATGATGACAGACCACTTAAAGCCACCCACAGAGTCTGAATGTGAGGTCAAGAATAAAGAATTGGCCTCTGTCATCAGATTTTAATCTGATTTTTTTTTTTTTTTTATAAAATAAAATGATCATTTTATGGGCCGATAAAGGACATGTATCATAGATTCCTGATAAAAGTTGAATTTGTTCTAATCTGTTTGATTTCATTGAAGTAGAATCAGAAAACAAAGACAAAAATGAGTCAAAATATGACAGAGTGATTCTCTGTTGTCTTCAGGTAAACCTGCTGCTGGTCTGTTTTGTAGTTGGATCTACCTGAAGTTCTCTCCACCTTCACAGCACTGATGGTTCAGTTTTTGTGGCAGTGTGGACACAAAGCTGCTGAGATGAGCCAGTTCCAGAGCTTTCCACAAGTCCTCATCTAAGCAGGAATCAAATGGGTCTAGATTCATCCTCAGAGAACCTGAAAACAGAACCGGGTCCTAGGGGAGAACAGAACCACATCCTAAAATGTCTAACTGAGACTCACAGTAAATATTAATGTTATCACCAGCTGTAAACACACGATGCTAGAGTAATTAGAACTATTTCCTGCCTGCTGTATGGAGCAGATATCTGAAGCTCTGACCTGAGGAATGATGGTTATTCTGGAGCGGAGATCATGAAGGCCAATCTGAGAAATATCGATCCCATCAATGATGATTCGTCCGTTTGCTGCCTCCAGAATCCGAAAGATTCCTAAAGCCAGAGATGACTTCCCAGCTCCTGTCCTCCCAACAATCCCAATCTGTTGAGAGATAACAATTTATTGACAAGGCAACATATATTTATGACATCTTTTTTTTTTTTTGTAAAAGATGTTCAGAAACAAGTCCATGGGCTCTATTTTCCTGCCTCGCCGGCAACACAGCAAGGGCGTAAGTCAGGTCCGCCACGCCGACACAGCATTCCCAAGCACAATTTGGTATTTCGGTGAGCAGCGCAGCCCGACGTAAGTATCCCCCCTCCCTAACTCAGCTCCTCCCAGCGTCGTAAGTCGTAGGGAGGGAGGAGAGAGGGCGTGGAGTGGGTTTAACACAGCCGAGACCTGTATTGACCAATAACATCAGCTCCTCTCCTCACCTTTAAATCCACCGCCGGCGAGGCGTATTACTATTTTCGTGAAGTAATCAAAGAGATCAAGAGATGTCTGAAAACAGTAATGCCACACGATCGCGACAGAAGGCAGCTCCTCAACGAGTGTCACTGTAAGTGCTTCAGAGGGCGTCCTTCACACTGTCTCATATGAGCACAGATGGATTTGGTGTGTGTAAGTTTGGATCCACCAGTAAGACAAACACCCTTTCCACAAAAAAAGACACTCACATAAAGTTGCACATATTCAAACCTCACGTGACAAGGGTGGGTTGTGCGCAGAGATCACATCATAAATTTCAAAAATGGCATTAAAATCGGAACCATCTGTGCGTAAGGACGCATCGCTGTGGCCTGGCTCTTTCTTTCATAGAGGTTGGCATATAAAATAGATTTGGCTCACAAAACTGAATATTATAATATTCGTATATGTCGGCTTAAAGTAAATAACTCATCTGATCACTGAAACGAATCATCTGTTCAGCCGCCGCAGCAGCAGCTGCAGCGGGACGGGGACAGGACACGGAGACATGTCCAGGTCCAGCTGCTCGAGAAATAAGAGGAAGAGGAAGAAAGAAAAGGAGGGTGGCGAATTACATATGTTGTTCACTTCATCATGTGTGTCTATTTACTAGATATTTAATTCAATTTAATGCGGTTTCAGCTGTGTTAATTTGGTCAGGTTGAGTGTCTGAACGCATGCCAAACGCGCTCATCAGATCAGATAAAGATCAGAATATATCTATATAGATCTAAATGTATGTGCTGACTCAGATTATTAGTTGTTGATGATTATTTATTGCACTGAAATGTGCCTGACACTGTGGAAACCTGCCAGTGAGGCATCAGTGACCTATGCCGATACGCCACCGGTCTACCAAAATACTACTAGACCAGCTGCGCTCCGCCTGCGCTGAAAGCTGACCATGTTTGAATTGGCGAGCTTTCAGCGCACTTTATACGCTGGTGGAAAGCACAAAAATGTCACTGCGCCCGCTGATTCTGTCGACACTTCCCCCTGCCACGCCACTATGCCCAGACAGGCGGATCTCAGTGCGACTCAGTCCACGAAAATACCAAACTGGCTGTACGCCGGGCTCTGCCAGACAAAAATACCACTGTGCGGGGTCCGCCACCCTCCGCCGCCTCACCGGCGAACACGAAAAGAGAGCCCCATGTGTCAAAAAATCATGACAGCAGCTATAAAACCTGTTATAAAAATTTTTCTACTTGAAACATTTGGGTTTGACTTTTCAATTTTACAAACATTAATAATCGACTCTTTGCAGACCTTTTCTTTGTCCTGTATGCTGATGGAGATGCCATCTAAGGCCCAGTCCAAACCTTTACGGTACTGAAGGCCATAGTCTTCAAACACAATGTTTCCTGTGGTGGGCCAGGCTGTTGGCAGAAAACTGTCTTCTAACGTCCAAGGTGCCTGAGGGACAAATGCAGCCCCCCTCACAAATCATGTTAACAGCTTTCGAGCTAAAAAAATATGTTTGAACATGGATACTGTGATGATACAGGAGAAACATTTCTATAAAGAAGCTATTCCAATTGAGCAGCAGACCTCTTTGGGCATGGTGTCGTACTCTTTTACTCTTTCCACTGAAACTATGTTGTTCTCCACGTCAGTCCAGGATCGAACAATCCAGCTCAGAATTCCTGTTACCTACAAAAACAGAAAAGTTTATAAGCATCGTCACTGATTTCAGGAATTCCTTGTTGTCCTGAGGAAACCAGGAGAACAGATTTCCATCTGTGACCAGAGACTCAAGCTGTTAGGAAGTGACGTCTTGGACTTTGTCCTCAGTTTAATCCAGACCCTTCCTGCTGCTGAGGAGCCTGTAGCCCCCTCTATGAACAGGAACACAAAGGGGACAAACTGGTCACATATGGGTTCATTCCTCTCTCTGCATTTCACTCCAAACCTAAAATCATGGACCTGATCAGCTGATCCTCAACGCAATCGACTAAATTTTCTCAACAAAAAAACTGGGTAAAGGAGAAGCGCCTGCCCTGAAGGAACATTTGCAGCTGGGTGGACTCCTGGGAAAAGTGAAGGGTCGTGTGCCTGTCGATTCTTTCTGTTGAGGAAGACGTCTACATAATTCGAATTATGATAACAGGCACCAATGCTCCTCTCCTGGATGTTATGCAGAATGTTGCCACCCCCCTCCTCCAGTGAACTTTGTTTCTGGATCAGAACTCTCCAAGATTGTCTCCTGTTATCAGACGGCTGAGACATTTGGGAGGGACTGAGGTGGAGACAATGCCACAGGCTTACAAATACACATACACGAAGAACAATCACACACACACACACACACACACACACACACACACACACACACACACACACACACACACACCTTTGAGTTTTGTTGTCATGTTTTTATTTACTATGTTGCTTATGTGCTGCAGTGTTTTTCCCTAATCCCACATTGTGTCCCTCTAAAGCCGCGTTCAGACCAAACGCGACCTGACGCGACTTGGCGACGGCTCCCACTGCAAAGTCTATGGCCAGCCGCGACCTGACGCGACTTGGCGACCGCCGGCTTCCTGCGACGCGACCATGCGCGACCGGGCGACCAGGTCGCGCATGGTCGCGCATGGTCGCGTCGCCGAGGTCGCAGGACGCCAAGTCGCGTCGCTCCCAAAGTTCAAATATTTGAACTTTGGGAGCGACTAGCCGCGACTCCGTGCCGCGACAGCCAATCAGGGCTCTGCTGACGTCAACAAACCGGTGAAGCAAGGAGGAGGAGGGGAAAATCAAAAATCAAACAATGGAGGAACAGCTAATTACGGCGGTAAGCTTTCACCCGGTCCTGTACGACGTGGGGTGCGGACTGTACCGGGACCGCACCTCCAAGGACGAGGCATGGGTGAAGGTGGCCCATGATGTCGGGCTTTCTGGTAAGTTTGTTTGTGTATTTATTTCAGTGAGCGGACAGTTTTATGAAAACATAGCTAACTGCCCCTGTATGCTAGGCTACATGTTTCAACGTATGTGTGTGTGTCTTTGCAGTGGATGTGTGCCGCAAGCGGTGGAAGGGGCTGCGGGACGTTTATTTGAGGGAGAAAAGGAGGGAGAAAGAAGGCGGGAGAAGCGGGTCGGTGGCCTCCCAGCAGAGGAAGTGGCGTTTCACTGCGGTGATGTCCTTCCTCGACCCCTTTATTGCCCCGAGGGACACGTCAAGCAACATGTCTCGGGAGGTCGAGGAAGACTTCACCGCAGAAAATGCTGCTTCTTCTGCTGGGATGCCTGAAGACCTGGAGGAAGCAGGCCCCTCAGGAGTGGAGTTTGACGGTTGGTTGATGAGTGAAAAACATAGCAAATAAATTTGAGTCCCCTCATGGTTTAAACACACCATTGTAGTCTAATTTAAGATGGACAGATCAAGTCATGCACATGTAATGTGTGAACATTTTTTATTTGAATAACAATGTTGCCTGATTGCAGAGTTTTGATTTCAGACATTTTTGTCACAACTTTAACTAAAGATAAGCCTGCTCCCTCTCCTGCTTCAGCTCCCTCTCCTGCAGCAGCTCCCTCTCCTGCCCCAGCTCCATCTCCTGCTCCAGCTCCCTCTCCTGCCCCGTCAACTTCTCCTGCTCCCTCAACTGCGGCAGGTGATGCCTCGGGCCCCACTGCAGCCAGGCCAAGAGGTATAGAAATTAAATATTAACCATATATTCAATGAAATTGCTCAAGGTCACATAGAAATTATAAAACAAATAGTAACCGATTAGTTTTTTTTTATGACAGGGAGGAAGAGGAGGACGCCTCCCTCCTCACGACTGGAGGAGATTTAGGAGCTCCTCTGTCAGGCCCTGAGGAGGCAGCAGACTCCCCCTCCACCACCACCACCACCACCACCACCACCACCCACACCTCGCTATACCGAGGAGGAGCATTTCCTCCTAGGCCTGGCTCCTTCCCTCGCAAGGCTGTCACCCCAGGCTAAGGAGCAAGTGAAATTTCAAATTTATAAATTAATTTTTGAAGCTCAGGATTTGACACAGAATTTGGAACCAGTGGAACCTTAGCTGGGGTGACAGCCTCGGGGGGGAACGAGCCAGGCCCCTCTGTTTCAGCCATGCCCCCCCCCATCCAACTTGTAAATTTGTGTATATAGTTGAAATTTTTTATTGTATTATATTTTTATATCTGCTGTTGCAGCCGTTCAAAAATTTGTTTTATTTGTTGTTATAAAAAGTACTATTATTGTTACATTATTATTGTTATATTTGTTGTTATAAATATTATAAAGTTTTCTCAACTTTGCCTTGTTTCCTTCTTTAACATGCAGTCATGAAGTAAAATAACTAGGTTGCAGTGCTTCGATGTATAAACTTTACTTAACCCTTGTGCACCCCTTAAAATGTAATGACACCGTTACTGTTGTCTGGGCTAACAAATTAATAATAATAATACTGATCTTGTTGAATGATATGGACTTATTGGGTCTGAAATAAAGTTAGTAAATAGATAGTTAGATAGATAGTAATTTCAGCATGTAGGTAATCTGTGTTTGAAATATTACCATCTTGATCATGTCATGTTGACAATAGTTTGTTGACACAAAAGAAATGGCAATTGCATATCACTTTCACCTACACAGGACACTCGTTAGCTTTCAATTAGTACTTAGTTTTTTCACTTTACATTAATTTCCATATTGTATAAGGGACTGGAAAAAAAATTGAGCCCCTGCCCCAGTATAATCATGTGCATGTCCCTGTACTGGCTCCAAGGTTAATCTTCACTGCTCATGTTGTCCTCAGAAGCACTCACCTCACTCCCCTCAGGTGACTGTACATGCAGCAACTGCCTGCTTCAGGTTTAGATGGCGCTTCATGGTTGTGTTTTGGAGAAATGACCAGCCAAGTTGTGTTAAAAATTTAAATTTTTCTAGGGCAAAAGGAAGCCTCCGCATTCCTATCGGATATGTAAATAGCATGTTTTTGCAGGTGCATAAAAAGGGTCTGTGTGTGTGTGTGTATCTTGCAGTACTCTGAGCAGAATGAGAGGCAGGACACAGACACAGTTATGGAGACATTCTTGTACATATATGTAGGACATTTGCTCAACAGTTGTTTGTGGTGGCTCTGAAAAGAACCGTTGTGGGGGTGCAGTGCACTAGATGGAATCCTGCCATGAGACTGCTCCTTCAGCTGAGAAGTGCTCGGTGAAGGACTGCCTGACTGCGATGGCCTCCCGGGACGGGTTGTTTGAAGCGACACGTCCCAGCCCTGCCTGAGGCTCCTCACCACCTGTGATGGCACCCAACCCCATGGCAGCTTCAGGCTGAGACCTTCGCAGGAAGTTATGAAGGACACAGGTGGCCTTCACACACTTCTCTGCAACATCTGGAGAAACCTCAAGGGCACGTCGGTACATCCTCCACTGAGTGGAAAGAATGCCGAAGGCATCTTCAACCACCAGCCGCGCCCTGGACAGCCGGTAGTTGAAAATGCGCTTCTCTCTGGGGAGGCTGCGCCCTGGATACGGCCTCATGAGGTTTCTCCGGAGCGGGAAGGCCTCATCTGCAACAAACACATGAGGTTGGGGTCCCCTGTGTTCAGCTTCAGGCAGTGACCGATCCGGAGGCAGCTGGAGGGAGCCAGAACGTAGGGCCTGACCAAACGCAGAGTTGGCCAGAATCCCCCCGTCACTGGTCCTCCCGAAGCCTCCGACATCGATCACTCGGAAGCAATAATTGGCATCTACAACTGCCAAGAGAACAATAGAAAATGTTCCCTTGTAGTTATAGAACTGTGATCCTGAATTGGCAGGAGCCTTCAGAACCACGTGCTTCCCATCCACTGCACCACAACACAAGGGGAAGTTCCACCGCTCCTCAAAACCCTGTGCTATGGATCTCCACTCATCACAGGTGGGCACAGCCATGAAGTCCTCCACCAAGCACTCCCAGATGCAGGACACGGTGTCTGCCACGATGCCCGACACGGTGGAAACTCCAACCCGGAAGCTGTATGCAATGGTCCTGAAGGAGTCTCCAGTAGCCAGGAACCTAAAGCACATAAAAATTAATTTCATTACAAATTTTATTTAAAATATGAGGCCATATGAAATAGAAACGTAACCGAAGATTTGAGTGTCCATAAATCCTCTTTGACACAAACATTTATGCTAGCACCCAGTGTATCTGGTCATTTTAAAGTAATTGATTTCCAGGTAATTTTTTTACAGTATGTATTGAATGTGTTAAGGGTAAAATTTTTCAGTGTAACTTCTTACTTTACTGAGTGGATCAAATAAAGGACACAGACCAATCCTGTTTACTTCTTCAGCAGCACCTTATCAGTCTGATCAGATAGGATTATTTTCACAGGAGTTATATTATCTGTCTTTAGTAAATTGATCAGATTCACAGAATTTCTAAATCACATTAGTGTGTGCAAGAGAAGTTTTATTTTGACTGGATATTAAAGGACAGAGGCAAAGAGCAGCTCACAGGAGGAACTCAGTGTACAGAAAGCTGATAAACGTTGCAGTTTTGCCTTATTTGCCCAGTGTATCTGCTCATTTTAAATTAATTATACTTGATTATACTCACCGCAGACAGATAGACAGGCGCTCCGAAGCTGGAATGGAGCGCCTGTAGTTGGTGTCCTGGCGGGAGATGCTGCTTCCCACCCGGGCGAGGAGGTCCTCAAACTGCGCCGTCGACAAACGGAAATACCGCTGGAAACGGCCATCGTCGAGGCGGAGCTCCTGGAGCAAACGGTGATATTCACCCAGCTCCGTCCTCCTCCGGATGGTTTCATGCACCCATACACGCCGGCGGCGTCTATGTCGGACATGAAGGTATGCGGCAGCACAGGTCACGATGTCGTCCATCTTCAACACTGGTCGCACTGAAAACTGAGCTACTGACGTTAACGTGATGATGTCATCGGCGACCAGCCGCGACCTGCGACCTCCGCGACTGCAGCTTTGGACCCGGTGTTGACACACCAGGGCACCACGCGACGCGACCTGACCGACCAACGCGACGCGACGCGACCTGGTCGCGTTTGGTCTGAACGCGGCTTAAAGGATCAGACTCTGGAGTTCCTTTTTTTCCCCTCTTCATCCCTCTTCATCCCTCCTGTTCTCCTTTTTCTCAAAAAAAAAACGGGGCGCCAGTCTGTTCCATATGTGCCTGTCCACTTTATGATTCTTGGACAGGATGAACTGTAAAGCGAATTTCCCCTTGTAGGACTAATAGAGGACTCTCTCTTTCTTCTGTTAATGTCTGTACTGAAGTAGGAAAATAACTTAAAATGCTAACATTTAAGAGCAAATAGTCAAATGTTCTCAGAGAATATTTACTCCCCCTGAGGAAATGTAAAAATTATAAAGCTTTCTATTTAAACAAAATTACTCTGAGAGAAATAAAACTCTATTATACATCTTTTCCAGTTTGAAACGATTGGGCAGAAAGTGATTAAACAGGAACAGATTATAACTTGGAGAGAGTGTGACACTGCCAGTCCAACGATGCCAGGGCTGAGTTCATCCCGACCTCGCACTGACAGGATGGCTGCAGCCAAAACCAACACGTTCCCCAAAAACTCCAAATTCACTGCCAACCATCTGAAAGAGAGAAAACACAACATTCAAAAAGTTCACAGAATTATTATTTAAAACAAGAGAAGGAAGGAAGACATGAGTGTTTAAGGTCCTCCAAGTCCATCATGAACTTTCTACAGTCAGCGATGATCTGACGTGCCATGTCATCTGCTGCCTAAAGTCTTTAACAAGGTTTTAGAGACCTTCATGCTTCATCTGCTGAGAAGTTTTATGGAGATACAGATTTAGTTTTCCAGCAGGACCTGGTACCTGCTCCCAGTGCCAAAACTACCAGAAACTGGTTTCCTGACTGTGGTTGATTGTCAAGCAAACTGGTCTGACCTAAACCCCATAGAGGATCTCTTCTACAGGACTTTCTACATTTCTGAGCTGCACCTGAAGTTGTTTGTCAGATATTGACTGTGAGGAGGAACAGCAGTGGACTAAGGATGGTTCCTTGAATATCAACACCTCTTCATTTTGTAGAGGATAAACTGATAGTTGTTGCTACATCACTACAAACCACATGGACACAGCATAACCCTCGTGTGATTTCAGCGGCCTGAGTGAACCTGGTAGCGACAAAACGAGGAAAATAAGCCTCTTGGTTGTGGTCAACATGGACGTTAGCTTGCAGGATGAAGCGCTGCTGTTCCCCAAAGGCTCGGATGACCACGGCACCTTGCACAGTCTCGTTGAAGTGACTATAGATTGGTGAGCGACTCACTGCCTCAAGCCTTCGCAGCTGACATGATGAAGCCACGTAGAAACTCTGCATACCAGGACCATAAAAGGTTCAAACAGTCAGCTTCAGCTGATCTCAGAGAAAGCAGAGTAACATTAAGAGGAAATATTTACCTGTATGAAGATGTAGACAAAGGTAAGGGGAAGGAGCACCAGTCCTGTAAAGGGGGTGGCTAACAAAAGAATGATGCAGACCTCCAGAAGCTTGAACAAGTAGCCCAGCATCATCTTCAGACCATCAGGAATCATGCAGTCAATGGCGTCTATCTCTTTAGAGAAGCGGTTCAACAGGTTTCCGCTGGGCGTTACCTCAAAAAAAGACACAGGTGAATGCAGGACGCTGTGCAGAAGATCAGCATGTAGGTGACATGATGCCACAATACCAGCCAGAGCAATGGCAAGTGTTGTCCCAAACATGGCCATCCCTAGAACCAAGGATACACAAAACTAGTTTAAAGGTGCTGGTACTTTACGGAGCTCACAGACAGATTATTAACATGTTTACTGGAGTCAAACTTTAAAATAGTTTCAGATAGAGATGTAACTGACAAATTAAATTCAAGCTGTCAGTCACATGTCTCAAAAAACACAACTAAGTCCCTCTGCTCTTCTGTACTCGAACTATGCAGAGCTTCTCAGCTTTCAAAGCAAAATTCAGGCTCCACCCCATAGAAAGTTTATCCGCCACTTTGCTGCTCATGCTGACCCTTCTGCTCCTTTTATTGCTAACATTTCATGTTCAAAGGTTATACCAAAAAAGTTGCAGTCAGACACACACAGAGCTGATAAAACTGATTCTGATGTCAGCAAGACCCCAATCTTATGCTGGCCTTCGGGACAATGACCTGCCTCAACCATTTAATGAAACTGACCTCCTGATCTAGGGTACAAACCCCCTGATCTCAGGTCCTGACCCCCCTGATCTCAGGTACAACCCCCCTGATCTAAGGTACAACCCCCCGATCCAAGGTACAACCCCCTGATCTCAGGTCCTAACCCCCTGATCTCAGGTTCCTAACCCCCTGATCTCAGGTCTAGACCCCCTTATCTAACATGCTTACCTACCTAGATTTATTCTTACTTCTTTCAAAACAGAACAGGACAGTTGAGGACCACGTCAAGCTGCTGTCTCTCAGAATAATAAGGCTGGTTTTTGCTTCACTGTGGTTGTTAGGATGAGCGTTAAGTCTCATTGTTTTTAGGTCTATGTCCTTAGTATGCTGTTTACCTGACACAGGTTATATTTTAGAGTAGAACCTCAGCATCCAGCATGACTGTTTCTTAGCGTGACAACAAGATGTTGAATTCAAGGTATTAGATACAGTAACTGTATAGATGGTATGAGTAACACGATTTGACATTTGAACCACCTTGAATACTATTTCCTGTATCTCTGTCTGTCTCTGTGATGACCTTTGACCCACCCTGCGTGAAGCCCAAAGCAGCAAACACACTGAGTCTCAGCTCGTGGTGACTCTGTGTGCCATTGACAGGTGGCTCATCTGCCCACAAGCTCAGCCAATAACTGTAGGCCAACGAGGCGGCCTGCTGGAAGGCACAGAGGAAGATGATGGTCATGATGAAGGTCAGGCCGATGGTTTTAAAGTATTCCTGGTACACCTGAAGCCTTACCTGTCCATGGAAAAACACACTGATAAAAAACTGACCACATAATGGAAGACATGGTTTTCTGTGCTTTATTGACTCATTTTGAAATACAAAATAAATTTTCCTGATTTGTTGTTAATATATGGTAATTTGAATACTTGTATACATGTATGGAAAGTTTCAAATCAGAAGATAAACGTATTTCGTTGTAATCTGAGATAAAAGATGTATACTGCTCAAAACATGGGACTTGCTAAAATGCCTGAGTCAGCGTTACAAAGTTTCTCCTAACTGAGCTTCAAGCAAAGTTGAATGGCCTGACTCCAATAGAGGTGTCTCCAACAGCAGAGCAGGGTGACACAGAGGGGGTGGGGCCAAAACACTGAGCTCTGTGCTCAGCCAGCATCCAGAAAGCCTCCTGAGAGGTGGCCAATCAGAAGAGCATTTACCTCGGCTCTAAAATCTGCTAAAAAGACATTTTACAATGCAAAGATCTGTGCTGTAAATGAGGTACATAAACTCTTCTCTGCTTTCAACTCTGTCCTTCAAACCCACAACCCTTCACTATTTTGCCTCGTTTTTTACTTAAACGTCGCCTCCATCACTAATCAATTTTCTGAGTCTGACCAACTCAGCTTTCTGTAAGTCCTCTCTTAGTTCAATCTCCCCACTGTGAGGGCGAAGTCACCAGGCTTCTGCTTGCCTCTAAGCCCACAACCTGTCCGCTTGATTCAATACCCTCATAAAAGGGCCCTACATACATCATCAACTCCTATCTATCTGCTGGAGTTTTCTTTGCTGTATTCAAGCAAGCAAGGATCAGACTGGTGCTCAAAAAACCCATGCTCAACCCAGACCAGAGGCCTGTACTACGAAGCTGGATTTGGTCTTAGCAAGATAACTTCTGGATAACTTCTGGGTTTTCCGTACTATGAAGGTGGATCTCTTTTTATTCGGGTCCTTTGCCCCAGTAACTTACGCGGAATGCCGAACCTGCTCCGGAGCAGGTTATGTCTCAGGATAAGATCTCAGCAGGTATACAAGACCGCCAAATGACCAATCGGATCTCTTGGAAAATGGCTTGCCCACTTTTGCCGGATCCCGGGGGCATCGTTGCATGGAAAGTGAGAGGAGCGCTTCGCCAAGAGCATTATATTCATGATCGTTCAAATCTGTTTGATCTACCTGATGACGTTCTCTATGAACATTACAGGTTTTCCTCGGACAGCCTCAATATTCAGGTAGTCTAAGCAATGCACTAACATTTGCCAAGCTCCAGGTTCCAATTTCATGCGGCATATCAGTCATCATTCAGAATTTATTGAAGCAGATTAGAAAACTCGTAACCCCAAATGTGTCTGCAGATGACGTGACCATCAGATGATGGAGAAAAAAAGAAAAAAGGCAGTGGGAGGAAATCACTGTTTACGCGTTGAAATATGTACTAATAAAATCTTCCAATAAACCTACAAACTACTTTAAAGGATGTTTTTAGATTCATTTTTATTTGCTCCCACGTACTCTTTCCCCCACTGCTGTAAGATCTGAAATAATGAGGTCAATAATGTAGGTGATCACACACGCTGCATGACAATATATTAGGGGGCCATGTGAACGCACATGTGTAATTTACACATGTGCAGCTGTCCTGCTCCTCACTGTTATAATATTGCGGTACTCCTTGTATTAGCATAAAAAAATGCTCTGTTCCTCGGCTGTGAAAAATGAAGTGCAGCCTTCTCCATTGTGGAGATCGGTCCGGTGGCACTGACCCCACCCCCTTTAAGTGTGCGCGCACAGATCTGAAGTGGCCACACCTGGATTCATTTATCGAGTTGATAACCGGCTTCGTAGTAAAGCTGATCGGGATCGCGGAGATCCGGTGAAGTTGAGCGAGTTGTCGCAGAGTTACCCTGGATGTGTTAATCCAGCTTCGTAGTACAGGCCTCAGGTTGATAATTACAGGCCGCTCTCACTCCTTTCATTATATACAGAAAATTCAAGAGCTCACAGTCTTCAACCAGCTCTCAGAATACCTGCACAACCATGATCTAGTTGATCTGAATCAGTCTGGCTTTAGGCAGGGCCATTCTACTGAAACTGCACTCTTGTCAGTAACGGAATCGTTGTGTTTGGCTAAAGCAGATGGTCCGTCATCAGTTGGATCTGTCTCCAAATCCTCCTCGCCACACTCTTTTCATTTGGTATCATAGGATCTGCCCTCCAGTGGTTGAGGTCCTATCTCACAGGGAGATCTTTTAGAGAATCGTGGAGAGGAGAAGTGTCCAATATAGTTATCAACAGGGGTTTATCAAGGGTCAGTTCTTAAGGTCAGGACTTAAAGAGACAGCAGCTAAAACAAAGTGTTTCAGATGGGGGCTGAAATAATTATAATTTAATACACCAGAGTGAGAAACAGGAGGCAGATTATGATCTGAAAATCATGATAAGATATTTAATAGGGATCAGAGAGAAGATATAAAGTCTAAAAGAAGTATAATTTTAAAGTAATATTAATAATTTTAAAGTAGATTTGTGAACAGGACTCACTCTCCCTGTCCGAGCTTTATCAGCTTCTGTAAGTTTCCCAGCATCCAGATCAACATCCTCCATCATCTGAACACTGTTCATATCACAACTGCAACACAATTATGAACACACGTGTGAACACAACTATACAAACACAAAGAAAATACTGTAATACTGCAAGGCCTGTTAAAATTCACAACCTTTTATAAAGAATTGTAACTTCAGTGTTAGTAGTAGTTTGTGTTGTTGTTTATATGGTCACCTCAGTGTGTAGTTTGTGTTGTTGTTCATGTGGCTAGTGTTTGTGTTGTTGTTTATAGGGTCAACAAAGTGTGTAGTTTCTGTTGTTGTTTATGAGGTCAGTTTGTGGTATGTGTTGTTGTTTATGTGGTCAGCTCAGTGTGTATTTTGTGTTAGTGTTTGTGTGCACAGTGTGAAGTTTGTTTTGTTGCTTATGTTGTCAGCTCAGTGTGTATTTTGTGTTGTTGTATATGTGGTCGGTGTGTAGTTTGTGTTGTTGTTTAAGTGGTCAGTGTGTAGTTTGTGTTGTTGTTTATGGGGTCAGTGTGTATTTTGTGTTGTTGTTCATGTAGTCAGCTCAGTGTGTATTTTGTGTTGTTGTTTATCGGGTCAGTGTTTGTGATGTTGTTTATGTGGTCAGTGCATAGTTTGTGTTGTTGTTTACGTGGTCAGTGTGTATTTTGTGTTGTTGTTTATGGGGTCAGTGTGTTGTTTGAGTTGTTTATGTGGTCAGCTCAGTATGTATTTTGTGTCGTTGATCATGGGGTTAGTGTGTATTTTGTGTTGTAGTTTATGTGCACAGTTTGTAGTTTGTGTTGTTACTTATGTTGTCAGCTCAGTGTGTATGTTGTGTTGTTGTTTATGGGGTCAGTGTGTATTTTGTGTTGTTGTTCATGTAGTCAGCTCAGTGTGTATTTTGTGTTGTTGTTTATCGGGTCAGTGTGTAGTTTGTGTTGTTGTTTATGTGCAGTGTGTACTTTGTGTTGTTGCTTATGTTGTAAGCTCAGTGTGTTTTTTGTGTTGTTGTATATGTTGTCAGTGTGTAGTTTGTGTTGTTGTATATGTTGTCAGTGTGTAGTTTGTGATGTTGTTTATGTGGTCAGTGCATAGTTTGTGTTGTTGTTTACGTGGTCAGTGTGTATTTTGTGTTGTTGTTTATGGGGTCAGTGTGTTGTTTGAGTTGTTTATGTGGTCAGCTCAGTATGTATTTTGTGTCGTTGATCATGGGGTTAGTGTGTATTTTGTGTTGTAGTTTATGTGCACAGTTTGTAGTTTGTGTTGTTACTTATGTTGTCAGCTCAGTGTGTATGTTGTGTTCTTGTATGTGGGGTCAGTGTGTAGTTCGTGTTTTTGTTTGTGTGGTCAGTGTGTGGTTTGTGTTGTTGTTTATGTGGTCAGTGCGTTGTTGTTTATGTGCACAGTGTGTAGTTTGTGTGGTTGCCTATATTGTCAGCTCAGTGTGTATTTTTTGTGTTGTTGTTTATGTGGTCAGTGTGTAGTTTGTGTTGTTACCTGATCAGCTGTTCCTGAGAAAGGTCGATAGAGAAATCCGTCATACTGAGTCGAGACATCGACTTCCTGCTTCCTGCCAACCAAAAACACACAATAAACATTTCCAAACGCACACTATCCTGACTATGTACACAGATGGTTTCACACACACAAACACACACACACACACACACACACACACACACACACACACACACACACACACACACACACGCACACAGAAATGAGCAGCAATCATAATTGTACATAAAAACGAAAAAAAGTGTTTTAGTGTTATAGTTCATGTGAGAACAGACCTAACCCCCATCTCGGATCAGGGTGACTTTGAATCTGTTTGTATCTTTGACAGGAAACTCGCTTATGTTTGGGTTCAGGAACTTCACCCCTTCACTTGGTAGCAGGTGAAAGGGTGAAGTCATAAAGTAAATAAATTCATAAAGCAAATATATCCATAAAGTAAATAAAGTCATAAAGTAAATAAAGTAAATGAATTAATAAAGTGAATAAAGTAAATAAAGTCATAAAGTAAATAAAGTAAATAAAGTAAATAAAGTCATTAAGTAAATAAAGTCATTAAGCTGCTTTGATAGAGGAGGAAATGGGTGGAGCTGGTCAACTGCAGGGTTATCAGTGGATACATCAACGGGTCATTTTCAAACCTATACTGAAGCAAAATGCTTCATGACCCTAATTTTAACAACTCCTTTGAAATAACAAGGAACCTTACATCTTTATTCGCATAAATTAAGTCTATAAAAAAACTCTCAATATTACCCTCATACTCCTTCATACAAAACAATAATTGTATGAATTTTGTGCAGATAATCTGTACAGTCCTTCAAGTCAGTCGTAACGCGAGCCTGTGGGCGGGAACACTTGGTAACTCAACCAGGAAATCCTCTGAAGGGTAGACTGTCCCAATTCACAAAAACCGGACCACCTGACCCAGGGTACTCTAGTCCACAGAACAGCAGTGTCCTCAGCTATTTTCAGACCCTAAATTGAGACATAGGGCTCTATTTTCATGTACGCTGGTGAGGCGGCGGAGGATGGCGGACCCCGCGCAGTTGTATTTTCCTCTGGCGGAGCCTGGCGTACAGCCAGTTTGGTATTTTCGTGGACTGAGGGGCACCGAGATCCGCCAAGCTGGGAGTGGTGGTGTGGCAGGGGGAGGTGTCGACAGAATCAGCGGGCACAGTGACATTTTCGTGCTCGCCACCAGCGTATAGAGTGCGCTGAAAGCTTGCCGATTCAAACCTGGTCAGCTTTCAGCGCAGGCGAGTGCTGGTCTAGTGGTATTTTGGTAGACCGGCGGCTTATCGGCATACGTCACCGATGCCTCACCGGCAGGTTTCCACAGTGTCAGGCACATTTCAGTGCAATAAATAATTGACAAAAACTAATAATCTGAGTCAGCACATACATTTAGATCTATATAGATATATTCTGATCTATATCTGATCTGATGAGTGCGTTTTGCACGCGTTTGGACACACAACCTGACCGAATCAACACAACTGAAACCGCATTAAATTAAATTGAAATATCTACACACATGATGAAGTTAACAAGATATGTAATTCGTCTCCCTCCTTTTCTTTCTTCCTCTTCCTCTTATTTCTCGCGCAGCCGGACCTGGACATGTCTCTGTGTCCTCTTCCCGTCCTGATGATTTGTTTCAGTGATTAGATGAGTTATTTACTTTAAGCCAAATACGGTAAAGAGCCAGACCATGGATGCGTCATTACGCACAGATGGTTCCGATTTTAATGCCATTTTTGGAATTTATGATCTGTGTGCACAACACACCTATGTCACGTGAGGTTTGAATATGTGCAACTTTATGTGAGTGTCTTAATTTGTGGAAAGGGATGTTTGTCTTACTAGTGGGTCCAACATTACACACACCAAATCCATCTGTGCTCATATGAGAGAGTGTGGAGGACGCCCTCTGCAGCGACACTTGTTGAGAAGCTGCCTTCTGTCGCCATCATGTGGCATTACTGTCTTCAGACATCTCTTGATCTCTTTGACTACTTCACGAAAATAGTAATACGCCTCGCCGGTGGCAGATTTAAAGGTGAGGAGAGGAGCTGATGTTATTGGTCAATACAGGTCTTGGCTGTGTCAAACCCACTCCATGCCCTCTCTCCTCCCTCGCTACGACTTACGCCACTGGGAGGAGCTGAGTTAGGGAGGGGGGATATTTACGCCGGGCTGCACCTCTCACCAAAATACCAAATTGTGCTTGGGAACACCTTGTCTGCGCGGCGGACCAGACTTACGCTGCGCCTGCGGCACGTCTCTGGCGAGGCACGAAAATAGAGCCCATAGACTGTTTATAGAATAGACGCCGTCTGCCTCCTCTTGGGTGAAGCCTTCCTGAGAACAGCACCCTCTGGTGACAGGCTGCAGTTAAGGTCATAAACCCCACCTCTGAACTATCTGAACTGATCAAAGTTTTCACCAACTTTCTAAATATAAAATCTTCAGTTCAAAGTTTCCGGGTTCGTTCAGCTCACTTCAGACCTCCTCCAGGTTTGTCCATCTGATAAGTCTCAATTTGAGTCTAAAAATTCGTACCCCTGTCCTTGGGTGTGGGGAACTCCCTACGCTGGTTTCCACTGAAGGTGTGGATAAGTTTGGCAAAAGCTCCCTTCCTCTCCATCAGCTCCATGTAGGAGCCCATCTCAGAGATCTGACCCTGGTCCATCACCAAGACTAGATCCACTTTGGACAAGAAGCTGAGTCCATGAGTCACCAGCACCCGGGTCTACAAACAGAAAAACAAACATCACAGTTTAAAATGTTCATGTGTTGGATTAGAACTGAATAGTAAAAACACATGTTATTAGATTAACAGCTGATCCACATTATTGGAATAATGACGTTCAGATTATTAGTGGATTCCCTAAAACCAAAAAATAAGCTGTTAACTTCAAGTCATGATACAAATATCCCCTTTGGTATGGAAGTACCTTAGGGTAAAAACCCAATGCTTCATTAATTACCATGACAGTGGGGGGTAAAATATGCTAATTTCATGAAAAAAATGTACGTTTTAACAGGGTAACTTAACCCCCCCACCCCTCCCCCTAAACTGAGATTTACTTTTCCTTGGGCATGGAAGTACCTTAGGGCCATAGGGAAAAAAAATCCAAAAATACAAGTTTGATCACCCTTCAGTTTTTCTTATAGACATCTTTAAAAAAGACCACCGACAATAAACTACTATTACACCAGACCCCATATTTTCGCTTCTGTGAGAGCTACAATAATAATATTAGTGTCAAAGTGTACATTTCTGGGGTCAAGGAATCCATATGAAAAGGTCTCCAGACTAAAAAATATATAGTCTTCTCATTACCCTCACAATGGGGGTAAAATATACATATATAATGAACAAAGTAAGTGTCAAAAAGATGACTTTTAAAATGCCCCCCTAAAAAAGAAAGAAAAGAAAAATGGTACAACCTTTTATGTACTCTATGTGTCTCTGTCTGATCTGTCTGGATGACTGCTGAGTGTTACACCTCTTGTAGCCAGTTGCTGCCACAAAACATGAATTCTATACCAGGGTCTGTGACAGCTGGATGAAATCAGAGGTGACAGAAAATCTGAGACACTTTGAGGTTCAGTTTGAGGTTTGTATTACTTTCCCATTTAATACAGAACATTTTAATGTTGTTTAAATAACTAACTAGCTAGCTAGCTACTTGCCAATTAGTTAGTTAGCTTTCTATTTTTTAACTTCACTCTATTATTGAATTGCGGTAAGTATAATGTTACTAACTACCTGTAGTTAGCTACTTATTAGCCAATATCATCAACAAGCACAACATTGATAACTACCTATAGGTAGGTAAATAGTTAGGGACCATCAAAGGCAATGGCACTGGCAGCATTCCATGCTTTAACAGGGTGGGACACCACCTCAGCTTTTTTTGGCAAGGGCAAGAAGACAGCCTGGTCTGTGTGGCAGTCCATGCCTGAACTGACCTTGCCTCTTCAGCTGCTCTCTGGCCCTAGCCCTACAACTGAGATGATCAAAACCTGCACACCCATACTCCAGAGATTTGTCCTGAAGCTGTATGGTGTGTCCGAGGACGACATCAGGACTGTGGATGCTGCTGAACTCTCCCTTTTCCTTCACAAAGGAAGAGACTTTGATCACATGCCACCAAGCAGTCATGCACTCCATCAGCACCTCCTCCGAGTAGCTTATCAGGTAATGATATAAGACAGCCATACATATGGGAATACTATTTCAATGTCATAAAGTATATCACTGATCGTAATTTTCTTTACATAGTGGACATGTTTGGGGCAATATGCTGGTCAAAGAAGCTGCTACTGTCTAACCCTCACAGTGGGGATGGCAGCAGGATTCCCCAGACAAAGCACCCACACCTCTGTACACTACTACTGCAATTGTTTCAAGGGACTTGCCAGAACTCATTATTTGCAACCCTAGCCCCATAACCTAAAACCCGGGTATTACCTTCAGGAAGCCCGAACACCCCAAATATTTCTTTTTCATTTTACAATTTTTTTTTGGGTGTAACTAACTCCATAAGGTCTGAAACATGTTCCTAAAAAGGTTTTGGATAGTGATTTTAACCCTAACGCCAAAAACATTAAACCTTTCCCTAGCCCCATAACCTAATACCCGGGTATTACCTTCAGGAGGCCCGAACACCCCAATTCTTTTTTTTTTTCATTTTATATTTTTTTTTTTTGGTGTAACCAACTCAAAAGGTCTGAAACATGTTCCTACAAGGTTTTGGACAGTGATTTTAACCCTCACACCAAAAACCTTTAACCTTATCATAGCCCCATAACCTAATACCTGGGTATTACCTTCAGGAAGCCCGTAAACCCCAAATATCTTTTTTTTTTATTTTTCTTTTTTTTTTTGGTCTTACTAACTCCAAAAGGTTGGAAAAGAGTTCCTACAAAGGTTTTGGACAGTGATTTTAACCCTAACGCCAAAAACCTTGAATCTTACCCTAGCCCAATAACCTTATACCCGGGTATTACCTTCAGAAAGCCCGAAAACCCCAAATATTTTTTTTCCTTTTTCATTTCTTTTTGGTCTAACTATCTCCAAAAGGTTGGAAAAGAGTTCCTACAAAGGTTTTGGACAGTGATTTTAACCCTAATGCCAAAAACCTTAAACCTTACCCTAGCCCCATAACCTAATACCCGGGTATTACCTTCAGGAAGCCCGAACACCCCAAACATTTTTTTTTCATTTTTCATTTCTTTTGGGTCTAACTAACTCGAAAAGGTTGGAAAAGAGTTCCTACAAAGGTTTTGGACAGTGATTTTAACCCTAATGCCAAAAACCTTAAACCTTACCAAAGCCCCATAACCTAATACCCGGGTATTACCTTCAGAAAGCCCGAAAAACCCAAATATATTTTTTTCATTTTTCATTTCTTTTGGGTCTAACTAACTCCAAAAGGTTGGAAAAGAGTTCCTACAAAGGTTTTGGACAGTGATTTTAACCCTAACGCCAAAAACCTTAAACCTTACCCTAGCCCCATAACCTAATACCCGGGTATTACCTTCAGGAAGCCCGAACACCCCAAACATTTTTTTTTTCATTTTTCATTTCTTTTGGGTCTAACTAACTCGAAAAGGTTGGAAAAGAGTTCCTACAAAGGTTTTGGACAGTGATTTTAACCCTAATGCCAAAAACCTTAAACCTTACCAAAGCCCCATAACCTAATACCCGGGTATTACCTTCAGGAAGCCCGAACACCCCAAATATTTCTTTGTCATTTTACAAAAATTTTTTTTTTGGTGTAACTAACTCCATAAGGTCTGAAACATGTTCCGCAAAAGATTGTGGACAGTGATTTTAACCCTAACGCCAAAAACCTTAAACCTTACCCTAGCCCCATAACCTAATACCCGGGTATTACCTTCAGGAATCCTGAACACCCCAAATATTTGTTTCTTTTTTTTGGGGTCTAACTAACTCCAAAAGGTTGGAAAAGAGTTCCTACAAAGGTTTTGGACAGTGATTTTAACCCTAACTCCAAAAACCTTAAACCTTACCCTAGCCCCATAACCTAATACCCGGGTATTACCTTCAGGAAGCCCGAACACCCCAAATATATTTTTTTCATTTTTTTTTTGTTGTAACTAACTCCAAAAGGTCTGAAACTTTTTCCTACAAAGATTGTGGACAGTGATTTTAACCCTAACGCCAAAAACCTTAAACCTTACCCTAGCCCCATAACCTAATACCCGGGTATTACCTTCAGGAAGCCCGAAAACCCCAAATATTTTTTTTTCTTTTTTCTTTTTTTTTTGGTCCAACTAACTCCAAAATGTTGGAAAAGAGTTCCTACAAAGGTTTTGGACAGTGATATTAACCCTAACGCCAAAAACCTTAAACCTTACCCTAGCCCCATAACCTAATACCCGGGTATTACCTTCAGGAATCCTGAACACTAACTCCATAAGGTCTGAAACATGTTCCTAAAAATGTTTTGGACAGTGATTTTAACCCTAACGCCAAAAACCTTGAATCTTACCCTAGCCCCATAACCTTATACCCGGGTATTACCTTCAGGAAGCCCGAAAACCCCAAATATCTTTTTTTTTTATTTTTCCTTTTTTTTTTGGTCTCACTAACTCCAAAAGGTTGGAAAAGAGTTCCTACAAAGGTTTTGGACAGTGATATTAACCCTAACGCCAAAAACCTTAAACCTTTCCAAATCCCCATTACCTAATACCCGGGTATTACCTTCAGGAAGCCCGAACACCCCAAATATATTTTTTTCATTTTATATTTTTTTTTTTGGTGTAACCAACTCAAAAGGTCTGAAACATGTTCCTACAAAGGTTTTGGACAGTGATTTTAACCCTAACGCCAAAAACCTTAAACCTTACCCTATTCCCATAACCTAGTACCCGGGTATTACCTTCAGGAAGCCCGAAAACCCCAAATATCTTTTTTTTTCTTTTTTCTTTTTTTTTGGTCTAACTAACTCCAAAAGGTTGGAAAAGAGTTCCTACAAAGGTTTTGGACAGTGATTTTAACCCTAACGCCAAAAACCTTAAACCTTACCCTAGCCCCATAACCTAAAACCCGGGTATTACCTTCAGGAAGCCTGAACACCCCAAACATTTTTTTTTCATTTTTCGTTTTTTTTGGGTCTAACTAACTCCAAAAGGTTGGAAAAGAGTTCCTACAAAGGTTTTGGACAGTGATTTTAACCCTAACTCCAAAAACCTTAAACCTTACCCTAGCACCATAACCTAATACAAGGGTATTACCTTAGGTGTAAGCCACCTTGCAAATGCTGCATGCAGAGGCAGCCATGCATGTCTCTCTGTGAATGTGATGGTACATGCTCCCATTGTGGAGCCATTGAATTGTAAATCTCAATTAAAGTCTGAAACGTAGATACAAACTTGTTCTGTGTTCATTACACATTAAGTAGTATTTGCATCCATTTTAATAGGCATATTTCACCAGGTGTTGTTCTGATAATAGGAAAAAAACTATTGGTGTTTTCTTTTTTTGTGTGTTTTTTTTGCCTTGAAATCTACTTACTTGGACTCCTTGATCCTGAAAATGTACACTTTACTACACATTTAATCATTATAGCTTTTACAAAAGCAAAGGTGTGAGTTCTGCTGTATTACTTAAATGATGGTGGCCATTTGTAAACCCATGTATTTCAGAAATGAAGGGTGATCTAACTTGTCTTTTTGGATAATTTATTTCCTATGGTCCTAAGGTACTTCCATTCCAAAGGAAAAGTAAATCTACGTTTAGGGGAAGGGGTGGGGGGCAAGTTACCCTGTTAAAACGTTCATTTTCTAATGAAATTTGCATATTTTACCCCCTGCTGTCATGGTAATTAATAAAGCATTGGGTTTTCTGCTTTGAAACCTATTTAATTGAATTCCTAGACCCCAAAACTTTGCACTTTGACACCAATATCACTATTACAGCTCCGACAGAAGCAAAGATATGGGGTCTGGTGTAATAGTAGTTTATTGTCGGTGGTCATTTTCAAAAATGTCTATAAAAAAACTGAAGGGTGATCAAACTTGTCTTTTTGGATAATTTTTTTCCTATGGCCCTAAGGTACTTCCATGCCCAAGGAAAAGTATATCTCAGTTTAGGGGGAGGGGTGGAGGATTAAGATACCCTCTTAAAACGTACATTTTTTCATGAAATTAGCATATTTTACCCCCCACTGTCATGGTAATTAATGAAGCATTGGGTTTTTTGCAATGAAACCTATTTAATTGAATTCATAGACCCCAAAAATGTGCACTTTGACACCAACATTATGATTATAGCTCCAACAGAAGCAAAGATACGGGGTCTGGTGTATTAGCGGTTTTCGGCGGCGGCCATTTTTAAAATGGCTATATAAAAAAAATTGAAGGGTGATCTAACTTGTCTCTTTGGATAAAATGTTTCCTATGCCCCTAAGGTACTTCCATACCAAAGGGGATATTTGTATCATGACTTGAAGTAAAATGTGTCTTAGGGCCCCCACTATATTGACAAACCAATGTTTCTGTGACCGAGACTCTTCGTAAAAACTTGAACTTTAACTCAAAATAACAATGAACAGATTTCCTCATGATGCTGGTTTGGTCTCTGTTGAGGTTCAGACCTGAAGGTGACCCCTCTCACGGGCGCAGAGGATCTCCACAGACGGTTTTTAAAGTCTGACGGGGGATCCAGAACAAAACAGGGTCACTAAGGTTCCTGTGGTCACAAGTACTTCTAGCTATCAAGCCCCTCAGAGCCCACCAATCCATGACACAGTCTGGACCTGCTCTCAAATCCATATTTGGTGTTCCTATCAGTCTCCAGAGTTCTCCTTGGTCATCTCCACTTGCAGCTCACCTGACAGACCCCGAGCAAAGCCAGACCTCCTGTTCATTAAGATCCATCTTCCTGTTCCTGTGGGTCAAAGAGGTGGATTGCGGGTCTTGTAGTTTTTTTTTTTTCATAGGCTTTGTCTGCTGTTTTTAAGGGCCTTTTTTTCCCAAAAGGTTCTAAGGTCTACATCCTGACCCTGCTGGTTCCGATTCAACAGTCCCAGTCCCCAAACACCCCCCTCAGCTTTTCTGGACTTGGTCTGCTGGACCTCGATCACCTACGCTCTGAAGTATGGGAACCAGAGGAAGCCCAGTACCAGATGGGTCTGGTTTAACTGGTCAGACAGTTTACGTGTGGAAATCAGAACCGACCTCGATGGAAATTCCTGCTGTGTGAAGTCTCAGGAGAGAACAGGTGGACCTGGTCCAGACCAAAGGTTCCCAGAGTCTTTGGTTCCTCTTCTGAAAGGACAAACGATGAGGGGCCTCACCTTGTCTTTGAGGAGTCCTCTGGGTCCAATAACTCGGTCAAAAATGTGATGTCCCACATGAGCGTCAACGGCTGACAGAGGGTCGTCCAGAAGGTACACATCGGACTTCCTGTAGACCGCCCGAGCCAAACTCACCCGCTGCTTCTGCCCCCCCGACAGGTTCAGACCCTGGAGTCAGGGAAAACCCGTCAATGATACGAAGACTTTACAGGGTCACACAGACGACAAGTGGGTCAACTGCCCTCTAGTGGACAAACTCCACAGACAGGGTTAAAGGAGGGTCATGGAAATACAGTGTCAGGATTAGAGGGGTCAGGGTTAGGGGGTCAGTATAAAACGGGGGGGGGGGGTCAGTATAAGATGAATATAAGACCTTCTCCCCGATCTCTGTGTTGTCTCCTGCAGAAAGGAGGTCCAGGTCTGGCAGCAGGGCACAGGCCTCCAGGACTTGATAGTACCAGCTTTCTTTCCTCTCTCCTCCAAACAAAATGTTCTCCCTCAGGGAAGTGTTCTGGATCCAGGCCTGCTGTGGGACGTAGGCCACTGAACCCTGCCATATTAAAAAACTTTATTGATACTGAGAGACAGACTGCATCCCCACCGTCACTGTGGGGTCCTGGCCCCCCACAGCAGACTCTGATCTAGAGTTACAGTCGTAAAGTCTCGTCTCTCTCCTGATTTTATCGCTAAAAGAAAAAAAAATCAGCTGAGGAGTTTTGGGTTTGACCGTTTGTCTTTTCTGATCCTGAACCTAAAGTGTGTTGAAAATTGAACTGTTAGTTGCTGGAGCTGCTGACCGACTGAAGCAGAGGCGTGTTTGCACAACTTCCTGCTCTGCAGCTTCTTCCATCACAACTGTTTCTCAATCATGTCGTGTGTCCCTTTTGATTCGTTATCGAAGAAAACTTTGTGAATTAACTCCCTGACTCTGATGGTTAACGCTGTTAGCAAAGTTTAGAAATGCTTAACAGTATTGACCATGTCAAAGTTCCAAAGGTCATCGACGTTTTTTAGTCCAATCTTTAAATACATAACAACCTGCAGTGACACACACAGGGGCGGAGCCAGATTTTTACTGGGGGGGCAAACTGGGGTCCTTACTTTGGTACGGGTGTCCAGGTGTGGGACTAGACCAAACTGATGGAGTGTTACTCCTCTTCTCTGATTTGTTGCTTAGAACTAAAGTCTCAAACCAAAACTTCATAAAATAATTTTGATTTCTAAACTCAACAGAGAAGAAACATTAAAATCTGCCGACTGACTCAAAGAGACGACGTCTGTCCGAAGTTTCTGTCTGTAGAAACTTTAAGCTGTCTAACGCCACAATGCAACACTATTAAATCAGGATTTCACCCTCAGGGTGACCAATCACTCCTCCGCTCACCCGATCAGAGGAGTGATATCAGATTTTATGGTTTCTTTTTTAGGCTCCGCCCCTTTTTCTAAATGACATTAAGACAGATCCTGAAGGTCACAGAAATCGTTAAATCAGTTTTAATGTCAGAAATTTGAGCAGAAGGTTAAAAATCTTTGTTACCTGAACAGAGACGATGCCGCTCCTTTTCTCCATCTCTCCTAACACAGCGGAGAGAAGAGACGACTTTCCTGAGCCAACATGGCCGACCACAGCAACCAGCAAACCCGTCTTTACGTTGACATTGATCCTCCTCAAACATGGTGGCCCCTGATTGGTCCAAGAGAAGAACCCATCCTCGACCACCACGCTGTCTCCATCTGTAGGCAGAGCAGCGTATCACAACAGGGATCCATGTTGTTCTTGTTGGTTCCTTTTATAATATTACATAGTTTCATGTCCTACTTTTGGTTCTCACTCAGGGTTCCTCATAGTTCTCGTTCCCAAAGCAGAAGGTGAGAAGGTGAGTTGAGGGGTGTGTACTCAGGTGTAATTTTATTCTGTTGTAACTTTAAATTATGGTCATTTTATACGTAATATTCTTTTGTGTTTCCACAGTTCTGCCTCACAGACTTTTTATTCATGGCTCAGACTCTATTTATTTAAAAAAAGTTGTTTTTTCTTCATCAAGATCATTTTATATACGATATAAGTGGTGCAGAATAACTGGCATAAAAACATGTGTTAAACTGATTATTTTGTATTTTTTCAGTGGTCAGGGTTAAAGTCCGTAAAAAGATCATTCAAAACCTGATCCCGACCCCGAACTATCACAAAGGCCCGCAGGGACAGATGGATCCAGGTCAAAGTCTGAAGGACTCCAGCTTTCAGGACTTTTCACCGACATCTATAATCTCACTCTTGCATATCTAAAAATGCTGACATGATTCCAGCGCCCAAGCAGACCAACATCAGAAACTTGAACAACTACAGACCAACTAGACTAAGACCCAATTCAGTCCTTCAGATCCATGTTGGCAGACTTCCTGTTGGCTGATTGAAACTCCTCCAAAATTACGATTATTGTTCATCAAACTTCGGGACCTTGGTGTCAGCATGTCTGTGGACCTTTTAAAACAGCCGCCAACAGACCCTGAGACTCCACCTCTACATCCCCGTAAATTTGACCCTGCAGACAGACCTGACCCTGCAGATGGACCTGACCGTGCAGATAGACCTGACCTTGCAGACGGAACTGACCGTGCAGACAGACCTGACCCTGAGGATGGACCTGACCCTGCAGATAGACACGACCCTGAGGACAGACCTCACCCTGCAGACGGACCTGATCTTGCAGACATACCTGACCCTGCAGACGGACCAGACCCTGAGTATGGACCTGACCCTGCAGATGGACGTGACGCTGCAGACGGACCTGACCCTGCAGAAAGACCTGACCCTGCTGACCCTGCAGATAGACCTAACCCTGCAGAGGGAACTGACCCTGCAGATAGACATGACCCTGAGGATAGACCTGACCCTGCAGATGGACCCGACGCTGCAGAAAGACCTGACCCTGCAGATGGACCTGACGCTGCAGATGGACCTGACCCTGCAGAAAGACCTGACCCTGCAGACAGATCTGATCCTGCAGATGGACCTGATCTTGCAGACGTACCTGACCCTGCAGACGGACCTGACCCTGCAGACAGACCTGACCCTGGAATAGACCTGACCCTGCAGATGGACCCGACCCTGGAATAGACCTGACCCTGCAGATGGACCCGACCCTGTAGACAGATCTGACCCTGCAGATGGATCTGACCCTGCAGACAGACCTGACCCTGCTGACCCTGCAGACAGACCTAATCCTGCAGACAGACCTGACCCTGCTGACCCTGCAGACAGACCTAATCCTACAGTTGGACCTGACCCTGCAGACGTACCTGACCCTGCAGACGGACCTGATCCTGCAGACGGACCTGACCCTGCAGACAGACCTGATTCTGCAGATGGACCTGACCCTCTTTCTTTAGAGATGAGGTCTACCAATTAAACTGATGACAGCAAGAGATGCTCCTGCCACTCTGTTTATTTATATATATATATATATATATATATATATATATATACTGTATATATATATATATGGAATAGACCTGACCCTATATATATGTATATATATATTACATGTGTGTGTGTGTTTGTATGTCAGTGTGTGTATATGTGTATGTGTGTGTCTATGTCAGTGTGTGTATATCTGTGTGTGTCAGATTGTGTATATGTGTGATCCCACCTGTGCTCAGAGGAGGTCTCTCCACGTTGTCAAGTTTTAGTTCTTCTTCGCAGAGAAAGTTTCCAAGACGTCTGAGGGAGACGATGGCCTGAAAAAAAGGGTCATGTGACTTAAGAGCGCTGTTTCCAATGAGATCCAAAAAACCCAGAAATTGAAATCGTAGATAAATTCATTTATTAATTTTTATTTTTATCTAAATGTCCTAAAAAATATTATTCGCACAATTTCAGACTCTAAAGCTTACAATCATCTTTGACTTTCATGAAAATGTATCTATCCTCTCGTCTGCGATGAGAGGCGCTCTCCACTCGCTCCTCTCTCTATCTCACAACACACATGCTAATGACATGCTGCGCTGTGTAGTTCAGAGGCCACGCCCACTGACTCTGGTATTCTGGTTGGAGAGTTTATTTTCGGCATGTCCATCACAGTGACTTTAGATTTTTATTCTGTCCATCTGTGTGAAAAACTAAATTCATGACGTTAAATTCAGAGACACTCTTCTGTCCTTCCTTTTTATTCGTGACAGGACACAGCAGAGTGTTGGCGGGTTACTTGCCTGCATGGTGGTACTCATGGCGAAGGGAAGCTGACTCAGTGGAGTTTTTAAAATGTTGATGAGGGCGACAGAAACGAAGATTTTCTGAGCATCCAAAACGTTATCTTCGTCCATCAACACGTAAAGTCCGAACACCGACAGAGCCACCTACAGAAAACATCACAAACATGTCAGAAATACAAGCAGATATTATTTAAAATCCAAATCAAATGAACATCTGAATAAAATCAAAACTGTCGACTGTATCTAAAGTTTTTTTATTCTCACCTAAATTGACTCAACGCTCCTTCGTTATCCAACTCAACGTTTGTGTTCAGAGACATTTTTACATCCTGTGAGCTGAATTTTAGTCTCTTGACAGACTGAGAGGAAGAGAAACTAACTTTACCAAAAAACAATAAACTTTGAAAAAGGAAGTTTCTGTCCTCAAATCTGAAATCCATCCACACCCCGACTCCCGGTTCCTCCTGACCCCCAGTTCCTCCTGACTCTCTCATACTGGTCTCTTCCCTGTCTGAGGGGGTTCATCTTCAGTCCACAGAGGGAGTTTTTGAGACTGTTGGACCCTCACTCAGAAATACCTGCGCTTATTTTTGGTTATGTTCCGGCTGATCCAAACCCCCGAGCTTCAGTTCTGATTCATCATCAGACCAGCAGAGACCTGGGGCCTTATTTATCAAACGTGCATAGAAAAGGTTCTAAATTCTGGCGAAGGAATGAAATTTAGAATATTCCATATTTATCAAACGTGTGGACACCGGTCATACGCACACACGTAAGTAATCGGTGATGATAAATCCCACCTGTTCTTTACTACCGTGCTCGTGCATGGTTAGAGTCATTTGCATTCAGGAACGTCTCCAATTGACCATATATGGCATCAACAATCCCTTTAAAAATGCGTGTATGAATGTTCTCATATGAATGAGAAAGAAATGTTGGGACAAAAGCTTAAAAGATTTGAATGTCTTGACCACTGAGTTTGGATTCCCAACAGGGGGATCCCTCAGTTTAAAAAGAAACATGTCGAAACTAGAAGAGAAACTGAAGGCAAAAGAAAAAAAAAAAAAAAATGAAAAATGAGAAGGAAAAACAAATTCTCTGTAAGAAAGTTAGAACTCATTGAAGGTCAAAAGAATGTTTAGAGATGTGGAAAACTGAAGCAGAGATATGTTATAAAAAGTTAATGCAAAAACAACTTCCCTTTTCATGAGAAAAGGTTGAAACGATTGAGAAGCCAGATTCACATACACAAAGAACACAGAACTCGCAGATCTCTTCTTCTTTGTATCCACAGTTGGCGGCTCTGAAGCTGGATCCAGACCTTGACGGCAACCTACCCTTCCATTCTTCAGCACCACCACCATACAACTCTGCAACACCCAACGAGAGAAGAGAAGCAGACTTCATCAGGCCGCAACTATAAGCAAGCTCAGAAACAGCCTGTCCTGAAATGCCTGGTCCATCACAAGACTCTACAACCAACACCCTTTCTCCAATTGCACACAGACTATGCAATCCAATAAAGACACAGCCTTCAACATGCCTATGGTTGAAGCATCTGGACCACAAGGCGCAACTTTGTTTTTTCGCCCATGGCAACAGACTGGCAAAGAATAGCTGGAGAATTCCCAAATGCTGATCTCCGCTGCAAACATATCACCTGGGAAGATGAATCTAATGTCCATAGAGAAAGAGGACATGGCCATCACAAAAACTGGGAGAGAAAACTTCGACAGAATGTCTGTTTCCTGTGGAGACGCGAGTGTCCCAAAAACACCTCATCAGACGCAATAAACAAATCGGACTGACAATGGCTGGGGGTTGTCGGAGAGGAATGGACTCCTGCTGACGAGCCAAACCAACTGGTGAAGAGGGAAGAAGGTACTGCACCACACTCACATATACATGCCGACCACACCAATTCACAGTCCATAGAGAGCTCAGACAATACACATGCGATTGTTCTAACACATGTTCAGTACACATCTGATCAGTTTAAGAAGTTTCCAAAACACACGCTAATCATCACAGAACAACACATTGTATTCTTAGTCGACTTAGTTTTAGTCGAAGTCATGTGTACTCTATTGGTTCATCAGGTCAAACAATTAAAGAGAACATTACTGTCCCATTCAAATGTATGGATGAGTCACGTTCAAGCTTCAAACACGCATTTTTGCTCTCTGAAGTCTGCCCTATTAAGCTGATGGGCAGGGACTTGATGTGCAAATTGGGCCTTTGTCTAATCTCAACCCCAGAAGGTGTCAAAGTCTGCAGACTACCTGATCTGCCACCAAACTTTTCACACTCCTTTGTCTGCCACACCCTAAACCTAAATTATGCATATCAATGGAAATTGCAACCATCAACCTTTTCTGAGTTTCTCTCAGCTAGGGAAACAATTTCCACAGCTGCAAAGATTTTATGGCACCAGAGGATCTGCATTGCACCTCTCATGTGTCACCCGGACCTGATGAGCCATACGAGGAACGTTGGTTAAAGATGAGGTTTGAAGAACTCACACTGACACATATTTATTGGGCACGACACAAATGTGCTATATCAGTCTCCCTCACACCAGCTCAAAGTGACATGTACACCATGGACCATTCGGTCCCATAGATCCCACTCGCGAAACACACATCAGATGTCTGGGAAGATTTGGGCCCATTTATAATAGCATGTAAACGCACGGCCAATTGGCATTAAACATCTGAGCGATCCACCCTTTTGTTTTTTGTTTGTTTGTTTTTACAGACACTGCAGTGCTACTCAAAAAGTTTAATATCTGTTGTGCACACTCAGAGAATAATCCAGCTGGTACCTGAAAGCACTTCTATAACCTTTTTCTTGTTTGTCCACAGAACAAACTGCACCTATCGCAGCCCTGCAACAAGTCCCTAAGACACTGTGGGCTTTTGATAAGTATGATGTTGGCCTCATCAAAGATTTAGACCTGTTATCATTACGCCAAAAATCAGATTTCAGACCTTGCAAGACTCAATATCCACTTAAACAAGAAGCCACGACTCTCCAGTGCGCACACCTTTGTTCCCTGTTAAGAAAATCAGAGACAAAGATCAACCTACAGAATGGCGTTTTGTTCAGGACTTGCAAGCAGTAAATGCAGCAGTCCAACCCAGAGCTCCAAATGTTCACCAGACCGTTTACTCAAACGGTGGATGAAAAAGATGAATGCATGACTTCTGTTTTGTTGCAGGCTCACAGGAACAAGCTACACCCTGTAGCTTATTTTTCCTCAAAACTGGATCCTGTGGCTGCAGGCCTCCCAAGATGCCTTAGAGCCGTGGCTGCGGCTGAGAAGGCAGTTATGGTCTCCCAAGATATTGTGTGCTATTCTGATGTTACTGACACATGCTGTGTCTATGATTTTACTTGAGCAAAAAACTTCTCATTTCTCCACAGCACGATGGCTAAGATACAACACAGTCCTTCTGGAAATGTGTAACATCACTGTCAAAAGATGCAATGTTTTAAACCCTGCCACTCTTCTCCCCACAACCAGACGATGGAGAACAACATAACTGTGTTGCTATCCTCCAACAGGTTTGCTCCCCAAGACCAGACCTACAAGAAACACATTTAACAAATCCTGATTTGGTTCTTTTGTAGATGGATCTGCCTCACACAACACACATACTGGTCGCAGCAGAGTTGACTTTGCTGTTGTCACTAAATGTCTTGCTCACACTAACAACATAGTCCTTGTCTCTCTAGGAAATGCTAGAGCTGATGCCGCTGCAAAACGAGTCGTACTCCAGCCACCTATCACTGATCCTTTATTGGTATCGATTCCTTTCACTGTTCCCACCTCTATCACAGCAGTGCAAATCTTTCACCACACCTCAGGAAAAGACGCTGTGGAAATGCTGCGGTGCCGCACAAAAGGATGCAGTATGCCGAGGACCCGATAATAAACCTTGCCTACCTAAACACTTCTTTCCTCACTTTGCAAAATTGACACATGGGTTGGACTATGTGTCAAAAGGGGGAATGTTGGGTGCCATAACCCAACACCAGTTCACCAAAGGGTTTTCAGTTCACACGCAGAAGTTTTGTCAATCGTGTATGGTTTGTGCAACTCATAACGCAGGTATAACCAAAACAATCACACACGCTGCCCACCCACCCACCAGACAGACCATTCGAACACTTAATGATGGATTTCATAGAGCTGTCACCTAGTGGTAGCAAAGGCTCTGTTAACAGAAATCACTCCCAGATGGGAAATACCAACTTAACTGAGTAGTGATAATGGCTCTCACTTTGTAAATTCTGCAATAACCCAAATCAGTGAATTTCTTGCCATTGACCTCAGACAACATTGCACATATCACCCTGCCAGTGGGGGTGCTGTCGAATGAGAGAATGGCACTCTGAAATCAAAATTGGCCAAATGTGATGAAACAGGACTGCCATGGACAAAAGCTCTGCGGATTGTTCTAATGCAGGGGTCGGCAACCCGCGGCTCTGGAGCCGCATGCGGCTCTTTCTTCCCTAAGCTGCGGCTCCCAATGGATTTGGAAAATAAATAATAAATACTTAATTGCATTTTATTTTATTTTATTATTATTATTATTTTTTGTAATTCTAAATTCAAAGATTATAATGCTCTTGTAACATTAAATAAACTATTAAGGCTGCAACAACGAATCGATTAAGTAGATTCGTCGTGACGAAAAAATCCGTTGCTAACAAATTCTGTAATCGATTCGTCGGGTCTTTATATATGTCCATGGACACCGGCGTGTAAACATCAGCAGGACGCACAGAAAAGAAACAGCCATGGCCGAGGCAGCAGCTGAGAAAAACATGGACACAACCCAACCCAAATCCCGACCTAAAACATCCGTGATGCGGGAAAACTTCACCAAGACTGAAAAGGAAGGCGTTCAGTGCAACATTTGCAAAGACCGTTTTGCATGGCTCGGGAGTACATCGATGATGCGTGAGCACAGGGCTCTCAAGTCTCACGCATTCAGCGTATGACACACGCATTCCCACTCGTTCACACGCTCACACACCACACATTGTATTTCTCACGCATTTAAATGAACACGGTGATGTCCACCAAGTTGCACTTCTTCAACTATGGGACTGGGGGAAATCAACTGAGTTCCTCCGAGAGTTCAGAAGCTGCGTGCCACGCACAAGCCAATCAAATAAAGTATATCTACTGAACAGCCAATCAAAAAGCAGCATTGCTGTATCCGGGTAGATTTTGATATCTTGCGGTTTAACTACAGAAGAAGACAGACACTCGCCGAAATAGTTCATTTATTTCATAAATGCAACTCGCTACAGTTTTTTATATACTTTGTATAAAGGTAAAAAAAATATCTTCATTTTAGATGTCAAAGAGGTTTTGTGGCTCCCTGTGTTTTCTTCTGTGTGGGAAACTGGTCCAAGTGGCTCTTTGAGTGTTTAAGGTTGCCGACCCCTGTTCTAATGGATATGATAAATCAGGAAATGATCCAGAGGAAACATGAGTCCTCTTGAAATTCTTTTTGGGCAGACCCCCGTCCCTAGGAGTGGAGCCTGTAACCAGGCCACTCCCCTTCACTGGCCTATGTGAGGATGACATGCTACAATATTGCAAGAACTTATCCTGCACTCTCTCTCTAATCTCCCAGCAGGTGAAATCAGCCCTTCCACCACCAGCTTCCACATCCCTCCACGACTTCCAGCCTGGCGACTGGGTGATGATAAAGGACCTGAGAAGGAAGCACTGGCACTCCAAACGGTGGCGAGGTCCATTCCAGGTGCTTCTGACAACACATACCGCTGTGAGGATCGCTGAGAGAACAACGTGGGTTCACGCCAGCCACTGCAGTAAGGTCCCGGAGCCAACAGACGATCAGACGGGGGGGGACAGTCTCCACAGAAAACAAAAGATGCCAACATCAAAGCCCCATTCCTTGCCCTCTGAGGGGCGGTCCTTAAGCATAAAATGTTCAGGTTTTCCCATGTTAGGGGTCTTTCTGGATTCTAACCGCTCGGATGCAGATTGACCTTTTCTTTGCAAAGAAAAATAAAACCTTGTTGGCCGGCAGAAGTCTCTATTTCATTATTCACCAGCAGCGACGGAAGAGAAAAACTTCCACGACAAGAGGCAACGGGAACATATGTGAAGTTTGAGATTGCGGAACGCTGTGACTCCTTTAATGGGTTCTATTAGTAATTTTACTGTCCTACCACTAGGTTTTGTGTGTACGCATAGTCAGAGTTGTGCTTAAATTTACGCATGTTCCTAAGCACAAGTACAGGTTGATAAATTCCAGACTCTGCGCGGGAATGTTCGTACGCACTCTTTACGCACACATCTGTGCATACGTGTAGCGTAATTAGAATTAATATTTAGTGATTTCACCGCTACATACGCATGGTTGATAAATGAGGCCCCAGGAGAGGATCTCTCTCTCTGTCCACTAAAGAACTTCTTACCTTTCAGATTTGTCCTTTGGTTTTGAATTGGACTGTAGACTCCTAAAATCTGGTAGTTTAACTTCTCTGATATGTATTTACATTTTTGTGTCGACCCTTAGACTGAGGAGGCGGGTTAGTCAGACCTAAACCGCAGGGAGCCGTCCAACTCTTTAACGTTAATGTCTGCATGACTTAAGAAAACTTTCATGTTGGTTTTGATCCGGACAAACATGTGCTGGTCCAAGTTTTTGCTGACGTCATCCCAACATCTGTTTCATCTGTGTTGTTTTAGTGATTGTCTTTCAGCGATAACCAAAAATGCACTTTTGGAACATTTTTGGCCAAAATTTTTGGCTGTCCATATTTTTCGGCTGATCGCTGGTTCGACTAATTCAGGAGCAAGTCTGAGATTAAAGTCAACCAGAACCAGGAGTGAACCTGACCCAGATGGTCTCAAACTCACCAGGAAGGACGAGGAGTTGAAGGAGGCCAGAGAAACAGAGTAGAGGATCTGAGATTTTTTTAGCGCCTTGAGTTCTCCGTCTCTCAGGACAGAAACCCGTCTCAGGAAGGCCTCCTCCCAGGCGTAAAACTTCAGGATCTTCACACCACCGAGGATCTCACTCATCAGTTTGAGCCGACTGTCCATGAACTTCATCTGAACCTCCTTACCAACAAAGACACACACAGTGATTTTGGATTGAAAACTTTTTTTTTCAGGTTTCTGCTGACAACAAGAAAACTTCAGAAAAACTGAAACGATCACCTGAAGTCTGCTCCGGATCTTCGCGATAAATCCATTCAGAGGAAAAATCAAAACAACGGCCACAATCCCAGCCAAAGCAGAGGGGCCTAGGAGCTGCCAATCAATCACTTCATTAACTAATCAATCAACTTGTCAACATCACTTAGAATACTAGATTCAACTGTACATGTCACAAACAATCAAAAAGCAAATGTAATAGATTATTCTTTGGTTTAAAAAAAAGCATCTGACACCATCGATCATAAAATATGGACTTTAAAAGGTTAACAAAAACCAAATTTCTAGAAGTAATAATTTAAAAAATTTAAATTAAAATAAAATAAATAATAATGATAAAGATATAATAATCAACATCTACAGTTCAAGGTCTCAGAAACGATTTCAGAACAAGGAAAAACAGGTTTGAGATGAAAACTCAGTTTTCTAGTTTCAACATTTTTAAACTACTGTGCTGATCAATCAATCAGTCCTTCAACAAATCAGTCAACTAATCAATCAATCAGTCCATTAACAAATCAATCAATTAGTCCATCAACTAATCAATCAACTAGAAATTCATCCAACTATTTAACAACTATCAGTCGTTCAGTCAGACAGTCAGTCAGTCAGTCAGTCGGTCAGTCATTTGGTCGTTCAGGTGTTTTTCGTTACCTGCCACAGGAAGTAGAAGCACAGTGCGATCTCGATTGGCATGATCCAGATACTGTTACAATAAACGATGAAGTCCATCAGTTTCTGAGTGTCGACTGAAACCAAGTTGATGATTTCTCCCACTGTTCCACCGCACCGTGCCGCGCTGTTAATCAGCAGACACTGTTGAAAACAGGAAACTGTCAGTCAGACCTTCAGACTAGAGCAGGGGTCACCAACCTTTCTGAAACCGAGGGCTACTTCCTGGGTACTGATTAACGCAAAGGGCTACCAGCCTGATACACACTTTTGAAATAGCCAATTTGCCAAATTTAGCTTTAACTATATGTTATTATTAATAATTAATGGTATATAGCTATGTGAATACACTGATCATGTTAATGATTTCTCACAATAAATATCAACAATCGTAACAAGATAAGAAATAGATTAATATCAATATGCAACACTTTATTTCTATATTTTTAAGTGCAAGTGTTTGAACATTTTCAAATGATCTCTTCTACAACAGTTTTAGGAAATCACAATGTACCTCCGCAGCATTTATAACATTTTTAACAAACACCCTGTACAAGCGTAAGAAAAAAAATGCGCTTAACAGTTATGTTATCAAATGTTACATTTTCCAAACACATTTAACAAATTATGAATGACACATTTTGATCAGGACAGCAAATCTGGTATCTGTTCCTTTGTCAGTTAGTGGGAAGCCTGGCATTGCATGTCCTCCACCAGTGTGTTATACTCTGGTGTGTAACTTGACACTGCAACTCTGAGTGAGTCTTGCAGATGTGCATCGGTGAGGCGCGTTCTGTGTTTGTTCTTGATGAAGTTCATGTCAGAAAAGGCTGACTCACAAAGATAGGTTGAACCAAACAGGCTTGCAACCTTCAAAGCTGCTGTGCATACACCACTGTACTTTTTTGTGTCAACAAGTCCCCAAAAGTTTGGTGCACCCTGATAGGCTTTGAGGTGGAGGTCATTTTGCAATGTTACAATTTCAAGCTCCATCTGTCCAGCATCAAGGCTGAACATTGCACTTAACTGCTCAGCAATGCATGATATTTCCACGTTCATGAAAGGATTAGAAATGAATGACACACATGGCTCAAGCTGACCTAGGTCACAAAACCTGTTCTCAAACTCTTGTCCAAGTCTTTCTATGACCTGAGAGTACTTTTCTGCAACTTAGTCAAAAGCATCAGATGCAGAAGTATTGTCTTTCAGCACCATCTGCACAGAGGGAAAGTGCAGCACCTTTTTTCCCTTTAAATGCACAGAGAAAATGCTCATCTTGGCTTTAAATGCATTTAAAGCACTTATCATATCAGCAACAGTCTTACCTTTGCCTTGTAACTCACAGTCCAAACTGTTCAGTTTCCCAGTAATGTCCGTTAAAAATGCAAGGTCAAGTGTCCAGTCAGTGTCCTCCAGCAGCAAGTATCTTTCCCTCTGGACTGCATGAACTCTTTGATTTCACCCAAAAAAGACAAAAAAACGAAGCAGAATTCGTCCCCTGCTGAGCCATCGGATTTCTGTGTGTAGTAGCAGGTCACCATATTCAGCTGACAGCTCCTCCAATAGTACCTTGAAAATTCTGTGCTGTTTAGCTTTGGAACGGATGCTGTTTAGGATCTTTACAACCAGGGGCGCAGATAGGTTTTTAGATAGAACTGGGAGGAAGCCGCCAGCACCCCAGAATATACTCTGATGCCCTCAGGGCAGCGCTATTACTGCCATCATGACATACCCCATCAAACTTAATTGCCCATCATTGCAAGAAATAAAGCATATTGATTCTGATACTGCTTCCAATCACTCACCAAGCATGCCATATGCTGTATGTAAAAACTGTTTTATTTAAACATTAACTGACTTTAAGCTCACTGATTCTTTAAGAAAACCAAAAGAGCAGGGTGTAAAAAAAACCACAAAATGTAATTAAAAGTCACTTCTTACTGTGCCTTACAAACACAAACAGCATAGCCTACATATACAGTTGTACCCATAAGTATCCATACACATCTGAAATTGAGTTATTTTATGTCCTCCAGGCCAGGACCATGATAGCATTTTAACATAGCATAAACATTATAACTGTTTTAAGGCATTAGCGCCATTGACAGTAATTTAACATGGGCATACCTACAGGCTACCACAGAGGCTACCAGTCCCAAAAGGCATATCTCTACTAGAGATTGTAAGATTCTATAGAGATATGCCAACATAATGTGTTGCTATGGGGGCTAGGCTTGGGACATGGAGATTCGTTCCTGTCTGCGTAAATGAGCGTGTCAATCAACATCATAGTACAAGCATTTTATTTTAATAAGCTTCAAAATAAAAAATATATGTAATTTTGTGTAGTGCATTTTTGTCCATAATGGTTAGTAATGCCTACAAAGTTGGATTCTGGAATCTAAAAAATCATTTACTGTGTCTGTAAGGCGAGATAACAAGCTAACAGGCTCAGTCATTCAAATTCAATGGAGGTGATCTATGACAACAACACAATTGTGCTAAACGCTAACACTGATTCACCTCAAATTGAACACATTGCGCCAGTCTAAATGATTGCATATTACCATGTCTAGTTCAGCTAATATCAGTCATGATATCTGACTGGGTGTTAGTAACTAAAATTACAGTTCACTGTTTAAAATGATTACGTTAGCAATTTTCTGGCTTGAAAGTTCATTTTTCTCATAATTCAAACTGTAACAACATACACCATTAAGTTTGGCATAATCACGGATTCAAGTACACATTTCCAAAAGACCCCCACAACTCCAGAAATTTGCAATGGCCGATTTAATGGATAATAAATAAATGCATGAAGGTTGATTCCCCCCTCCCCTCCCCCTTGTGAAACTGGCACCTTTCTTCCTCTATTCTCTTTGCCTGTCTCTACGATTTTACTTCCACGGCGACATTACTTTGAACATACGACCAAAAAATTGCAAGGTGATATGACAACGTAAGGCACAGTTTACATACAGTTGTTGCTTTTTGAAAAAAGGATGCAATAGTTTTCTGCCTTTTCGGTTTGGCTGGCCTCATCATGCGTGTTGGTAGGTTATGGGGTCCTGAACTAGGAGCTGTCCCATTGATGCCTGTCATACTCGTTCTGGGTAATCATGGCAACCAGGCTCGAGACGACAACGCAGCCTGCCCAGCTCAACAACCGAATATTGATATCAAAGCATGCACTGACATGCAATAAATCAAATATTTATTTATCTTTTGATTTTCCCGTGAGGTTTGCCTTAAGCAAAGAAAGAAAGCAGAGGTTTTTTTTTTTTTTTTTTTTAATAAAAGTGAGGGGGACAGATCGAGGGGCATTCAAATCTGTGTATGTCGAAACCCCCTTGACACACCCCCTATCTGCGGGCATGTTTACAATGGGAGTCATCAAAGCCGATCACTTTTGCACATAAAGACTGCTGGTGGATGATGCAGTGGTAATGCAGAAAGTTTGGGAACTCTGTGTCACCTTTACAATGAGCAATAAATCCTGTGTGTTGGCCGATCATAGCAGGAGCCCCATCCGTAATCACTGATTCCAGCTTTGCAAGCGGCACCTTTTTATCCACCAAAACCCCTTTACCGCGTTACAAATGTCAACTTCCCTGGTAGTTGTCTTTAAGGGCAGAAGTGTCAGAAGTTCTTTTGTGGAGAAATCATCAAACACCATCCTGAAAAAGACCATTAGCTGTGCTGTACTGCTGCTGTCCACCGACTCTTCACACTGGATACTGAACCACCTGCACCTCAACAGATCACGGTCCAGCTGGTCGGCCAAGTGCCCGGACATCGCCGTCACTCTTCTTACCATCGTAGATGCCCCCAGTTGAACATCGGAGAGCGTGGAGATTACATCAGTTCCATACTTCTCGTCTTCAAGCACAGTTTTAGCAATTGTCATCATTGCTTCTTTGACAACCGCCCCATCTGAAAAGGCCTTCTTTTTCTTAATCAAGAATTGCGTAGCTCTTAAAAAGGCTTTGGTTGCTTTTTGGAAGCTTTTCACTGGTCTCGTGACAAAAGATTGCTGTTTGCTTAAAGCTGCCTTTAAATCACCAGCTTTTTCTGCTCGTTGTTCGCATCCCGGTGGGTAGTTAGCATGGTAGCTTGTGTGGCAAGTTATGAAATGTCTCTCCACATTGTGTCGCTTTGCCGTCGCTACAGTTGCCCCGCAAATGAGACACACGCAGGATCCTTTCACAGTGGTAAAAAAAAACTCTACCTCCCACTCATTGTGAAAATGCCCAAACGCTACGTTTTGGGCATGCGTCCAATACTGACCCTTGAACTATAGTAGGTCAGAGTTCATTTATATTAATCCTTTAAAAAAATCGGAATTAATATTTTGTCATTTCCAGTTCATGTTTAAGTGTGATTTAAACAAGAATAGCTAAAATAAAATAAAATAAATAGATGCAGCTCACTGATAGAATAGAATAGAATAGAATATTCCTTTATTGATCCCCCATGGGGGAAATTTTTTTGTCACAGCAGCATCACAGACAAAGAGTGCAAAAATGCAGTTATAAAAATAAAGATCCTAATATTAAGAACTTAAATAAATGTAATAATTAAGAAAAAATGTAGAAAAAGGAAAAAGGGGGAAGAAAAATAAAACTATCCACAATATACACAATTTACACATACACAAAAAGTGGTGGTGATTGTCCAGCTATTATTACAGCTCGTTGTAAAGTCTTATTGCAGAGGGGAGGAATGACCTGCAGTAGTGCTCCGTCTTACAAGGTGGGAGTCTCAGTCTGCTGCTGAAGGAGCTGCTTAAAGCCCCCACAGTCTGGTGCAGTGGGTGAGAGGGATTGTCCATGATGGATACAAGCTTTGCTAACATCCTCCTCTCATCCACCTCCTCCAGGGAGTCCAAAAAACAGTCCAGGGGTCCGATTCACGTAGGTGGTTCAACAAACTCTGAGTTAAATCCTTAACTCTGAGTTGATCTACTCTGAGTTAGGAAACTCTGAGTTTCCGGTTTCACAACACCTGATTTGAGACGGTTTTAACAACTCCGAGTAGTTTGACCTGGAGTTAAGCACGTGCACGCCAGACATAAACAGCCAGCATCTGTGGAGCGCAGATTCAATGATCAACCAATGGAAACAGGGAGAAGGAGGGGGCAGCAGCAAGCCAACAGCGAATTACAGCACGTTTTTAAAAGAAAGTGCAATACAGCAGCAGCTGCAAAGGAGAGGGAGAGGGCTTGGGAGGAAATCGCTGCTCACGTTAATGCGTAACTTTAAATCTAGTCTCGTGCAATCACGACAGACTGTTGCAGGGAAACTGCTTGAATCATTTTGATCATGTTTTACATTGTCAAGTAAGTATTAAGTGGCAGTTTGATCCCTTAGAAAATGCTCGTTTCACACTCAAAAATGAATTTTACTCTCTTACGATGTTCCGTTAAATGATTAGGAATATTAAACACAACCCCCACCCCGTAGCAGCGATCGTCGGACTGGTGTGCGTGTGTGTGTGTGTCTGTGGGGGGGGGGGGGGGGGGATTTGCGATCGGACCGGCCGCGATCGTCGAACGGGGGGGTGGGGGGCAGCTCCTCTGCCTCCGTTAAAGGTGGGGCTGCTGGACCACCACCCGTTTTTGTGTTAGTTTAATATTCCTAATCATTTAACGGAACATAATAAGAGAGTAAAATTCAGTTTTGAGTGTGAAAAGAGCATTTTTTAAGGGATCAAACTGCCACTTAATACTTACTTGACAATGTAAAACATGATCAAAATTAGAAAATGCCGATGTCTCACCTGAAACTCTGGGTTTACTGAGTTAAACCTGCTCCCGAGCAGGTTAGGTTCACGGAGTCTGTTACTGTGGTAACTGACCGCGAGGTTGAGTTACCTCTCTTTGTGAAACAGGTTAGAGTTACCCCTCTCTCCCTGGTTTAACTAACCCTCCTTTGTGAAACGGAAAACTCAGAGTTTCCCTGATTTCAGGGTTAACAAACTCAGAGTTTCCATTAAACCTGCTACGTGAAACGGACCCCAGGACAGAACTGGCCCTCTTGACCAGTCTATTCAGTCTCTTCCTGTCCCTCTCGGTGCTACCTGCCCCCCAGCAGACCACTGCATAGAAGAGTGCAGATGCTACCACAGAGTCATAGAAAGTCCTGAGCAGAGTCCTGCACACTCCAAAAGACCTCAGTCTCCTCAGCAGGTGGAGACGACTTTGGCCCTTCTTGTACAGTATGTCTGTGTTGGTTGACCAGTCCAGTTTATTGTTGAGGTGGACACCCAGGAATCTGTAGGACTCCACCATCTCGATGTCCAGACCCTGGGTGTTCACTGGAACAGTCTGAGGTGTCCTCCTCCTGCGGAAATCCATAACCATCTCCTTTGTCTTACTGGCGTTTAGCTGGAGGAGGTTTGTGCCACACCAGTTGACAAAGTCAGTGATGACAGTCCTGAATGAGCAAGATGGCGCCGGTGTGTGTGGCCTGCCGTCTCTCGCTGTCAGTGCTGTTTGTGTCTGTGCTGCTGTTTGTGTCTATCGTTATAAATAATGTCAGCTCACTGCTTGTGTACGACCGCCAAACACTGCTGGATCTTCGCCCCTCTGCCAAGGATTTGGTGAAATTAGATCCCGATCACTGCGGTCACACAACGTTTAAACTGTTTCAACTGCCCAGGATACCTGCTCACCTTCGCAGCACCCTCGCTCCACTTCCCCGGCGTAAACGCCGGCGCCGCCGTGGCAAACGCAGCGGCCAGCTGGTGAGAGTTAAAGCTCTCTTGGCTCGATCTTCCGCAGTTTCCCTGAGGAGAAATGGAGTGGGATCTGGTCTCTTTCTTCATCTGCGATCGCTGGACCCTGTCGACTCCTGGCTGGTACCTGTCGTCGGTTCGGGTGAGGTAATCCGTCCCCGCGGCCCCTGCTCTCCTCGTCCCCGCTGGTGTAGGGTGAATCCCCGCCATCTACGGGCCCTGTGTCGGGCTCCACGATCAGCCGATGCCTCGGATGTGCTGATCTCTGCCAGGTTCGGCCTTGTCAATGCCAGATCACTGGCGAACAAAACTTTTATCTTGAAGGATTTCCTCATGTCCCGTGGATTGGATTTTCTCTGTGTAACTGAGACATGGCTGAGTATCGGTGAGTCCAGTCCTCTTATTGAACTCTGTCCGCCGGATTGCTGCTATTTTAATTCCCTGCGGTCGTCTGGTCGAAAAGGAGGTGGAATAGCAGTTATTTTTAAAAGAAACTTTAAATGCCGGCAGATCTGCCTGAAATTCTCCTTTGCAAGTTTTGAAATGTGCTTGTTTGAACTGGGCTGCTCTCATGTTGTCCTGTGCGCCGTCATTTATCGACTGCCCAAGTACAATAAGGATTTTATAAGTGACTTTTCTGAATTTCTGGCCGAAATTCTGCCGAAATACGACCGTGTCCTTATTGTTGGTGATTTTAATATTCACACTTGTTGCCCTGAAGAGCCGGTCTCCAGGAGCTTTTTAAATCTCATTGACTCTTTTAAATTTGTGCAGTCCGTGTCCGGTTCTACACATAATCTCGGGCACACACTAGACTTGGTGCTATCGCACGTTCTGTGTGTTTCCAATCTTGACATTTGTGACGCTGTTTTCTCGGATCATATGCCGATTTTATTTGACATCCCCACTCAGTGTCCGGTTAAATTGCGCGCTCCACCTAAACCGCGTCGCATGTTTAACTCTTCCTCGCCTGCTCTGTTCTCCTCTACCTACATTGGTCTCTGCGAGGATGACTCTGCAGCCCTTGTGTGTGTGGATACTGAGGAACTGGTACTGAGATTTCACTCCACCTGTCTACAAACACTGGACACGGTCGCTCCTCTGAAGACCCAGCGCACCAAACCTACATCCGAGCCCTGGTTGAACGACGTCACTCGTGCAGCCAGGCGTGAGTGCAGGAGGGCAGAGCGCAGGTGGAAAAAGGACAGACTGCATGTGTCTCTTGGCATCTTTAAAGATAGCCTTTGGAATTATCAGAGGATTGTGAAAGCTTGTGCTTTTGCTTTTAACTGTAACAACCCCAGAGCTCTGTTCAAAACCATAAACACTGTCCTTGAGGCTCCCAAGTCTCTTGGTTTTGATGCCTCCACTGAAATTTGTGAAAAATTCCTCCACTTCTTCACTGATAAAATTATGTCAACCAGAGCCTGTATCTCTCAACCTTCGTATGACCCTTCAGCCCCTCTGCACCCCTCATCTGTCTTTGCCAAATTTGAGTCTGTGTCCCTCTCTGTTTTTAAGGACATAGTCAGCCATATGAAGCCTTCTGGTTCCCCTGCAGATGCCATCCCCCCTCGCTTGTTCAAAGAGGTACTTGCTACTATTGGACCAAGTGTCCTTAATATTGTTAACAGTAGCCTGTCCTCTGGTACAGTACCTAAGGATTTTAAACATGCTGTAGTACGACCTCTACTTAAAAAAACTGGCCTTGACCCATCCCTCTGTGCCAGTTTCAGACCCATCTCAAATCTTCCATATCTGTCCAAGATTCTAGAGAAGGTGGTCTACAATCAATTGTAACCATTTTTGGAAGATAATGGTATCACAGAGTTGTTCCAGTCTGGTTTTAAAGCTCTCCATAGCACAGAGTCAGCACTTTTAAAGGTGTCTAATGATATTCTCATGTTAACAGACTCTGGAAAGTTTGTTGTCCTTGTGCTCTTAGATCTGTCTGCTGCATTTGACACTGTTGACCACAGCATTTTAATCTCTCGCCTGGAGCACTGTGTGGGCATTAAGGGTGTCGCCTTGGACTGGTTCCAGTCGTACTTAACGGACAGAAGTTTCTGTGTTCAACTTGACAACTCTGTGTCGTCAACAGCTCCCCTCCCACATGGGGTCCCCCAGGGCTCAATCCTCGGCCCTCTTCTATTTGCCTTTTATCTACTCCCTCTTGGTTCTGTTTTTAGGAAACGTGGCATCTCCTTTCACTTTTATGCCGATGATTGCCAGATCTATTTTCCACTGGCACAGAACAACTCCGACTCAGTCACACAACTCACTGACTGCCTTAAGGACATTAAAGCCTGGCTTTCTTTTAACTTCCTCAGCCTTAATGAGAACAAGACTGAAGTAATGTTGTTTGGACCAAGTGGCGGCCACCCCCCCAACATCGACCTAGGCTCCCTCTCACCCTACCTAAAAGAGGTCGTCACTAATCTGGGAGTTAAGTTTGACCCTGATTTTAAATTTGAGAAGCAGATCAGCGGGGTGGTACAAAAAAGTTTTTATCAGCTACGCCAAATAGCAAAGGTGAAGCCCATTTTATCAAGACCTGACCTGGAAAAATTAATCCATGCTTTCATCACCACACGTCTCGATTACTGTAACTCTCTGTATGTAGGGATTAGCCAGGCTTCCCTTGCCCGCCTGCAGCTTGTGCAGAACTCTGCTGCACGTCTCCTCACCCAGACCCGCAGGCGTGAGCACATCACCCCCATCCTGGCGTCCTTACACTGGCTCCCTGTACAGCACAGAATTAATTTTAAGCTTTTAATATTTGTTTTAAAAAGCCTGAACAATCTTGCTCCACCTTACATTTCTGAGATGCTCCAGCCTTATTGCCCACCCCGACCCCTAAGATCAGCCGATCAGCTGCTACTGACGGTCCCAAATACAAGGCTGAAGCTCAGAGGGGACAGAGCGTTTGCTGCTGCTGCCCCGAAGCTCTGGAATGAGTTGCCCTTGAAAATCAGACAGGCCTCATTTCCTGTTTTTAAATCCCTTTTAAAAACGCACTTTTACTCCTTGGCTTTTGATACTTTTTAGCGTTATTTTGTTTTTTATCATTTTAGCACTTGCTGTGAGCCTCCTTATTTATTTACTTATTTATCCCCTTGCATTAATGTATTTCTGCTCGCCTTATCTTGTTCTTTGTGTTATTTGTTTTTATGTGTCATTGTACAGCACTTTGGCTACCCTTGTGGTTATTTTAAATGTGCTATAGAAATAAGGTTGATTGATTGATTAATTGATATTCCCGCTCATCCCCTGACGATACACATCCGACGATGGCTGTGTCATCAGAGAACTTCTGGAGGTGACAGCTCCCAGAATTGTAGCTGATAAGTGCCACTATTTGAGCTAAAATTAGAACAGGCCTGCGGGCGACTCACATGGCCCTTACGGACGACCTGGTGCCCGCGAGCACCGTGTTGGCGACCCCTGGACTAGAGGATGACATTTTTTGGGAATTCCTGTGGGTCATGTGATTCCCGTGGGAATCCCACGGAATGGGAGTCATTTTTTAAATAATCCCGTAATTGGGATGGGAAGGGGAAAAAAAAGCAACGGGATCGGGCAGGAGCGGGAACAACATTAATAGATGATCATTTTCAGCCATGTTAACAACCAGATGAACAGAAGCATCCATTTTTGTGGTCATCTCTCGCGCTAGCAACACAAAAGAACTACAACAGTGGTTTGACTTCCTGTCACCACCGAAAGTATAAAAGAAACTCGGAGCGGCTGCCGGCGATGCACATAACTGATGTGGTTTTCCCATGTTACCTCAACAAGAATATATATATATATATATATATATATATATATATATATGGCCCCCCATGAGTCATGACTGAGACATGAGTCATGACTCATGGAGGGTGGCACAAGGACTTCCAAAAAAGAAAAAAAAAAGATAACTCTGCACCGCAAAGCGGTTTTGTATTAACTCTTGTCATATTGACGCCCCTTGCTGCTGTAGGCGCCTCTGCTTGCTGCGAAGGTGCCACACAGAGGCTGACAGACTGTATGAGACGAAATGGGGAGAGGGTCGCGGGGGACAGCTCTGCTCTCAGGATAGCTCTCACTCTGCCATTCACGGTGGCTCAAGCAGAGAGGAGCTTCTCAAAACTGAAGTTGATAAAGTCATACCTAAAGTCAACCATGTCTCAGGAACGGCTCACTGGCCTTGCCGTCATCAGCATCAATCACTTAACCCATTTAAACCGGGACAGCATTAGCCTGGCTGGGCCATCCAGTTGCGTGAATCACTTGCCGTTCCTTCCCACAACAGTCTGGACTTCGGCCAATTGGGAGCGTGTATTAGAAATCAGAAAATAACCGAGCTAATCAGTGACTGTGTTTCCACTGTTCCCCGGACAACAGGGAAAGGCAGCCCCTGATTGGTCCATGTGTAAATGGTGACGTCTAACATGCTGCGGGACTTTTCAAAGCGCTGTTCATTCAGAACTCAGTTAATTCTGCAGTTGACTTTGCAAAGTCAGCAGAAATCGTTTATATCCGCAGAAGAAGACGTACAAGACATTGTTTGCTCACACACGTTGAAATATTACCAAACCTTTACTTGATGCTTGAGAGCCCAGCAGGGAACACAGTTGCGCACTGTGATGACGTCAGATGTTTGGTTTCGGTGATTGGTTACAGTAGTCTGTCTATCAAGGAAAGTACTCCCGCCCACTTTTAGGGCTCCCCATTGGCCGAAGTCCAGACTGTTGTGGGAAGGAACGTCAAGTGATTCACGCAACTGGATGGCACAGCCAGGCTAGGACAGCATGTCCGCACTTCAACCTTCCAAGCCGAGACCGCGGCTGCTTATTTTCTGCGCGGATACGTCATTTTGTGACATTCTGTAGCTTTTTAATTATTTCTGGAGACGTGGCAAATCAAATCACCATATCCGTCTGCCTCTCATAGGCGAATAAAGCACTTGGATTCATGCTCAAATCTTGCTACGTGCTTCAAGAGTAAAGTAAACAACGATGGAGGCAGAGAGCAGCTTTGGAGGCGAAACATCCAGCAGTGTAAACAACCTGTAACATGACTTTGGGTGAGCACAGACATGAACACACTGTCAGCCACGTATTTATTTATTCATTTTTCTAGTTTTAAGTGCTGGTCTTGTTCTGGCACTATACTAGGGCAGCTGCATACCCTTTCAACACTTTACTTTTTATATTTACATTTGTGTTGAATGGACCCTTTATCATGAATGCCACTTGTTTTACAGAATGCAAATAGTTAGTTATTCTCCAGTGCAGAGTCTTTACTTTTATTTATACAGCAGCTTTATTTCATTTAAGTTTGTTTATTCAAGGTTTTCAATAATGTGATAAAGGCTCCAAAAAATAATAAAAAGCATTCATGAAAGCCACACCTGTAAACTCTTAAATCCTTTTTGAATTTTGTTTTTATCTGCTACAGAGGCCGAGATATCACATTTTTTGTAAACCTCAACCGTTAAGAAAACCTCAGGACCTGGGGGCCCTTCTCAAAATTGCCCTCAGGATTTCAGAGGCGCGGCTCAGATAGGGTTCAGGTCTTAATGGTATAATAAGGGAGCAGATTTCTTATGAAAAGATTATTGATGATTTTGCATCAAGGAAGGCAAGAAAGGTAAGGTTTCAGTTTTAGTCCCATCGCCCGGGGAGTAATTTAGTCTAGAAACGCCATTGTATATATATGCAGTTTGTTTACACCAACCGAATGTCAGGCATGTGAAACTTAAAGGCAATGCCTTTAATATGCACTGCACTTTTACCTAAAATTAAAAATGCAACCTTTTTTCAACATGTTTGGTTTTATTCAAACGGGAGCGGGACAGGAGTGGGAGTAATTTTGAGTGGGAGCGGGATGGGAGTGGGAGTCATTCTACGGGAGTGGGACAGGACGGGATTATTTTTCTTACTTCGGTCCGAATTGGGACGGGACAGGATTTTTCTCTGGGAGTGGGACGGGACAGGAGTGAAAATCTGCTCCCGTGTCATGCTCTACTTCAGATCTTCAGACCTTCACCTGTGAGATGAACTCAGATCTACCCGATGTTTCTGCTCTGATCTCTGAGCTCCAGAGTCTGATGTTCAGATGTTTTCAGTGAGTCGACCCAAACTCTTTAAAAGATTCAAAATCTGCAGAATAAAAAGAAACCAAATCAACAGTGATTGGATGTTTACTGGGGGGGGGGGGGGGTAAAAAAGAGAAAGTGGATTCTGTATTTTTTACTTTTATCAACGTGTAACACATGAATTCTGAGAGTGAATTTAAATACTTCTTGACTAAATACTAAAATTTTGATTTGAGAGGACGATAGATTTATTTAGACACGTTTGGGACACGATGCCCACTACAGACGGTTCTGCACTCTCTGTACATTTTAACAAAAAACACACTTTGTTTCAAAAGACTGAAAATGATGAGCGACGGATGACGGCCTCTAAGAGAATCAGCAACTCCTTCACTTCCTGTGGCAGACAGACTTTGCTCTGATTATTGAAGTTTTATCCTTGATTCGGTTCACCGGGATCATGATCGTGGAGAATTTCGAGGTTTGGAGGGAAAATGATGAAAGTTTGAACTTCAGGTTTAAAGAATAACTTTTTCCTTCACCCCAAACCCCGTGAACACGGACTCAATCTGATGGCCGGACGTTGGGCTGTGTTTAAAAAGATAGTGAGAGTTTTTAAACCATAAAAAAAAATGTTTACCTTTCTGTAGACCAGGCCCATGACGGCGGTCTTCAGCCTCATTCCCACCGTGAAGCAGTGAAACATGTACTGATGGTGGAGCAGAGACTGAAGACATGACAACAGGAAGAGCAGAGCCGCAAAAAGGAAACCTTTCCACACCTCCGCGTCTCTGTCCCGCATATAGCCCAGCAGAAGGCTGACGACAAAAAAAAACAAGTAAACAACAGCAACCTGTAAACAACAATGACAAAAACAACAACAATGACAAAAACAAAAAAAAAACAACAACCTGGGGGTATTCAACGAAGCTGGCTTTGCTCAAAGCCTGGCTTATTTCGGTTGGCTTGGCTAATTTTAGTGAGAGTTCGGTTCCACAAACGAGGCTTAGGGCTAGCGTGGCTTGGTAACCATGGATACTCAGCCAGCGCGACAAGCCTGGTCCCAGGCAGGCTTACGGTCAAGCTAACCTTAGCTGCGTCTCAGAGAAGGTCCGACGGGCTTCCAGAAGACACTTTGTGAACCGCATGTCACGCAGTAATTTCATCTTCATCTGTAATAAATGATGCTCTTGTTCGGAAAAATAAATTGAGAGCTTTTTATAAACAACATAGGAATACGTGAATCCGGACATGCCCAATACTACGCCAACCTCAAAGAGAAAGAGAAATTCAGTAGCTGAGTGGGTAAAGAGAAGTGCCGGTAAAATGTGTTTTTCACTGCTCGGTGGGTTTGATCCCGTCAGCTGTAATTATTTGGAAATATCTGATTTTCTTTCTTTTATTCTGTGACTCTCAATGCATAACAGGATAAAGGCACAAGCGATCTCATCCAAAACACTGCAGGCGACAACAGCAACAATTTCCCATTAAAAAAACCTTCCTTTCACCAGTGGTCCATTCTGATTATGATAATGTAAAGGTGATGGCAAATGACATGACTACTCTGTGTACAAGCTCATTTGTGTCTTCTCCATTATTTAAATGAAGGGCACTGTGCCACTATCATCCCTAATAAAAAAATAAAATAAAATAAATACATCTCCAGGTACATGTTTTTCTTCACTTTTTGTCTGAGTCTGTCTACTTTGGTTTTAGGTCTTACCTGTAGCTGCTATACTAATCGATTATGGATATCTATTTGTCAAATCAAGAACATGAATTTTGCCTACAGGGCAGTAGTGGTTCTAGGCACGGGCGAACCGGGCAGCCGCCCAGGGCGGCATTTGTGTCATGACTCATGGGGGGCGGCACGAGCACTTCCAAAAAAGAAAGAAAAAAGATAATAACAACAATAAATCTGCACCGCAAAGCAGTTTTGTATTAACCCTTGTCAAATTGGCGCCCCCTGCTGCTGTAGGCGCCCCTGCTTGCTGCGAAAGTGCTGCACAGAGGCTGACAGACTATATGAGTGAGCTGCACATACACAAGATGAAAAGTTTTTAAGAAAAGTGTTTACAGTACATACGCATAGGTGAGAAATAAAATTAGACAGCCAAGCAGGCTGACTGCATCGAGACATGCATCGGTTGTAAAATATTTGTCGGCTATAACTTATGAATCTAAATTGTCCATGATACTTTGCCACGCCATCTCCCTGGCTTTCACAATGGCAACAGTGTTGCCCTTCTTTTGAAATTTTCCCTTGTACTCTTTGTACAACTCCATGAGGAGTGTTTGCTCCGAGGTTGAGAAAGACTCCACTCTGCCCTTTTTTTCCCCATGATCTTGTCACTTCGACAATCGATCGTCAGGGCTTTTTATGTACCGCGGGGGCGCGCATAGCCACGGCTTGGATAAGCCTGGCTAGAATAAGCATCTCTGAAAAAGAGCCTCGTTAGTGGAACAAGTCGCAGCTAAGATTAAAGTGGCCGCTTATTCAAGCCATGCTTACCGGCGATAGCCCAGCCTTCTTTAGCCAGCTTCGTGGAATACCCCCCTGTAAGCAACAACAAAAACAACAACAAACTGTAGACAATAACAACAACAACAACCTGTAAACAACAATAATGACAACAGGAAGAGCAGAGTGGTAAACAGGAAACCTTTCCACACCTCTGCGTTGGTCCTGCATGAAGCCCAGCAGGAGGCTGACAATGACAAAAAATAACAACAACGACCTGTAAACAAAAAAACCCAACAACAACCTGTAAACAACAACAACCTGTAAACAACAACCACAGCAACAACCAGTAAACAACAACAAAAACAACAGCAACAACGACAAGAACAGAAACAAAAACAACCACAACAACAGAAACAACAACAAACTGTAAACAACAACAGCAACAAAATACAATGACAACCTGTAAAAACAACAACAGCAACAACAACAGAAACAACAACAACCTGTAAACAACAACAACGCCAACAACGGCGACAACAACCTGTAAACAACAACTACAACAACACCAACAACAATGACAAAAAACAACTTGTAAACAACAACTACAACAACTACTACAACAAAAACAACAACTACAACAAAAACCTGCAAACAACAAAAACAACTAAAACATCCACAAAAACAACAACCTGTAAACAACAACAATTGCAACAACAACAACAACAGGAACAACAACCTGTAAACAACAACAATTGCAACAACTAGGGAAACCTGTAAACAACAACAACAAAAAAACAACGACAAAAAACACACTCTGTTTCAAAAATGATTAGCGATGGATGTCGGCCTCCAAACTGTGGGAGCAAAAAGAATCGTACGAAGGTTGTGATCTACACAATCTCTGTACGTTCATAGGTTGTATCTAGTGTCAATCATAGACAACATGAACCCCCTAATAACTTTTAAAAATGGAGCTGTACAGGAAAAAGAGGACTTGAGCACAAACCAGTCTGACAGTAACTACATGTCAACATCACAACCTGGGGGGGGGCATTTATATTCTGTGTCATTAATTCATAAAGTTTGTCCAGAGCTCCATAAGGAGGCGGGATTTATGACCTATACAGCAGACCGTCACCAGAGGGTGCTGTTCTCACAGAGAGGCATCTGGTGGTCCTGCATCATCAACAAACATGGAGCATGTTCAGGTGTTTGGTGGGCGGAGCTTAAACCTCCGGACCTGCTGATAAAAGACCAACCTGCCCGACCTTCAGGTCTCGTGTGACTCACCTGAGAACCTGTGGAACTGTGAACATGAAGGCGTCGTGTAAGAGGAGACATACGGTCCCACACAGAAAGTACAGTCCAAAGCTACGCCCCAGAGCACACAGCAGGAAAAGCCCGTGGCCCCGCCTCTTCCTGTTCTTCCTCAACAGTTGGGTTTTTTCACTGGATGAAGGTTCACAGCAGGACTGAGATAATACAGATCCAGATGACCCCTCCCTGCAAACAGAAGCAGACCCGGTAAAACCTGTCCCACCTGTCCCACCTGAAACTGAACAGAGGGAGGAGTTCAGGGAGGACCTCCCTCTATGACCCCACAGGAGGACCGCCCTCTGTGGACCCACAGGAGGATAGAAACCTTTGTTTGGACCCTCAGAGCTCCTCTCAGGAAAGTTCTGGTACCTTACAAACTTCACTGATTGGTCAGTCCAAAAGAAAAGGCAGAAAGTGGTTGATTAGACTTCGACCTCGACAACGTTATACAGAATGGATGAAAGCTAAATGCTGAGAAGTGGAATCAAAGATTAATAAAAATATATATATATATATGTGGACGGCAGAGGTCGCTGTCCTGGATAGCGACCTCCGCCGCTCCATCACCTGCTGCACGAATCCGAGACCACGTTCAGGACAGACTCATTAACCCTAAATCCTCCTCAGACCTCTTGACCGCAGAGTGACTGTATTGATCCTTGATCAGGAGCATAGACTGTATATAAGATAGACAGCCTGGTTTCGCCTTCCGCCTGTATACGGATTTGAAGCCAAAAAGCTCTCGGTAATTCCGGGTCTTTCTCCACTTCCTTGAAACCAGAGCTGTGCAGTAGCGTTGTACGCAGACGTTTTTGGCTGGGCGGGAGACTCGGAGCGATGACGCTCCGCTCAAAAAGAGTATTTTTTTTTGTAAAGATGTTTTTTTATATTTCATCCTGTCTCTTTTTGTCCTCCGTACATGACTTCTCTGAACTATGAAAACATCTTTATTTCTATATTCTGAACTTTCTACAAACTAAAGTAATTTCTTTTTTTATCCACATTTCATTAATACTTCTAATTTCCTTGATTAAAATTTATATTTCTAAGAGCCTCAGGATAAATAAACGATCTGGTTCTTATTCTGGTTCTGATCCTGTTCGTCAGTTTTAATTCATAATGATCAGTTAACCATCTTTTATTGTATCGATGAAACTAAACCATTTACGTCCATAATAAACTCACTAGTACTGCTAAAGTATTTTATCTAATCTCTAAATAATAAAAATAATCATCATTATCATCATCATCATCATCATCATAATAATAATAATAATAATAATAATAATATTTCTGCAGAGGGCAGTATTCCTGAAACTAAAGTTTGTAATCTGAGATTTGACAATGATCAAATCCTGAGGAGGTTCATAAATCAAATATTACATTTAATGTTGGGCAAAAGTTGCAAGAATTTTTAAAGTCGATCCCTTTCTTAATGTTTCTTCGGGTATATGGTCGAATCCTAAACTTCAAATCGGTAAAGCCCCCATTTACTGGAGGGTCTGGCAGGAGAACGGTGTGACCACACTTGGTGACCTGTATGCTATGGGGTCCTTAAAATCTTTTCAGGACCTAGTTAAGCAATATAATATCCCGAATTCTCAATTTTTTAGATATATGCAACTTCGACATATGCTGGTAGGGCTTTTCGGATCTGTTGCATCAAGTCCCCAAAATACAGAATTCCTGGATAAAATTATAAAGAGTTTCAGGATAGGTAGCAAAGCAGCAGTTTATTACTCTATGTTGACTCAGACAATAGGCAACGGGCCCATCTCTGCTCTGAGGAGGACATGGGAAAGGGATCTCAATATAACATTTAGTGAGGAGGACTGGAACAGGATTTGTAAAAACGTTAAACTAATCTCAAGGGATGCAAGAGTACGCCTTATTCAATTTAAAATTATACATCGTTTTTACTGGACTCCTACAAGACTATTTAGATTAGGACTGTTGCCCACATCAAACTGCTGGCGATGCAAGACTGAGGAAGGCACTTTAGTTCATGTGTTATGGTCATGTGATAGAGTTCAACAATTCTGGACTAACATTTATGATAATCTGTGTGTGATTACAGGGATACAAATACCATTCAACCCTAGACTTTTCATTTTGGGTGATCACTCAGGCTTGACAGGACAGGATAAACATATTCAAAGTTTTGTCCAAACCAGTATTATGATTGGCAGACAAGTACTTATAAGAGGATGGAAGACGGAGGGGGTACCCTCTTTTCAGGAATGGGCAGTGGAGATGGCACGAGTTGCAGCGTTTGAAAAAATGTCATATAGACAGTTGGGCAGACTGGATCTTTTCGAAGCAAAATGGGGGAAATACTTAAAATTCTTAAGAAGACTATAAAAATGGTCATATAGGCGAGAGATGCAATTTCCAAGTTTTAAATAATTGTGGACAAACATATATAGGAGAACGGCAACGATTTATTTTAAATTTATTTACTTGCTTATTTATTTATTTACTCATTTATTTATTATTTCTATCACTATTACTATTATTATTATTATTATTATTATGTGTATATGCATCTACATGTGTATGTATATATATATATATATATGTATATGTGTGTGTATGTATGTATGTATGTATATATATATTTATTTATTTTTTTTTATTGTTGTTTCCATTTGTATTTGTTAACCCTTTTGTGTCTGTGTATATGTGTATGCATGGGCATACATGTATATTTAGATGTTAATATATATACATATATATTAAGTTGTTATGGGTGTTACTTTAATGATGTCTCCTGTTCTGTTATAATTTCCATTACTATCTATAGTCTTTTTTTTTTTTTTTTTTTTACTCATTATTTTAAATTACTTGCTTATTAGGTGTTTGTATGTATTCAGTTATTTTTATATATTTATTTATGTATTTATTTATTTCTATGTATATATCATTTATATTTTGTGAATTGATATAATTATAATTACATATAGTATATATATTGTATATTTTCTATTACTATAGTTATTATTCTATTTTATAGTATGTGTATGTATATGTATATTTATTGTTATATACTTATTAATATTTTTTATTTATTATTTTATCTTATTTTATTCATATATTTTCTTGTATCTCAACGATGATTTGTGTAGAGATTGTGATTGCTTTATGTTTAGCTACATTGATGCAGCCGATCCAACAAGGCAAGTGGTACAAGGAGTAGCACAGTGGCGTACTTTGCAAGCCAGAGAGGAATGAGTGCAGTTGGTGGTGACTTGGGGAGGGAGGGAGGGATGTTTTGTGTTTTTGTGTTTGTGTTTGTACTGTTTAAAAGAAAAATGGAAATAAAAAAATGTTAATCATAAAAAAATATTACATTTAATGTTAAATATTTACAGTCATGAGATCCTCTCATTTGGTGCTTTTAACCAGAACAAAGTATCAAAGATAAATATTAGATACACAAATGAATATAAAATATAGAAAAAAATATAAAAGTAGCCCCACACAGCAGTGTCTGATAAAACACATGAAATACTTTAAAATTCAGACTGAAGGATTCGACATACTGTTGCTGTTTGCAGTTCTGAGTCCACAACTCCCCGAGGTCTGCCATGATCCGGTCTGATGAGTCCTGCTCCCGGAGGGACCACAAATCAGCAGCCAGCAGGGGGCACCGGTAACCCCTAACAACTAAACTGATGAGAAAAAAAAAAAATTAATCATCAACAAAAATACTAATTTAAATCAGACGGTGGACTTTGTTAGTCGAACTGCGTTTGCTGAATTAAGAAACTTTTTCCACTTCAGTTTGTTCAGTTTTTAAGATTTTTCTGAGAATGACGTTTTTCAAGAGTTTTTTTTTCTTCTGTTTGATTTTAATGAACAAAAGACCTCCTTACAGTCTGCACTGACCTCCTCACAACCTATTTTCTCAATCAACACAGAGGAGATCATTGCAGACAGTAAGTCAAGCACAGAAACCGTACATCATCCTGTAAATTTCAAATAAAACCCCATATGTGAACTCCTGACTGTGTATCAGTTGGTGTAGATGAGAAATCCTTCCTGGTTCTGGATTTATCAGTAACACAGAACAATCCGATGGTCAATCCCTGATCCATGTGGACCCCAACAGGACTTTGAACTGCTAACTCTGTCTGAAGGTAACAGCACAGCATAAACGAACAGAGTTCACTTTATTAAACATGAGTAAACCTGCAAAAACACAAACTGTAAAATCACTTCAAGCTTTTTCACATATAGTAGAGGCTCAACAGTCACTGAATTATATCCAAATTATTAGGAAATCGACCACAGAAAGGAAAAACAACCTGTTGTGAGCACGTTGTTTTCTCTATATGCGGGGGGTTGCACTACGCTACAAATTCACTTCCTGTGGGTAAGGGGAATCATTTTGCTCAGTTGGTAAAAATATTTAAAAAACTTCAATCTTAATCTGACTGTTAAATAATCTTCTGTTATTCTCCGGGGGGGGGGGGGGCAGCTCTTTAGCACCCCCTATTGACCAGCTGATACTGGTCCTCAGAGTTGAACAGGTTCTTACCTGCTGAACCAAAAGAAGAAAAATCTGGAGAGAAATGAAGCGTCTTCTTCAGGACACGGGTTCTAGAGACGGAAAAATTTCATCTTTAAGTGAATGACTGAAACACAGGTGTGTTACCTGAGTGTGTGTTACATGAGTGTGTATTACGTGGACACAGGTGTGTTACCTGAGTGTGTGTTACCTGGGTGTGTAGTATGTGGACAAAAGTGTGTTACCCGAGTGTGTGTTACCTGGGTGTTTAGTACGTGGACACAGGTGTGTTACCTGAACATGTGTGTGTTTCTGAAAAAGTGGTCTGCAGTCGGAGAAGCAGCTGAGGACGAGCTCGGCGAGTTGGAGAGAAAAACAGATAAAGAATGCCATGAAGCGGATCGGGTCTGAAGAGAATCCCTAAAACAAACAGGTCAGAGGTCAGAGGTCAAATGTCAGAGGTCAGATAATTGGGAGACATAATTTTATTTATTTTTTAAACTTATTTGATTTTTAGAGTTTTTCCTCCACAGCTTTTGTGTCTGTAAGAGCGCTCTGATAATCGTAACTACATAAAGACTGCAGCGGAAAAGGACAAAGTTTTTAATCGCTGTGTAATAAACCAAAAATAACCCAAAAATAAAACAAACACCCCCCAAGAATAAACTAAAAGAAACCAAAAAGAAACCAAAAATAATACAAAATAAAACAAAAATAAACTGAAAATAACACAAAAATAAATTAAAATAAAACAAAAATAAACCAACACAAAACACAAATAAACAAAAAATAAACTAAAATGAATTGAAAAGAACTAAAATAAACCAAAAGTAACCTAAAAATAAAACAAAATAAACTAAAAACAAAACAAAGATAAACAACAAATATTACCAAAAGTAACCAAAACATAAAACAAAAATAAACCAACACAAAACAAAAATAAACTAAAGATTAACAAAAGAATAACAAAAATAAAACCAAAATGAACTAGAAATAAAACAAAAAGAAAATATAAATAAACTAAAAATAAACTACAAAATAAAACAAAAATAATTAAAGATAAACCAAAAATGAAATGAAAATGTAACAAAAATAAAACGAAAATAAAACAAGAATAAGATAAAAAATAAAACTAAACCAAACTAATGATAAACAAAAAATAAAATAAAAATAAACCAAAAATAAAATAAAAATATAACTAGAGTTAAACTAAAAATAAAACTAAGATAAACCTTCTGAAAAACATCAGGAGGTTATATCTGAACCGCCTGTTTGTTTGATTCGTATTAGTGAGTTCAAAGTGTCCATGCTTAAAAATCATCAAATCTTTGTTTTTTCATTAGCAGCTGAGTGTGACCTGTGAACTCAAACCCTGTGAACCCCTCTAAACTCTGTGTTTACGTCCACATGATGTGAATTAAAGTCAGGGACCCCTGAGGTGAGACTGACGGTTTCATGTGAAATTCTGCAGCTGAGAGAGAAGAACTGAGAGAAGGGAGAACAGACCAGACTCAGATCTACACTGAGGACAACATCTGGACTGTTTGGGGACACATGAGTCCCACCTGGTCCCACCACGTCCGACCCTGTCCGACCCGGTCCCACTCCAGTCTTATGACCCTAACAGCTCTTCAGCTTCAGTTCCCCCTTTTCACAAACCACTTTATATCAAATTCAGGATATTAAACAGACGCCATTTGGAGGTCACTCCCTCTTCACAAACTTCCTCCGAGGTCTTTTTAAACATTCTGTCAAAAACTTATTTGTGAAAAACTCTCCCTCTCTGTTTCTATTATTAGTGCTTTGTCGTCCTTTTTGTCTGAGACTGGTGACTTTGGATAAAAAAATAATGCAATGTTTCCCCGTCCTTCAGTGTTGTCTGCTGTTAATAATTCATGGATGAGGGTTTTTCTGTTTTTGTAACAGGAGGAGTTTTGTTATTTTCACGGCGTAATGTATTATTATTATTATTATTATTATTATTATTATTATTATTATTATTATTATTATTATTATTATTAATTTTAAAATAATTGCACCAGAGGAGCTCCGTCCTTTTCTTGAGTGTTTTCTTTCTTTAATTAGTTCTACTCTTTTATTGATCAGCTCTATTTAATCACCTCCATTATTGATTATTGTTTTTGTGGGGGTTTTTTGTATTTTCAGATTTTCCACATAAGAACTAAAATATACAGTCTGCCAACAAACACTGAAAATATCCTCTTCAGGATCCACGGGTCAGACCTGATCAATCAATCATGATCAATTATTCAGACCTGATCAATCAATCATGAGCAACCATTCTTACCTGATCAATAATCTGCTCGATATCAGCCTTCAGAGGGACCAGGGAACACAGAACCAGGAGACTCCAGAAGAAGAAGAGGAGAACTGAAGAACGGGTACCCTTCATCCTCTCCACCTGGATAAGAACCACAGCCAGAATCTGAGGAGGAGGAGGAGGAGAAGGGGGGGGGGGGTAGGAGGAGGAGGAGAGAGGAGGAGGAAGAGGGGGGAAGGAGAGGAGGAGAGAAGAGGAGGAAGAGGAGGCGGAAGAGAAGAGGAGGAAGAGGTTGAGGAGGAGGAAGAAGAAGAAGAGAAGGAGGAGGAAGAGGAGGAAAAGGAGAGGAGGAGGTGAAGAGGAGGAGAAAGAGGAGGAAGGAGGAGGAGAAAGAGGAGGAGGCGGAAGATAAGGGAGAGGAAGGGGGGGGGGTTCTGTCTTTATGCTGATTGGTGGATTAAACGGTTGCCGTAGTAACCAGTTGCCCTTTTAAAGATGGAGGCTCTTACCAGGGTCAGACTTCTGACCAGTGGACCAATCAGGATCAGGACGTGGTTCTGGATCTCCTCGTTCTTCCGGACCAGGATGTAGAAGATCTCCAGGAGACCAAAGGAGGCCAGACTGAGACCCAGGAGCTGAGGGGTCAACAGAGACCAGAACCTGGACTCAGAAAAGGTTCCTGTCAGAGGGGGCGAGGTCAACCTGTGAACAGGTGACTGACACATTCTGAGCTCTGATTGGCCGATCAAAGTCCTGATGGGAAAACTGGGTCATGGACCTAATCTCAGGACTCTGAGGACATCAAGAACTTTTTGGAAAGTCCTACTGATCCTGTTTGACCGACCTTCAGCGGTCCTGGTCCTGGTCCTGGTCTGGGATTTAGTTTTTTTAATAAAGAGGTCTTACTATAGACCAGATCTAGACCAGAACAGACCGGGGTCAGGACTAGACCTGGACCAGATAAAGACCACCTGAGTCCAGAACAAGCTGGGGTCCCGTTAAGATTAGACAAGGATTAGACCAGGATCAGGATTAGACCAGACCAGTTCAGACTAAATTAAGACCAAGATCAGACCAGGATTAGACCTGGTTCAGACCCGATGGACTAAGTTTAGACAAAACAGACCCGGTCTAGATCCGGTCTAGACCGGGTCCTCGTACCGTCTTACTGCAGCAGAGCTTGGAAAGGGGGAGGCGGCCTCCTCGGTGTGGGCGGAGCTGCAGGTAGATCAGATAGAGCGGAGAACAGGTCCACAGGTAAAGACAGGGGAACCAGACCAGAACCGTGTGCTGGAAACACTGGGTCAGGTCTGGTCTAGACGTGTACCAGGTCAGGTTCCAGTCCTGAGACCACAAGACGGGGGGGGTAGTATAGGTTTGAAAATCTTCGTTTAAATTTATGTTCATAAATTCGTTTAAACTTATGTTAGTTTCACAGAAACTAAAATTAAAAAAATCATCCCTACGAAGAGTGAAGGAAACAGGAAACAGGAAGTCTTACTGTGTGAGAGTGAAAGGGGGGGTAAATCTATGTGATGTCGTGTCAATCGCTCTGCGCGTCTCTATTCTTCACACTGGTTGCTTGTCTTGCTAGCGAGCAACTTACATTGACACAGTGAATAACATGGATGACATCATGGATGACATCATCATTCCCACCGTTAATTTTTTTTTAACCAACAGCAAAAACTTGGAGTGGAACATGACGCTGGTCCGAGTTCATCTCATGAATTTAATCGTTAGACGACGACTTTATCGTGGTCAACAGGAAGTGAGAAGAAAGGAAGTAAACCTGCGAGCGACTCTGGACAGGAAGTCTGTAAACCTCTGAGATCAGCTGTAAATCATTTATCTTTATCTATGACATCACTTCCTGTTCCTGGATGAACTCCAGTCAGCAGAAGAACCGACTCTTCGATTCCTCATGTCATTTCCTGTCTTTGGTACAAAGGTCCGAACATTTCAACAAAAACTCTCACACTGGGCAAAAACCAGACCGTGGTTCAGTTTGGTCCGGACCAAGATCCAGAACCCAGAGTCTCTTTGGCAATCGAACCACAAACCCTGTGAGTGAACCGACACTGTTCAGGCTGAAACATTTTTCATCTTTAAAGTTAAATATTAAAAATAAAATCATCAGAATTTCTTCAGTAATAATCAATCATCCATTTATTTTCTACCGCTTATTCCCGTTCCCCGGGTTGTGGGGGGGCTGGAGCCTATCCCAGCATCTTCAGACAAAGGCAAGGGACACCCTGGACAAGTTGCCAATTCATTGCAGGGCTGACATATAGAGACGAACAACCGTCCACGCTCACATTCACACCTACGGACAATCTTAAAGTGCCCAATTAACCAAACCTCACTTGTGCTTGTTTTCGGGATGTGGGAGGAAACCGGAGTTCCCAGAGTAAACCCACACAGACACAAGGAGAACATGCAAACACCCTGAGCCGAATTTGAACCCTTCTTGCTGTGAGGCGACAGTGCTAACCATTAAACCACTGTGCTGCCCATAATCAATCAGTCTGTTGGAATAAATAAAGTTTAAAGTCCAAACTCACCCAGAGAGGATCCAGACCGCTCAGACTGCAAAGATCCTCCATTTAGACTCCTTTCTTCCTTTTTTAGCTCAACTATCCTCCTTTCCTCTTTTCCTCTCCTCCTTCTCCTGCTGACAATCAAGCTCAGAGTCCCCCCCTCTCTGTCCCGTCCCGTACCCCCCCCCCCCCAGGGAGAGAGAGGGGGGGCGGGACGGGACAGGACAGAGAGAGTGACGGTTTGGATTTCAACAAAAAGGGAAGGAGCCAAAATGAAAGAAACAAAAACTTTAAATGTCAAAAAATCCAAAACACACACACACACACACACAGGGAAACAAGCATCAGGTTAGACACAGAGACACACAGTTAAGGACAACTGAAGTGGAAGGCTGTGTCCAAAATATATCCCTTACCCCCATATGGGATTTCACTATAAAGTTGACTATTTTGTGAACTCAATCACCAGGGGCCTCATGTATCAACGCTGGTGGCGCCAGAAAACCTTGCGTCCGCCAAGATCGGCGCACACGTCCAGATTTATCATCGCGAAATGAGCGTCGGTTCCAGCGCTAATCAACGCAAAGTGAGGAGGTGGTGTAGAAGTTGGCGTTGAGCCGATACTTGCGTTGACGGCACTTTGGCGACGCTGTGTGGCGGTGTTTGGTGACTCACTATGTGACAAGCGTGCACCACATCCCCGTGGCCGAGCAGCACGTCGCCCCACATGACGAACCAGCAGCAGACGGAGGGATGCGAGCTGATCCCTGCCGGGCCACCGTCCTCGCGCGGGAGAATCTCATCGCCACAGTGTGAATGGGTAAGAAGTGAATACACAGTTCAATGAGCCAAATTAATTTATTTTCGCCACCAGACGCTCGAGGACATTTACGAGCCGGTCCAGCCGCTCGTTGATCCCCGCGATCCCCCTGATGATTTCTTCCTGCGATTGCAGGACTGCCTCCGTGAGGACCCTTCCACTGCGTCCGGGTGGTCGCGGCTGGTGGACGCTCCACCGCTTGTTGGCGCGCTGGTGCTGATGCTGGTGCTGGGGCCGGGGGCCGGGGTGGCCCGAATGCCGCTGGTCCTGGCCGACGACTCCGAGCCGGCGGACCGGCCGTGGTTCCGCAAACCGGCGACACGGCCGACACATTGATTTCTGTGACACAATAAAAATATTGGTTCATTTCAATTCCTGCTTCTGTGTATCTGTTGCGTTTACATCTCTCTCCACAGTATCATAGGTAATGTAATCCAGTATTTAGAGGTCGGTTATGCACATTACTGTTGTTTATTGCATAAAAAGTTATCAAAAAATGAAGTTAAGGGCGAAGTATAAATCACGTCTAAAAATAGACTGAATCCCGACGTTGAAATGAAGTATAAACTTAGACTAGACATCTAATATACGTCTTTTGCTCAGTGGGATGGCAAAGCATGTGGACATTTGTGTGACACACCACTTACCCTATAATAATAATCGCCACCACCCGCTGCTCAAACGGCGTGAGGGTCTCCTCCCCCGGACCCCCACCTGTCTGGCCGGTACTCCTCCGGAGGGCAGCTGTACGCCGCTTGACCTGCACCTTGAGGTCCGACCACTTTTTTTTTTTTATCTCCGCGGGGGTGCGTGTCTCGGAACCCACCGTGTTCACCCTCTCGCAAACTTTCTCCCACTCCAAGCGTTTTCGTTTTGCACTGACGCCACTGGACAGGCTGCCAAACAAAACACGCTGTCGCTCCTCCACCTCCGCCACCAGCACCTCCACCTCGCACGCCGTAAATTTAGTTTTTCTTGTCATTTTGTCTGCGTGCGAGGACAGGGAGACCCTATTTAAATAAATCTGCATATTTATAGGAGGGCGTAACGGGGGCGGGCCCGGTCACTCCGACTTCTGCGCTCAATTCCAAGCTGATTGGGATTTATCAAGGAAACACACGTGGCTTTCGGCGCCCGCACACCTTGATACATACGGATTTTTTTCAGCGTGACGGACCTTGCGTGCGCTCGTTTCTGGTATGAGTCCCACGCAAGTGTTGATACATGAGGCCCCAGAGGTTTCGGACATTACATGGCAAGACGCAAAGCATGATGGGATGGCCACCACCAGTGAGTGACCATCGGATGGTCACTACATTTTGCAATGCTTTATGGAAAATTTTGAGTCACCTATATGGGCATTGGAATTGATCACTCATGTTTCGGACACCCCTCAAAATGGCGCTAACCCCCATATAGTCGCCTATACAGGGGTTTAGGGATCCATTTGAGTCACAGCCACAGTAAAACAAGACGAGAAACACAGGAAACGACTCCTACAAGATAAAACAGGAAACACTAAAAACTGATCTACAGAATAAAACACTGAGAAGAGGAGAAAACAGTGACTGGACTACAGGGGAACAGGACTACAGGGACCAGTACTACAGGGGAACAGGAACACTCTCATAACCAAAACCAGGAGAAAACTAAAAAACAGAACATGGATCAGGACAGAGGGAGTCTGTGTGTGTGTGTGGTGTGTGTGTGTGTGTGTGTGTGTGTGTGTGTGTGTGTGTGTGTGTGTGTGTGTGAGTGAGTGAGTGTGTGAGTGTGTGTGAGTGAGTGAGTGAGTGAGTGAGTGAGTGAGTGAGTGAGTGAGTGAGTATGACTGAGTGTGTGTGAGTGAGTGAGTGTGTGTGTGTGTATGATTGAGTGTGTGTGTGTGCATGAATGTGTGTGTGCATGAATGTGTGTGTGTGTGTGTGTGTGTGTGAGTGAGTGTGTGTGTTGATTGAGTGAGTAAGTGGGTGAGTGAGTGAGTGAGTGAGTGAGTGTGTGTGTGTGTGTTTGATTGAGTAAGTGAGTGACTGTGTGTGTGTGTGTGTGCGTGCGTGCGTGCGTGCGTGCGTGCGTGTGAGTGAGTGAGTGAGTGAGTGCGTGTGCGTGTGCGTATGTGTGTGTGTGTGTGTGTGTGTGTGTGTGTTTTAATGAAAATATTGGAACACAGTGGGGTTCCTGAGAACCACAGTGGGGTTCCTCAGGGGTCGGGTCTTGGTCCCTTGTGTTTTTCCTTGTCCTGGTCTTTCTCAGTCCAGTAATCCCCTCCTGTGGATTTGAACGTCTCTGCAGATGAGACCCAGATCATCAGACTACTGTCATATTTCTAAACCACCTACAGCTGAACCAGTCCAGACTTGAACCTCCCGTCATTCCAGTCCCTCTTTACAACCACAGACCAGGATCCAGTCTGGATCAGACGAACCTGTACCCATTAAGTCTGCCTGGATCTGGGTGTCATGATTGGAGGTTCCTGTGGTCTCAGTCTGTCAGTCCTGCTGGTTCTACATCTATGAAAGCAGGAGGATCAGACCCAACCCAACAGAGTCCACAGCACAGCTCCTGGTCCAGGTTCTAGTACATGTACACAGAGGCCTCCCTGTGTGCTCCACCAAACCTCTGCAGATGATCCAGAAGGCAGCAACCATCTGGTTTCCAACCAAACATCTGCTTTCTCCACTCTTCATGTCTCTCCACCAGCTTCAGTTCAGACCAAGAAATATGAAGGTCTACTTCTCAACCTTCAGTCCTGCTGATACATCCTGGTCCTGTCCCCTCGCAGTCCCTCATGCAGGTCTACACTCCTTTAAACTCTGTGGTTTTCCCCTTACAACAGGCCTGACTCTTGTCCTCTGACGCCTCCTGGTGGTGGAGTAAATTATCAAACCCTGTCAGATCCACAGGCTGTGTCTCATTTCAGAGACCGCACCGTCGAACGGCGCATTTGAAGCGTGCATGATGTCATCACGCAGCACAAATGTGCCAAATGGGACACCATTTGGCACAAAATGCTAATGCTAAGTACGAAATGATGATGATGATGATAATGATGATGATAATGAAGATGATAATGATGATGATGCTGATGATGAAGATGATAACGATGATGCTGATGATAACAATGATAAAGAAGATGATGACGTTAAAGATGATGACGTTGTAGATGATGACAATGATATTGAAGATGATGATGATGATGCTGAGAATAATAATGAAGATGATGACAATGATATCTAGAAAAGCACTCAGAGAGCGCAGACCTCCGCCAAGCAGCTCATATCCCCCCTTATATTGTGATTCACACCGAAACTTTTACTGTTACATGTCTTTTATTAAAGTTTATTTGTGTTTAAACTAGTATGTTCACTGTTCAAAATGTTCCTAAAACATGAGATGCCCTGACCAGGATTCCAACCCAGGTCCTACTAGTTGTGCGGTGACAGTGCTAACACCTACACCACTGTGCTACCTATTTAAACCAGTATGCTGCCCATAGGTTATCTTTCAGCATTGAAAATTCCAATGACACCCTTATTACCTCCGCCAAGGAGGTTGTTTTCGGTAGCGTTGGTTTGTTTGTCTGTTAGCAACTTTACGGCGAAAGTAACAGACGGATTGACATGAATTTTTCACCAGAGGTGCGTCTCAGCCCCAGGAGGATCCCATTAAATTTTGGTGGTGAGCCGGACAAAATTTACATTTTAATTGACCAGGAGCATCTAGAATAGGTTCCATTCCAGAACTATGAGGCTTATTAGGGAATGAAGGGTTGTGAGTTTTAACAAAGTCACGAATTTGGTGAGAATTCGGAAGTTCATATTTACTGGCTAGTTCTCTAAAATTTGCAAAAATCCTGTCAATATAGAGATCTGATAGTCTAGAGAGGCTCAGTCTGTGCCACGTCAAGTAGCCTGGGTCTGTCCTTGAGGGGGCAAATAGATGATTATTATAAATAGGACTGTAGAGAGATAGTTCACGGAGGCCGAAAAAGGTTCTAAATTGAGACCATATCTGCAAGGTACTCACAACAATTGGGTTAGCTGAGTGATGTTTAGGTGAAATAATTAAAAAGTAATTTGGTAGTAGTTAAGGCTCGTAAAGATGTGTTAAGACATGAGTTGGCTTCAATTTTACACCAATCTAAATTGGGGTGTTGGGACCAGCAAATTATCTTAGAAATGTTAGCAGCCCAATAGTAAAACTTAAAATGTCAATAATGTTGATAAAGATGATGATAATAAGGATGATGATGATGATGATGAAGATGATGATGACAATGAGAATGATAATACAGAAGATGAATTAACGATAATGATGATGATGATGATGATGCTGAGAATGATAATGAAGATGATGAGGATGATGATGATGAGGATGATGATGATGTTGATGTTGATAATGAAGTTGATAATGTTGATTATGAAGATGATGCTGATGATGATGATGTTTATGATTATGATGCAAATGATGATGAAGATGATGATGAAGATAATGATGATGAGGATGAGGATGATGAAGATGACAGTCCCATTGTGACTTTATTTGGTAGCACATTGACTTCAGTTGATGGTAAATCATAAAGATTTTTGATAATAAGGATGATGATGATGATGATGATGAATATGATGATGATGATGATGATGAGAATGAGAATGAAGATGATGATTTAACGATAATGATGATAATGATGCTGAGAATGATAATGAAGATGGTGATGATGGAGATGATGATGATGATGATGATGATGATGATGAAGATGATGATGTTTATGATTATGATGCAAATGATGAAGATGATGATGATGATGATGATGATGATGATGATGAAGATGATGAGGATGAGGATGATGACGGTCCAATTGTGACTCTATTTGGTAGTATTTTGACCTTAGTTGATGGTAGTTCATAAAGATTTTTACTTCCTTCAGTGTCTTATATCAGTATTTTTTTTTTAATGTTTTTTTTTTTTCCTTGCAATCTTTTTTTGTGTTTGTTTGCTCCAAAATGTAAATAACTTTGGTCAAAAGTTAAATGACATGTTGTCATCTTTGTTTAAGGTCTTTATGGAAACATCTCGTTAGAAATAGGAACGGAAGGAATGTTGAAGCAGGTTGTTGAAGCTTAGTGTGAAAGTTTCATCAGGACTCGGACTTCAACACGAGTCTGTGAAAGTGTCAGACGGCAGGCCTCACGGTTAAAAATAAACACTTATAATACAACACAATAACACAATAAACTCATTTATTATGTTAATCCAGCTCATTCACATCTTAATTACCTTAATAACCTTCATTGTGAAATATCTCCTCCGTCCACTTGATGTCTTTTTTCTAGAGTTATTAATAAACAAAATGAGTTTTAACTTTGTGGTTTTATTGCTCAGATTTGTGGTGTTTTAATCTACACAAACCTTTTCTCATTTATTTTTGATTAGTTTTTGTTTCTCTGTGAATTTTTTAACTCGGAATGATTGAAGTAATTTATAAAAATCTCCAATACAAAAAACACATGCTGTTAGACTGAGGACACTTTGTTGAAAACTGAGATAACATACTGTTTGAAACTTTATCATCAAGTTTACTCCTTTGAAAAAAAAAAAAATACAGTAATATACAGCAGGTACTCTCTGAAACACTGCAATTATCCTAGAGAAAATTTCAAACCTGTAAATGAGAGCAACCCAAACTGTGAAGGACAAATGTTGAATAAATAACTTATCGCTGGTCTCAGGGAATCATGGGTTATAAAAGTTCAGTTCTTCTTCACCTGTATGTGAACTCTTGTTCTATATATATATATATATATATATATATATATATATATATATATATAAGGATATAAGGAAACATGAATTAAGACCTGTGAAAAAGAAATTTAGACCAGTGTAAAAGAGTTTCAGACTAAAGTTAGAGTTTAAGACTAAAGTTAAAGAATTTTAGACTAAATTTAGAGTTTTAGACTAAAGTTAAACAGTTTCAGACTAAAATAAAAGAGTTTTAGACTAAAGTTAGAGTTTCAGAGTAAAGTTTAAAAGTGTCAGATTAATGTTAAATAGTTTCAGAGTAAAGTTAAAGGGCTCTATTTTTGTGCCTCGCCGGAGACGTGCCACAAGCGCAGCGTCAGTCAGATCCGCCACGCTGACAAGGCGTTCCCAAGCACATTTTGGTATTTTGGTGAGCCGCGCAGCCCGGCGTAAGTATCCCCCCTCCCTAACTCAGCTCCTCCCAGCAGCATAAGTCGTAGACGGGGAGGAGAGAGGGCGTGGAGTGGGTTTAACACAGCCGAGACCTGTTTTCACCAATCACATAAGCTCCGCTCCTTGCCTTTAAATCCGCCACAGGCGAGGCGTATTACTATTTTCATAAAGTAGTCAAAGAGATCAAGAGATGTCTTAAGACAGTAATGCCACAAGATAGCGACAGAGGGCAGCTCCTCAACAAGTGTCCTCCACACTCTCTCATATGAGCACAGATGGATTTGGTGTGTGTAATGTTGGACCCAGTGGTAAGACAAACACCCTTTTCCACAAATAAAGACACTCACATAAAGTTGCTCATATTCAAACCTCACGTGACAAAGGTGGGTTGAGCGCACAGATCACAACATAAACTCCAAAAATGGCATTAAAATCGGAACCATCTGTGCATAAATGACGCATCGCGCTCTGTGGCCTGGCTCTTTCTTTCATAGATGTTGGCATATAAAATAAATTTGGCTCACAAAACTGAATATTATAATATCCGTATGTCGGCTTAAAGTAGATAACGCATCTGAGCACTGAAACAAATCATCTGTTCAGCCGCAGCAGCAGCAAGACGGACAGAGGACACAGAGACGTGTCCAGGTCGAGCTGTGCGAGAAATGTGAGGAAGAGGAAGAAAGAAAAGGAGGGAGACGAATTACATATCTTGTTAACTTCATCATGTGTGTTTATTTACTAGATATTTAATTTGATGCGGTTTCAGCTGTGTTGATTCGGTCAGGTTGTGTGTCCAAACGTGTGCCAAACGCGCTCATCAGATCAGATATAGATCAGAATATATCTATATAGATCTAAATGTATGTGCTGACTCAGATTAATAGTTGTTGATGATTATTTATTGCACTGAAATGTGCCTGACACTGTGGAAACCTGCCGGTGAGGCATCAGTGACGTATGTCGATACGCCTCAGATCTACCAAAATACTACTAGACCAGCTGCGCTCCGCCATGCGCTGAAAGCTGACCAGGTTTGAATCGGCGAGCTTTCAGCGCACTTTACACGCCGGTGGCGAGCACGAAAATGTCACTGTGCCTGCTGATTCTGTTGACACCTCCCCCTGCCACGCCACCACGCCCAGCTTGGCGGATCTCGGCTCGCCTCCGTGCGGCTCAGGCCACGAAAATACCAAACCGGCCTTACGCTGGGCTCCGCCAGACGAAAATACAACTGTGCGGGGCTCGCCCCCCTCCGCCGCCTCACCGGCGCGCACGAAAATAGAGCCCAAAGAGTTTCAACTCAGTGTAAAATGTTTTCATGAGAAAAAATGTTAAAAAGGTTCTAATTTATTTTAAACATTGTTTCTACAGGAGTCAGCTAAACACCAAAAGATTTCTGCATTAGACCCAATAATCCTCCTCTTCACCTCCTCTTTCTTCATTTATACCTCCTTTTCACCTCCTCCTCTACTCCAACTTCACCTCCTTTTTTCCTTTTCTTCTTCTCTTTTTAACTTATGTGCATCTTATCAGTCTTTTTCCCACAATGCTCTGTTGATGTGTTGCCACAGTAATCCTCTCACAGTGATCCAAGGTGTTATGTGAAACAATCAAATTTACGTGAGACAGACTCAGGTGAGAGTTTTCAAACAGAAAGAAAAACACGAAAGGGAAACTGAAAAAGACAATACTACTAAAGCACTACTACAGAATAAACAGGAAAACCTTTAACAACTTCAGTGAAGTCAAAAATGCAAAGTTTCATTTTCCTGCAGATGCCATGATTATAAACACCTTAACATTTATCTTTCAAACACCTTTATATATTTATTTTTTGTTAATGACCGGTAAGCTGCTCTCACTGCTGTTGGGATGAATTTCCGTTAAATCTGAAAATGTTGATGAGACTAAAATGAATAATGGTCTGAGAGAACGGAAACAGATTCTTATTTTATATGAAGAGAGGACTGAATGTGTTCGGACTAAAAGAGAGAATTTTACAGAAAAACTGAGACTCTGATGAACAGGAAACTGTAAAAACCTCTTACAGACAATTTTAATTCACATTTGAGTTAAATTTGATATTCTTGGTTAGTTTGGTTTAATATGTAGTTTTCTAACTGGTGACACGATAAAAGGGTTAGTCCTCATAGAGATAAATTGATGTTTTTCTGCTGTTTGCAGTTTTATTCTCAATGTTTCTTTCGTTTTCCTTTAACTACTCCCTTTCTTTGTTTTGGTCCAAGAAAAATCAATAAATAAACATAAACATTTTTCACAGTGTAAGCCTGCAGTGTTTTAAAACCCACATTTGTTTTCACAGAATTAATTATTTTATTTTTTTGGTTAAAAGTGAAACATTATCTTTTTCTCATAATTCAGATTTTATGTCAAAAGGATTAAAATAATTATGAACATTTGAGGAAAACTTTCAAGATCAAAGTCATTAGGAGTATACATTAATTAAACCCTTTGGTCCTTCAAAATAAAAGCCCATAAAGTGAGCTTCCCATATGTTTAAAATACACACCCACCAGCCACTTTAATAGGTACACCTCACTAGTTCTGGGGTAGACCCCTTCAGAACCATCTTAATTCTTGGTATCAGAACTTTAATAAGGTTTAAAAATCTTCCTCAGAGGTGTTTGTCCTAATTTTCATCAGAGCGTCACTCAGGAGCTGCAGATCTGTCCAAAAAGGGTTCTACTGGACTGAGCTCTGGGACTCTGGAGGCTACCGGGGTCCAGGGAACTCGCCATGTTCCAGAAACCAGTTTGAGGAGGTCTGAGTTCTGTGGTCCATCATCCTGCTGGGATCAGAAGATGGGTCACTGTGGTCCTGAAGGGACCGACATGGTATGTAACGACACCCAGGTGGGCTCAGGTGCTACTAAGAGGTCCAAAGTGGGCCAAGAAAATCTCCCCCACACCCTGAGACCAGCAGCAGACCGGACCGCTGATCCATGCTGTCATGTTCGGACCCACCATCTGAAACCCTAGACACATCAGAACCAGGTTTCACTGAAGTCCAGTTCTGGTGAGCCTGTGTGAACCTCAGGGTCCTGGTCTTAGCTGATCCTCAGACGAGGACGTGTCGTGGGTTCAGAGACGGTTCTCTGCAGACTCTGGGTTATCTGACCTCTAATAAGCCATTTTCATCCACACAGCTGCTGCATTCTGGGTATTTTCTCTGTTTCAGACAGTCCTCTGTAAACCCAGAGATGGTTGTGGGTTCAAATCCCTGTCATGTTCAGGGTCTCTTAAATCCCCTTCTCCTCCATTCTAGGTACAAAATTGAGTGAGTGCTCTTGACCACGCCCACACGCCTATATGCAGTAAGTTGCTGCCATGTGATTGGCTGATTAGCTATTTATGTTAATAAGCGATTGAAAAGGTGTACCTAATAAAGTGGCCATTTGAGGTATAATGTGTAACTACAAAACAGAAATCTACAGACATACATGATAATCTTCATTTTTATGATTAAGGTCATAAAGTTTTTACAAACATAGCATTTCAAAATAAAATGACCGTCATTAATCTTTGACATCAGGTCATGCTCTTCAAAACCAAAAGCTTATAAAGATGATTTTTGTCTTTTAAAGGTTCAGGAATACAGAAGCCCATTGCAGTCACTGGATAAAAGAAAGTCACACATTATCTCATAATAACGAGATCTAATCTCATTATTATGAAAATAAAAGATAAAGTGAAAGTAAAGGTCTGTAAATCCTCACTTAAAGGCGATGGTGGCGCTCTCTCAGTTCATCTGCTCTAATAACCTTCTCGGTTTGAGACTCTAAGACATCCTCAAGTTTCTTCAAAATGAGGAAGGTTTTAATATTATATATTATATATATTTAAATACATATATATGTGTTGTAGCGTCGCTGCAGTGGACTAACGTTCCAGATTAAATGTTGACGTGTTTTGTGTTTTCCTCTTCACGGATGTCAGTTCATGGTTTGGAGTGAAACGGCGGCCAAAGTGGCACCTTTCTTCGTCTTAAATCAGACACATCCGTTTTTTTTAATTCAGTGAATCTGTTCAGGAGCGTCTGACTTCGATAAAGATTTTACAGATATAAAAATGAATCCATCAAATTAAAGAGTGATCGATAATTCAATACAAAATCATTAATCAAAGCAGTTCATTGGACAAGGAGGTTCTATTGAGACAAGTCACTCAGACTCCGATTGGTGGAGCGAAAATTACCCATGAAGCTCGGCACCTGCAGGCCAGTCGTTATGGTGATGCCCCCACACCACACCTGTAACACAGTAATAATACTGTTAATACTGCAATACTACTGCAAGTATCACCATTAATATTACTATTGCTGTACAAGTAGTGGAGTATTTCTGCAGTATTACTATTGCTGTACTAGAACTGTAATATTTCTGCAGTAATACTATTGCTGTACTAGTAATGTAGTATTTCTGCAGTACTCACAGTAAAGGCAGGGACCAGGGGCTGACTGAACTTCGTTTTAAAGGTGTGAAGAAGACGAAGACGATCGACGTCCAGAAAAAACAATTCGCCTGAAACACAGAGAGATACGACACCTAAGTAACATGACCAACAAACACCTGAGTCACATGACCAACAGAGAGTCACATGACCCCTTAAGACAGAGTCACAAAAGGTTTAAATTATTTATAAATAAATTTGTCCCCAGTCTGATCTTTGTTTTGGACGTACCATTTTCGTAGTCACAGTAGATTCCTATCCGCTGAGGGATCGGCCAATCCAGAACCTTGGCTTTATTGTTGTGCTTTACAGCAAGAGAGCTCTGCAGCCATTGGCTGGCATTGAGACACCATGAACCTGCACTCTTTCCTAATTGGTCGTAGCGACCCAGGCTTGCCCGGTAAGCCACGCCCACACTGAATGACTTCCAATCAGCCAGGGGGCGGAGCTCCCAATAATGAAAGTCATTGGTCATCTCCTGGTCACCTGGTACAAGAGCGACATCAGAGCAATAAATATTGATTTACTGATTTTACTGATTTATTAGTGGAAAGACTTTTTGAGAATTGATCTGTTTGAAGAGTTCATCTGAAAAAACTACAAATTAAAAGCCTTAGAAACCAGAGCTTCCTGTTGTTTCTGTCAAAATAAACTCCACTTTTCATTTTTAACAATGTTAGTGGGATAAGTACGAGGTATTACTGGAATAGAACGCACTTTGAAATATACTGCAGTAGTACCCAGTATAAAATATTTGTGTAGTAGCAGTCAATATGAGGTACTAGTACTCAGGATTGAGTATAAGTGTAGTTGTACTCTGTAAAGAGTATTTGTTTAGTAGTCCTAAGTGTTAAGTATTTGTGTAGTAGTATATAATAAAAAGTATTTATGTAGTTGTACTTAGACTTCAGTATTACTGTAGTAGTACTCAGTGAAAGTACCCAGGACTGTGTAGGACTCTCCTGCGAATCGATCCCGTCCTGTTCGGCCTGCTGTCGTCTTTTTGGGTGAGGGCGTGGCACTTCTGCGAATAAAAAAACATCAAAGGATCAGAGGGGTGGGAGCTTAAACCCTTTCAGAATAAAAGAGTAAAAAAAGAAGATGAAACAGCCAATGAGCTCGTGCCAAAGCGATGATGCAGCGAGAGAAAAATGACAAATATAAACAAAGACGATAAAATAATGAGAAATAATCCGAAGTTTTACTCAAACAGAGTTTATCTGACAGGAAACAGTCCGTTATTCAAACGCTCGTCATTGACCAAAATAAAGTCAGACAGACATTTAAAATCTGAATTTTACTGAGTCTAGTTTTTAAAGTTAATAAATGATTGTTTTGAACATCAACAGTCACATCGACTTAAAGATTAGCATGAAGGTAAAAAGTCGGACTATTACATAGAAAAACAAAATTCACTGAAAATAAACATGTGATGTCAGCAGTGATGTCAGCAGCTGACGTGATTGGCTGCAAAGGTTAGATGGCAGGTGAAGAGCTTGATCGGAGACAGAGTTGTTGCCAAGCAACTAGTAAATTACAGCTACCTGAGCGTGTCATAGAGGACGCAGTACGGAGACTGTAGAGGGACAAAAAGGTGAGAACACACACACACTTACAAACACACACACTCACACACACACACACACACACACACGCAGACACACACACAGCAGCAGAGAGACAGTTTAATATTTCAGATTCACTTAAAAAACTACATCAAGTCATTTCACCATTGCTCAACCTCTATCTGACCACCGACAGAATTCAACACCAGCAAAAAAAAACACTGAACTGTTTGTCAACTCTGGCGCCGTGGCAACAAGTACAGTCTAATAGCCAGTCAGCTGATTGGAGGTCTGTTTCAGTCGACGCGAAAAACAGGTTATTCAGAGAACAAAAGGTCAAAAGGTCGCTGTCAGGCAGGTGATCATGTGACCAGTCCTGAGAGCTGCTATTGGCTGCTTGGCTGATTTCCCTCAGACCAACCCCAACATACTACTCAACAACTACAACTCCAATGATCCTCTGTAATACTGACCCCAAAAACATATTCCATCACCTGATGCTTACCTGTATTTATTTTCCTTTCCTCTGAGGCGAGGGTCATGACCTTTGACCCCCTGTGGCTCCCAGGTCACCGTGTCATTGACAACCTTCAGCTCAGTGTGCGCAGTCGCCGCGTCAAAGCCGAAATTATAGGCTGTAACAAAATATGTACACAGTATGTATACATACAGTATATATATATATTATATCAAGTTAAATTTCAGCTCTTAAATTCTCCTCAAAGTGACTCTTCCTCCTCCTCCTCCTCCTCCTTGTCTCCTTTAACAGTGTCACTCATTATCTATTTATTTACCTTTGGTTTCCACGACCACAGGATCAGAGAACTCGCCAGCAGCCGTTTTGTTTTTGGCTCGGACTCGAATGGAAATGAAGCGGGAATCAAATTTGAGACCTGATAAGGCGGAAACACAGAACTGATCAATTCAGCAACACATCGATAAAAGCTTGGAGTTGGATCTGGATCAGGTCTACACCAGATCTTAATTCTGCTCGCTGAGAACCTCCATCATCCTGGACGTTCACCTGGATCACATGACCTTTCTGCTCTCCAACTACAAACATCAGACTCTCTCTCCCACTCTCTCTCTCCCCACAAGATTTATCGATAAACAATCTGTAACTGATCAATGGAAAACAAACTCTCTGTACTCTGACCTGAGATGGTGACGGAAGTCTCTCTGATGTCATCAATTTTTTCCCAGCATGCCTCTCCTGTGGCTCTTAGTGTCGAGTTGCGGTTTGTTTTTCGGTACTCCGCTTCGTATCGCTCCACTTGTCCACCATTACCGTCAGCTGGTTGCCAGGCAACAGTGATGTTGTTGTCACAAACAACTAAGCTTGAGACATCGATCTCTGGTGCTCTGGGAACTGTAACATATTCAGGAGTTAGACGACTCCGTTTTGTTTCCATGACAACAAGGTGAAGAACCCTGGAGAGCGTCAGGTAAGATCAGATAATGACCTCCAGCTGAATATTCTGACCCGCTATTTTGACCTCGACCTCGAACTATGCTTCAGAAACAAGCATATAAAAACAGAAAATTCAAGGAAATAAAGAAGAAAAAAACAGTCAATAAATAAAGTTCGATCACACCTGACCTGACGGACTTACCTGGCAGAAAATAGAGTTTTTGAAGATCTGCCCTCTCCGCACTAAAGTCCGTGGTAAACTGTGACATGTTCTGTGACACGATTGGACGAGCTGTGAGCCGGAATGCTGGCGCCATGGTTACCCTGGCAACGGGAAGGGCAGGTCCAGCAGGTGTGGGGTTAGAGTGTGAGAGTGGGCAGGGTTTATCATGAACATGGAGACATATGTGGGTGGAGATTGTTAAAGTGTGGGTGGGGTTATGTGATTGAGGAGACTCTCATAACCAACGTTTGTTAATATCAAGTATTTACAGTTTTTCTCAGTTGCTTTGGTACATTTCTCAGATCAGAATTTAAATTCTCAAAACTACGTGTTCAATCTTCACATCATTGTGCCACTTGTGCACATCAAAAAAGCAGTTTCTCATTTCTTTGAACAACTTGCAAATGCTTTGGTACAGCCATGCAAATGATTATGTACAATTTTCTGCAGTTTTCTACATTATCAATTGCTTATGTCATGTTGATCAAAATGTATTATAATGGGTCTCTGTTGAATAGTCTCACCCCCCACAACGTTTAGGCATTAGTTCATTGCATAAGTCTTTACACGCAAAATGGTTGAACAAGCTGTCATAATATATCAAGCATATTTCTATACATTTCCATTAGACGTTTCTGAATCTGTCCTGAATTGGTAAATTGCTCCCAGGTGACTCTTGACTTTCTCTAACGGTGGGAAATGTGTGAAGCATTAGATCAACCAATGATCAACCACTTTTCTGAAATAGCTCAAAGGTGCATCTCATGAACCATCAACTGGCAAGTATATATATTGCCAGGGCACAACACAATGTTACAATGTCTGACAATGGAAGGACAAGGAATTGGACGGGGTCAACAGCCAGAGAGAGGAAGAGGAAGAGGAGTGAGGCTGCGTGGCGGAGGAGTTGGGAGGCAAAACAGAGGAAGAGGCAGAGGACATATGCACGTTCCTGATGAGATAAGAGCTACACTTGTAGACCACGTTCTCAATCATGGGCTTACAATGGCTGAGGCTGGCCGAAGGGTGCAGCCAAATGTTGGGAGAACAACTGTGTCCTCAATCATTCAGACTTTTCGTTGACAGAACAGGTATGTAATCTAACAATAGGCACTGTACTGTAATACTGTATACTTTCTGTAATGCTTCATACAATATTGCAGTATTCGACTTTCATTTTACAATATACAGTAAGTATAGTATATACAGTGACATTTTGGATGAGTGACATTTTGTGGATAACAATTTGTTGCCTAACAGACAGGAACATCAGGAGGTGTTGGAAGACTGTACTGTAATTCCTACAGCACTGCATTTCCAGTTTTCCCTAAGGAAATTGTCCTATGTTCACATTTCTACTTTTGTTATTTTGTTTTTTTTATTGTGCTCTGCAGTGCTGTCTTTTTCTTTTCTGTATCGCAATGACATGGTCTGTCATCAAATTACAGTCTCTTGCAATCAATCTCCCACATACACTGAGGTGTAACTTACAATTTACAATGATTGTCATCAAAACTTTAGCCATAGTTTACATCAGAACATCCCTCCAGAGTACACTGTTATATTGACAACATGACTAAGCAATTTGACTGTCTTATCCGTACACAATGACTCAAGGACTTGTCATTCTGATGGCACTGACATGTTCATTGACACAGATATTTACTTTTGAGAGATGTACTAAGGATTTTGAGCAAGAGACTGGCTTTTGCAGGTAATCCATGGTGTCAATTAAAAAATGTATCAAAATGTCAATCAGCCAAAAAAAGGATAAAAAAGGATAATTTTTACAAACATCAAAAAGGATCAACTAGGAAGAAACTATAAACACACTACATACAAAGTACAGACAAACTACAGACATCGGTGCAGTTTTTAGAATACTGAGGGTTTGTACTCACCTCTCTTTGATATCTTTGGCTGCCTGAGAAAAAAGAAAACAAAAACAATTTTACAGAATGTTTTTTTTCTAAGAATTTTTTCCTTATCCTTTCCTGGTTAAATTATAAGGTAAATAAATTGGATGGATGGATGGATGGATGGATGGATGGATGGATGGATGGATGGATAGATAGATAGATAGATAGATAGATAGATAGATAGATAGATAGATAGATAGATAGATAGATAGATAGATAGATAGATAGATACCAAACTGGGAAATTCTCAAAGATTTATTATTTTATTTACTTATTGTAAAATGATCAAGTAAATACATTTAAAAAGATTAAGTGAATAAATTGTAAAATGAAAACGTAAATGAATTGTAAAATGTTGAAGTAAATAAATTGTAAAAATGATAAAGAAGATAAATTGTAAAGTGATAAAGTAAATCTTTGTGAAATGTTAAAGTAAATAAATTGTAAAAGGATAAAATAAATAAATAAATTGTAAACTGATAGAGTACATAAATACATTTTAAAATTATAAACTAATAAATAAATTATAAAATGTTTAAGTGAATAAGTTATAAAAATTATAAATTTAATAAATTATAAAATGATGAAGTAAATGTATTGTAAAATGATGAAGTAAATAAATTTAAAATGATTAAGTCAATAAATTAAAAAATGACAACCAATAAATAAATTGTAAAATGACAGGTCAATAAATTGTAAAATAATTTAGTAAATAATTTGAAAAAATAATTAAATAAATAAATTAAAAATGATAAAGTAAATAAATTGTAAAACTAATAAAGAAAATAAATTGCAAAATGATAAAGTAAATAACTGTAAAATGATGAAGTAAAAAAATTGTAAAATGAGAAAGTAAATAAATTTAAAATGATAAAATAAATAAATTGTAAAATGACAGTAAATAAACTGTAAAATGATAAAGTAACTAATTTGTAAAATGATAAAGTAAATAAATACTATTTAATTAATAAAATAAATTATTTTAAAATGACAAAGGTAATAAAATTTAAAATGATTAAGTTAATAAATTGTGAAATGATAAAGTTAATACATACATTGTAAAATGATAAAGTAAATAAATACTATTAAATTAATAAAATAAATTATTTTAAAATGACAAATGTAATAAACTTTAAAATGATTAAGTTAATAAATTGTGAAATGATAGAGTTAATAAATTAATTGTAAAATGATAAAGTAAATAAATAAATTTAAAATAAAGGTAATAAATTGTAAAATGATGAAGTAAAGAAATTGTAAAATGACAAAGGAAATAAATATAAAATGATAAAGTAAAAGAATTGTAAAATGATAAAGTAACTAAATAAATTGTAAAATGAAAAAGTAAATGAACTGTTAAATGACAAAGTAAATGAACTGTAAAATGATAAAGTTAATAAATTGTGAAATGATAGAGTAAATAATTAAATTGTAAAATAATAAAGCAAATAAATAAATTGTAAAATGTGAAAGTAAATAAATTGTAAAACGATTAAGTTAATAAATTGTGAAATGATTGAATAAAAAATAAACCGTAAAATGGTAAAGTAAACTAAAAAATGCCATTTCTGAAGAAATTACAAATGGGATTGCTCCTATTTAAATTGCTATCGCTATGCTGCTATTGCGAATGGCTGAATTTTGAAAATATGTGAAATTTAATGATCAGGAAGGTTTGAATTAATTTGAATGAATTCAGATGAATGAATTGAATAATTAATGAATAATAATTTTAAAAAATCTACATATGAAAATAACAATAAAATTGAAAACCCTGAAATATGTGAAAGGCTTAAAGTATCAGAAAGGTCTGAATTAGTTTAAATGAGCTGGAATTTGTTTGAAAAAATTTAATACTGAATGAATAGTGAAAATTATTTGGAAAAGGAAAATCAAAATAATTTAAAATCTGCAAGTATGAGAGGTTTGAAGATTTAGAAAGGTTTGAATCAGTTTAAATGAGTTGGAATTAGTTGGAAGAATTAAATCATGCATAATCAATGAGTGATTGAAAAATGGGGAAAATTCAAATTAATAAAAATCCTGATTACACCCCATAATGTCCTCAATGAGCTGAATTTTTGGAGCCCTGCATGGTTTTTGTGGCTCAAAGTTTGTGCGAGGAGATAGGGGCTGAAATTTGTTAAAGTGCTCTGGTGAAGGGTTTTAAATGTAACCCCATGTACTCTGTGTGCTGAGCCTGGCTTCATGTGTCTCATGAGGCCGTTAGAAGCAGCTTTTCAGTCAGCTGTGTGTCTCCAGGTGCACTAATTGGTAGCCATGGTGACTGTAGATGCATCACTAGGATGGAGAAAGGGGGCTTGAAGCTGAGAGAGCAATGTCCAAACAACCCCCTAATGCTCTTGCTCTGTAACTGCTATCTTCATTATAATGCTCTTGTGAGAACCACAAGTCCCGGCTGAACACATTGGTACAACTTCTGTGTTTGTGGAGCCAAAATTGCCTTCACTAGAACAAGTTAAAAACATGTCCAGTTTGTGTTTCCGCTCAGGTTTATATTGGAGTCAATGGAGAAAGCTGGAGAAATTTAGGGGATGTCTGTGGCAGTTGGTGTCTGCCCAGGCCACTGTGTGTGTCCTACGGCTTTCATTTTTGAGATGAAGAGTGACGACGAGTTTTGCCATCACTGTACCAAATACTATATGTGTAGAGTTAAATGAGTTGCCACAATCCTTTTGTAAAGACAAAGTTTTGAGGGTAAATTTTAAGCCTCTCCCACTCTAGCAATGAGGTCACCCACTCTAGCTGCTAACATGAGATGAAGAGTGACAACGAGTTTTGCCATCACTGTACCAAATATTATCGGTGTATAGTGAAGTGAGTTGCCACAATCCTTTTGTAAAGACAAAGTTTTAAGGATTAATTTTCAGCCTGTCTCACTCTAGCAGTGAGGTCACCCACTCTAGCTGCCAACATTCCATGCAAAACACACTAATGTTAAAACCTGAAGAGGTCAGAAAATCCCATGACTGTTTGAACTGTCGCTGTGAGAAAAGTATGAATGCCATGAAGATCGTGAATAGACGAGTGAATGTCTGAAGGTGTGTGAATGTTTTAAAGTTTGAATTTGAATGAAGTTTCTATGTTGAAGTATGGCGAAGTTGAAGGCTTTTGAATTAAAGGGAGAAAAGAAGCTGTTTTGAACATCCGTGATTCATTTCTAATGGGAGAAATCAGTCGGAAAACCGTGAATAACTCGGAAATTATGAACATTAGGAAAATTTTGAATACATCCCTGAATGTCCTCAATGAGATGAATATTTTGAAGTTTGAATGGTTTGAATACGTGGAAGTATGTGGAAGTAGTTGAGGGCCAAAAAACGGTGGAAGTTGCTAGAAAACTAGAAAAATTGCATTTCCTTGCAGAAAATGCGTGGAAATGCTGAGTGCTGAAAGCTGAAAAAGCAATGCTAAACTGCTAATAAAACATAGAGGAAGGTATAAATGTTAAAGCTGTTGAAGGGGTGAAAAAGAATTATAAGTTGGATAATCATTTAATTGGTTGAAGGACAAATAGTATGAATATGCTCTATAAAAGGAAATTTTATTCATGCTGAAAGATGCTAGAAAAATGTCTACAATTGCACAAAGTTTGAATGAAGAAGGAAATTGCCTTAAAAGGCAGGAAGGTGAGAAGTGGCATAAGTTTAAGTTGTAGTAATAGAAGTAGTATGATAAGTAGTCAAGTAGTGATATTTGTAGTCATGTAAGCAGTAGAAGTAGTTTGAGAATAAAAGAAGTATAAGTCAAAGTAGTAGAGAAAATAGAAATAGTAGCAATAGCAGCAGTAGAGAAAGTAGAAATAGGAGCAATAGCAGTTGAAGTAGAGGGGAAAGTACTTTAATTGACATAAGCAGTAGTTGTAGTTCTAGAGGTGGGATTTTGTTTGAAGGATGGAATAATGCATGAATATGAAAACTAATTTAAACAGAGAAAATTTAAATAATTAAAAATCCTCAAGTATCAGAAAGTTTTTAAGTATCAGAAAGGTTTGAATAAGTTTGAATGAGTTTAAATTAGTTTAAAAAAATAAATAATAAATCCTCACTGGGTGACTTTAAAATGTGAAAAATGTAAATGAATAAAAATCCTGAATACACCCCATAATGTCCTCGAAGAGCTTAAATTTTGAAGCCCTAAATGGTTTCTGTAGGTCAAAGTTCATGGGAGGAGATAGGGGCCTAAGTTCGTCAAGCGCTCTAGTGAAGGGTTTTAAATGTCACCCCCAGTTCTATGTGTACTGAGCCTGGCTTCATGTGTCTCATATGGCCATTAGAAGCAGCTTTCCAGTCAGCTGTGTGTCTCCAGGTGCACTAATTAGTTGCCATGGGAACGGTAGATGCATAACTACAGCAGGAGAAAGAAGACTTGAAGCTGAGAAAAAAAATCCAAAACTATGCCCTGATGCTCATTCTCTGTAATGGCTACATTCATGATAAGAAACTTGTGAGAACCCCACGACTCTGCTGAACATATTGATACAATTAATTAACAAAATCCAAAATACACCCCATAATGTCCTCAATGAGCTGAATTTTTGGAGCCCTGATGGTTTCTGTAGGTCAAAGTTTGTGGTAGGAGATAGGGGCCACACACATACACACACACACACACACACACACACACACACACACACACACACACAGTCAGACTGTGTGTGTGTGTGTGTCTCTCGTTAATGATTTTATCCTAAACAGCTGTGAGATCAAAGGCATTAACTGACCCACTGTTTGAATGAGAAGCAGTTGAACTGCTGTGAATTTAGGGCCTCTGAGCTTCTTCACATAGCATGATTTCCTTAAATCCCAGAATGAAAATAAGAACATCGTACGAATCCTCCGCCCTTCATGAACACAATGATGTGTTTTTTATGTCTGTACTCTAAAAAATGTGGCCACAACAGTGAGTTAAAAAAGTCTGAGCCTGAGTGATGATCAGGATTTTCTTGGAGAAAAATTGCATTGGCGCCAATCCCAGGGTTCTTTGCCTTTTTTGGACAGTTGGTCACCTGCTGGCCAAGGGGTATGATTTAATAATTTGAAACCTCTTTTGTGAGAAGCAGGACACATATACCTCAATTTTGATGTATTTTTTATGGCTGTGGAGTAAAATTTGTGGGTGTGGGAGCGATATATTCCAGTGAGTTTCTGTCGATCCAAGAGGAGGTCTGCACTCTAGCGATGTAATCGAACACTCTAGCCTCTCCAATACACACCCATGATGAAGCCTGAAATTTGCTGAAAACCATGAGTTGCTTAAAGCTAAATTGTGGGAAAACAAATATCACAAAAAAGTGAATACAACATAAATAGTCGACAGGTTAATGAACATTTTAAAGCAAAAATTAGGTCTCTAGGTGACAGTATGCTGAAGTTATTAGGCTCAGAAAGTGGAAGAATAAGAAGAATTGGAAGATTTCCCCATTGACTCCCATGTTAAAATTTTGGCACAGAAAGTAAAAAAACAACAAAAAGTATAAAGGGTAGAAAAGTGAAAAGTAATAGCCATAATGTCCTGAAGGAGAGGAATAGTATAAAGTTGAAACAGCACAAACTGAGGAGGAGTTGAAATGGGGGAAGAAAAATAATAATAATAAAGAACAGAATAACAATAAGTGGAAATGCTGAATCAGCATTTCCACTTAATAATGATAAAAATAAAGATATGAATAACATGTAGTGGGAATGCTTCTCAATCCCACTCAATAATAAAGATATGAATAACATATAGTGGGAATGCTTTGCAATCCCACTCAATAATAAAGATATGAATAACATATAGTGAGAATGCTTTGCAATCCCACTCAATAAAGACATGAATAACATATAGTGGGAATGCTTCGCAATCCCACTCAATGATAAAGATATGAACAACATATAGTGGGAATGCTTCGCAATCCCACTCAATAAAGATATGAATAACATATAGTGGGAATGCTTCGCAATCCCACTAAATAAAGATATGAATAACATATAGTGGGAATGCTTTGCAATCCCACTCAATAAAGACATGAATAACATATAATGGGAATGCTTCACAATCCCACTCAATGAATAAATTGTAAAATAATAAAGTAAATAAACTGTAAAATGAAAAAGTTAATAAATTGTGAAATGATAGAGTAAATGAATAAATTGTGAAATGATTAAGTAAATTAATTTAAAATAATAAAGTTAAAAAAAATTGTAAAATGACAAAGTAAAGAAATTTAAAATGATAAAGTAACTTTATAAATTGTCAAATGATAAAGTAAATAAATTGTAAAATAATAAAAGTTAATAAATTGTGAAATGATAAAGTAAACAAATAAATTGTTAAATGAAAAAAGGAATAAATTAAATGCAAAGTGATGAACTAATTAAATAAATTCTAAAATGACAAAGTAAATAAACTGTAAAATGATAAAGTTAATAAATAAATTGTAAAATGATAGTCAATAAATTGAAAAATGATAAAAAAAAATAAATTGTAATATGACAAAGTAAATAAATTGAAAAAAGATAAAATAAATAAATTGTAAAATGATAAACTAAATAAACTGAAAAATGATAAAGTGAATAAATGATAAAGGGAATAAATTGTAAAATAATAATTTGATAAATAAATTGTAAAATGATAGGTTAATTAATTGTAAAATGATACAGTTCATAAATTTACAATAACAAGGTGAATAAATTGTAAAATAAAGAAGTAAATACATTGTAAAATGACAGAGTAAATAAATTTAAAATGATAAAGTAAATAAGTTGTAAGATGATAAAGTAGATAAATTGTAAAATGATAAAATAAATAAATTGTAAAATGATAAAGTTAATAAATTTTAAAATGATAAAATATATAAATCGTAAAATGAAAAAGTCATAGATGTTAGGAACCTTTAAAAACTCCTCTTCCTCACTGATGGTCAGAGTTTGGTTGGCAAACTTCAGAAGCTCTTCACACGACAACAGCGCTGACTTGCCCTCTGAGCGCTGCTTCTGAAAAATGACCCATCAGAACTTTAGCATCCTAGGAGAGACGAGGTATAAACTTTAACAAACTTAAAGTCTTAGAGAGTCTAAACTTGAATTTAAGAGTGTAAAAATACCCACTTAAATATACTTGAAGTTAGTGGGAATTTAAAGTTTGACAAACTAACATTGACGAGAATACAAACAGATTTACTGCGTAGTTTACGACAAACTTAGTTTTAGGCTTAAGTATAAACCAGAGACTGTATATCATGTGGACAATGTGACTCCGCCTCCTGTCATTATACCAATTTCAAGGCAAAATGTTTTTGGTATCCCCCTGCGTAATCTCTGTACACCCATTGGCTGTATCAAGTGTCAATCATAGAAAACATGAACCCCCTAATAACTTATAAAAATGGAGCTGTACAGAAAAAAGAGGACTTGAGCACAAACCAGTCTGACAGTAACTACATGTCAACATCACAACCAAGGGGGGAGAAACATTTATATTCTGTCATTAATTTATAGTTTGTCCACAGCTCCATTAGGAGGTGGGAATTATGACCTATACTGCAGCCCGTCACCAGAGTGTGCTGTTCTCAGAGCAAGGAGGCAGATGGCATCCATTCTGTAAACAGTGTAATGTTTAAACATTTAAAACTCAAAGTTTGTGAAAATATCAGTCAATGTGAATTTAAACTCTTATGAAATCATTTCTCAATAAAAAGGAAAAAAAGAAAAAAGGTTTAAGAACAAAAAGAACCTGAAGCTCTGCCTCTTTCCTTTTGCTCTCCTCTTTAATTATGCCACGAAGCTCCGCCCCCTTTTCATCCAGGACAGCACTAAGCTTCTCAAGCTCCGCCTCCAGCTCAACCAACACCTTACTCGACTCTTCCTGGTTAAAAAAAAGGTCGGTCAGTTTTTTTTAATAGTTCTATCCCTCTCTAAGGCCCCGCCCCCTTCCCTCAGCTAGCCAATCAGCTTTTACCTGGAGTCCTGTCAGCGTGTCGTCAACTGAGTCCAAGAAGGTCTGGAGCTCCTCGTTCTTATTGGATAAAGTGCTGATGATCCTGCAGAGCGCTTCCTGTCAAACACAAACACACTCAGATATACACACACACTGAAATTTACACATACACAGACGGACACACACACACACACACCTACACACAGAGTCCTCTTTAATCTCTTTGCTGTTTCAGTTCAACTCTGGTGGTTTTATAATAAACTGACCTGAATCTTCACTGAGGCAGAATAAAGGAGCGAGACAGAGAGAGAGAGAGAGGATTAGCTAACTGTCAGTGGCTAGCAGCCAAAGCCCCCCCCCCCCATCTCTCTGTGTCTCTCTCTCTCTGTTTCTCTCTGTCTCTCTCTCTCGCCCTTAGATAAATCAGAGGTTTGAGGATTTTGAGATAAATGATCTTCTTACCTTCTGAGTGTCCATCTCCACAGCAGAAGAAGAAGAACAAAAAGAAGAAGGAGAGAGAGAGAGAGAGAGAGAGAGAGAGAGAGAGGTCAAGTCCAAACAAGATCATAGCCCTACTTCCTGTTTGGAATTTCAAAATAAGACACTAAGGCTGTGTCCGAAATGGATCCCTAACCCCTGTAGAGGCAACCATATGGGGGTTAGCGCCATTTTGAAGGGTGTTCGAAACCTGAGTGATCAATTCCAATGCCCCATAAAGGCAACTCAAAATTTCCCATAAAGCATTGCAAAATGTAGTTACCATCTGATGGTGTGCATCCCGTCATGCATTGCGTCTTGCCATGTAGTGTCTGAAACCTCCAGTAATTGAGTTCACTACATAGTCAACTATATAGTGAAATCCCATATGGGGGTAAAGATTCATTACGGACACAGTCTCAGAAAGAAAGATTATTTTTATCCATCTTTGAATCAATCCAAAAATTAACCAACCATCTGAGTCAGGAAAACCTGGAAAACTGAACCTGAAAGTCCAGGACCTTTAAAGTCTAAAACTTAGAGTCCAGAACCTTAGAGGTCCAGAACTGAAAGTCCAGAAACTTTAAAGTCCAAAACTGAGAGTCCAGATCCTTTTAAAGTCCAGAACTGAAAGTCCAGAACCTTTAAAGACCAAAACTGAGAGTCCAGAACCTTTAAAGTCTAAAACTAAGAGTCCAGAACCTTTAAAGACCAAAACTGAGAGTCCAGAACCTTTAAAGTCTAAAACTGGGAGTCCAAAACCTTAAAAGTCCAGAGCTGGGAGTCCAGATCCTTTTAAAGTCCAGAACTGAGAGTCCAGAAGCTTTAAAGACCAAAACTGAGAGTCCAGAACCTTTAAGGTCTAAAATTGAGAGTCCAGAGCCTTTAAAGACCAAAACTGAGAGTCCAGAACTTTTAAAGACCAAAACTGAGAGTCCAGAACCTTTAAAGTCTAAAACTGGGAGTCCAAAACCTTAAAAGTCCAGAGCTGGGAGTCCAGATCCTTTTAAAGTCCAGAACTGAGAGTCGAGAACCTTTAAAGACCAAAACTGAGAGTTCAGAACCTTTAAGGTCTAAAAGTGAGAGTCCAAAGCCTTCAAAGACCAAAACTGAGAGTCCAGAACCTTAAAAATCCAGAACCGAGAGTCCAAAACCTTTAAAGTCAAAAACTGGGACTCCAGAACCTTTAAAGTCTAAAACTGAGAGTCAAGAACCCGTAAAGTCAAAAATTGAGACTCCAGAACCTTTAAAGTCCAGAACTGAGAGTCCAAAACCTTTAAAGTTCAGAACTTGGACTCTAGAACCTTTAAAGTCCAAACCTGTGAATCCAGAACCTTTAAAGACCAAAACTAAGAGTCCGAAACCTTCAAAGACCAGAACTGAGAGTCCAGAACCTTAAAAGTCCAAAACTGAGAGTCCAGATCCTTTTAAAGAACAGAACTGAGAGTCCAAAACCTTTAAAAACCAAAACTGAGAGTCCAGAACCTTCAAAGACCAAAACTGAGAGTCTAGAACCTTTTAAGTCCAGAACTGAGATTCCAAAACCTATAATGTCCAGAACTGAGAGTTCAGATCATATTAAAGTCCAAAACTGAGAGTCCAGAACCTTATAAACCAAAACTGAAAGTTCAGAACCTTTAAAGTTAAGAACTGAGATTCCTGAACCTTTAAAACGAAAACTGAGAGTCCAGAACCTTTAAAGTCCAAAAGTGGGGGTTAAGACCCATTTAAAGTCCAGAACTGAGAGTCCAAAACCTTTAAAGACCAGACTGAGAGTCCAGAACCTTTAAAGTCTAAAACTGAGAGACCAGACCCTTTAAAGACCAAACTGAGAGTCCAAACCTTTAAAGTCCAGAACTGAGAGTCCAAAACCTTTAATGTCCAGGACTGAGAGTCCAAATCCTCTTAAAGACCAAAACTGAGAGTCCAGAACCTTTAAAGACCAAAACTAAGAGTCCGAAACCTTCAAAGACCAGCACTGAGAGTCCAGAACCTTAAAAGTCCAAAACTGAGAGTCCAGATCCTTTTAAAGAACAGAACTGAGAGTCCAAAACCTTTAAAGACCAAAACTGAGAGTCAAGAACCTTAAAAGTCTAAAACTGAGAGTCCAGAACCTTCAAAGACCAAAACTGAGAGTCTAGAATCTTTTAAGTCCAGAACTGAGATTCCAAAACCTATAATGTCCAGAACTGAGAGTCCAGATCCTATGAAGGCCAAAACTGAGAGTCCAGAACCTTATAGAGCAAAAAAGAAAGTTCAGAACCTTTAAAGTTAAGAACTGAGATTCCTGAACCTTTAAAACGAAAAATGAGAGTCCAGAACCTTTAAAGTCCAAAAATGGGGGTTAAGACCCACTTAAAGTCCAGAACTGAGAGTCCAGAACCTTTAAAGACCAGACTGAGAGTCCAGAACTTTTAAAGTCTAAAACTGAGAGTCCAGACCCTTTAAAGACCAAACTGAGAGTCCAAACCTTTAAAGTCCAGAACTGAGAGTCCAAAACCTTTAATGTCCAGATCTGAGAGTCCAAATCCTATTAAAGACCAAAACTGAGAGTCCAGAACCTTATAGACCAAACCTGAAAGTTCAGAACTTTTTAAGTTTAGAACTGAGATTCCTGAACCTTCAAAGACCAAAACTAGGAGTCCAGAACCTTAAAAGTCCAAAACTGAGAGTCCAGAACCTTAGAGGTCTAGAAATGAGAGTCCAGAAGCTTTAAAGACCAAAACTGAGAGTCCAGAACCTTTAAGGTCTAAAATTGAGAGTCCAGAGCCTTTAAAGACCAAAACTGAGAGTCCAGTTCCTTTAAAGACCAAAACTGAAAGTCAAGAACCTTAAAAGTCTAAAACTAGGAGTCCAGAACCTTTAAAGTACAAAATTGAGAGTCAAGATAATTTTAAAGTACAGAACTGAGAGTCCAGAACCTTTAAAGACGAAACTGAGAGTCAAGAACATATAAAGACCAAAACTGAGAGTCTTAAACCTTTTTAAGTCCAAAACTGAGAGTCCAGAACCTTTAAAGTCCAGAACTGGGAGTCCAGAACATATAAAGACCAAGACTGAGAGTCCAAAACCTTTAAAGTCCAGAACTGCGAGTCCAAAACATTTAAAGTCCAGAACTGGGAGTCCAGAACATATAATGTCCAGAACTGAGAGTCAGAAACCTTTAAAGTCCAGAACTCAGAGTCCAGAACCTTCAAAGTCCAAAACTGAGAGTCCAGAACCTTCAAAGACCAAATCTGTTAGTCCAGAACCTTTAAAGTCCAAAACTCAGAGTCCAAAACCTTTAAAGTCCAAATTTAGAAAAGAGGAAACATTGGCTCTTTGTCTGGATGGACCCTTTTACTGGAACCTTTAGAGAAGACCTTGACTCTGATGGTCCTCAGACCATCAGGGATCCTTGATCTAGACTGGGTACTCTTTAGAGTCCAGGATTTCCACAAATCTGGATTTAGATTCTTCAGACCAGGACCGGTTTAACCTCAGTCCTCCTTAAACAGGTTCAGGTCCAGAGAAGTCTCTGCTGGTTCTGGATCTCCTCTGTTTTCAGGAACTTTATTTTGAAACTGTTGAACTGTTCGCTGACACGATCCCTCACAGAGTCCTGCACCTCACAGAGACTCCACCTCTGAGTGTCCTTTCAGACCCAGTCATGTGACCCGGTCATGTGACTAACCTGTCGGAGATGTTCCTCCAGATGTTTTTTTTTTAACATAAGAACTTCGGACCTGTTTGGTTCTTCCTCTATCAGAACTTTGGACCTGTTTGGTTCTTCTTCTATCAGAACTTTGGACCTGTTTGGTTGCTCACATGTTGGAGGAAGATGACTGAACCTGGATTTAGACTGGAGGCGGTCTAGACTGACCTTCGGCCTGTTTTATCTAGAATGACTAAAGTCCAGTTTCAGCAGAGTTCTGAACCATACCCAGACTGGGAGGTGGAGGTTTACTTTAGCAGGACACGGCTGGTGCCACACCCGTTTTCATTTACACAGGTGTACAAAGTCAACAGCAGGACCTGAATGTTGTCAGGTGACGTCGATAAAAGCAGGAAAACTTTGATCAGGTTGAAGTTCACCGACTCTGAGGGACAAGAGGAACCAGGAGGACTCTGAGCTGGACTGAACTAGACTCTGAGACTGAGCTGGACTCAGAGACAAAGGACAGAAACATGAAAACCCACCAGAGATGATGGAAGAAATAAAGACACGAGAGACGAAAGATTCTGGTCCAGATGAGTTTTTTTGTTAAGTGTTGTGATGACAAGTTGTGAATTCGCTCTTTATAAATAAAGATTGATCAGTGATTTTGTAACCAGGAGCAGCTGATAACCTCTGGATCAGCTGTGAATCAGCTGATCAGTAAGCTGTTTGTGTCTGCTTACATGTTTGTGTCTGTCTGTTCAAGTTTCAGAATCAACAGTCAGACTGTGTGACTGATTTATTGATCTGTGCTGTCAGACTGTGTGGCTGTTTTGTTTCTCAGGTGAGTCTGAACAAATTCAATATATCAGACAGTGATCCTGTTTAATTGATTAATGACTGTTAGGATCAATATTTCTAGTTTCCTACTCATGACTGACTGTTTACAGATACATTTGTCTATCAGGGCTTCTTACTGTTTTAAAGATATGTTTCCTTAATGACTGTTTTAAGGTCTGCCTCCTTACTAACTGTTTTGAAGTCTGAGTTTAACTTTAGCTCATACCCCCCAATTTTCACCCCATCCTGAACTTAAACACCTACTAAAAGGTCGTATCCTCTGATCATAGCTGATCATAACCATTCAAGTTAACGTGTCAATTTCCATCGGCTTCTTTCCGTTCCTCTGCGGATCGCCGGACTCCTCAGCTGATCACAAGAGTTCTATTTTTTCTGGACGGCAGAACATGCCAGATAAATTCATCACAGATTAACCCATGCTGGAAAGGAAGTTGGCACAGACACAAAATAAAACATCTGGCTTCTTTTCGAAACAAAACACTCCATGTTTCAGGAGGATCGTATTTCACATCATGCAAACAGGCGGAGACGTCCATGTCTATGTGTCTGTCTTTATAGAGACAACTCGTTATCGCATGATTGCACGTGAATCCACGGGTTCTTGTGAGTTCTCGCAATTACCGCTGTACGTAATCTGCCACACAAACAGATCTGGAAAGAATTGGCAGACGGCAAAAATTGACGCCATTCCGGATGAGGTGGAAATTGGGGATAACACCCAAAATGACCCGTCCTCTAATAGCTGAGCAGATAAGGAAATAATCGTTCACTTTGTTATACAAGCATGAAATTTGGTACATGTACTCTTCAAACCCCACTCTTTTCAAAAATAATGTTAGCCACGCAAAATTCCAAGATGGCAGCCCCAAAATCCAAGATGTCTGCCCAAAAATGTGATTTTTCCTTTATAACTCAAAATGCCTTGATTTTAAGCCCCATACATATATTGAAGTTGAATATAAAGTTGGGTATTGTGGACATTTTGGTGAAGATATCATTTCCATTATCTGTTGTTTTCATTAGGGTTATAAAATGAAATTCGAAAAACCAAGATGGTGTCCAAGATTTCTGCCATTGCCTTGAAGTAATCATGAATTCAGCAGAGATAAATCATGAATTCAGAAGGATGAAACATGAAAGGTTAAAAATTAGGCATCATGTGACAATTTTCTGATTTTTGTTACGGTGTTAGGTAGGGTTGGGTATCGAGAATCGAGTATCGATGGGGACCAGGACTAACATTTCGATTCTTCTGGTATCGTTCAAATATTAAAATTTCGATTCCAAGTTTCGATGCCGGAGTCCGCCGACTGGAAGAAATAGCCGCCAAAAATCAACGAAGAAGAAGCCGCTTAACACCAACGGGGACGGAGCATATGAGACGAAGCCACACAGAAAGTGAAGAGAGACAGAAAGAGAAAGTACATTGCAACCCACAGCAATGCAGCCACTGCACAATGCACTCTCTCTCTCTCTCTGTCTCTCTCCTCTCTCTATGTGTGGCTTCGTCTCATACGCTCCGTCCTTGTTGGTGTTCGGCAGCTTCTTCTTTGTTGGTCAAAAGTTTGGCTAACTTTAGCAGGAAGAATGAACTCTTATCTCAATGCAACATTAGCAATACAGTTATATCATGCAAAGGAGGGTAAACGACCAACATGATTAAACACCTCAGGATTCAGGAGTGCTCGTCTTTGATGCGCTTGTGCCATAGAATGTACCGGTGTTGTGCCATAGAATGCACCCCTGCCGTAGAATGCACCCCTGACGGGAGCGTGGTTGAAAGTTGTTATGACCAGGGGTCATAGGTTTCCTGTTTTATTTTCATCAGCACATTTTGTTTGTGGGTAACCCTCCCTACCTGTGGTAGATGCTGTTCCTGTGTCTGTTTTGTTTTTCAGGAGAGGACTCTGGCCTGATTGGACAGCAGCTGAGGAGGGAAGCTGTGAAAAGGGTGGCTGCTGGAGGAGCTCTCTCTCTCATTCCTTTGTCTCGACTCCCAGCCAGACCTGTGTTTTGTGGAGGCTCCTTTTGTGTTAGAATATTGAAAACTTGGTGAATTTTGATTTGTCTTTCATGACAAATAGTTTAAGTTGTTTCAAGAGCAGTCTGGTAGGTAGGGGTGGGCAGCTATTTGATTTCACAAACTTTTCTCGTGTTTTGGGTTAGGGAGGCAGGTTAGACCCCCTGTATTTTATGTAATACAATTTCTTTCTGTTAGGTAAGATAGCTTTAAATAAAAGAGGTTTTGTTTGTTGTTTTGGCCTGTGCCCACCCTGAAGTCGACTACCATTTATGTTAAGCAATAAATTCATTTAAGACTGCTAATTCTGGTTGCTTGTTGGTTTTCTTGGGGAGTTGGGGCAAAGGAAGGAGCACTTTATGTTACGTCCAGCATACCCCTAGGCTGGGTCGTAACAAAAGTACACAACAAGGCGAAACAATCCAAGTTTTCCTTACCGTTGAACGGAATCTAAAGCGTGTGCCTTTAATGATTTCATTCAGGCTATTCAGATATGCCAAAAACAATAGCCCTTTGATTCGGAATATTTACTGTCCCGAAAATATAATGTTCTCTACCTTAACAGCTTACTGTACAGTTTATATACCCAAGTACACCTCTATGTGTGCATTTTTGAGACACATAAAAACAAAACGAAAGTTTACTGCTCCATTTGACATGTCATGATCTAATACTCATGTTTTTTTGAAATATGAGATCATTGTCTTCCACTTTAAGAAGCTAATGAGTGGAGGGGAGGCATTCTACACCAGGGGTGCATTCTACAGCACAACACCTGTCTTCCGCTAACCAGTCAGGATCAGATAAGTGAAACAATAAATTACTTCTGTCCTCTGCGAACTTTGAAGTGGTAAACAAATTGTACTGTGTACGGTGAGTAAACTTAAATATCCAACTAACGTTAGCCCTTGTAATTTTTCATAGACAAACGACCTGACAACAAAAATTTATATTTATATACTGGTTGAAAATAGCCCTGTGAGAAATTCATAGTAAAGTTCTTTAAGTTAATATGATTTAAAAATTCATGGAGAACCTCATCCAACCTTTGCTTTTTTTTTTTTTTTTTTTGATATCCTGCCTTTTAAAAGAATCGAAATAGAGAATCTATAGGAATCGGAATCGAAATGAGGAATCGAAATCAGAATCTTTCAAAATTAAACGATACCTAACCCTAGTGATAGGAATGTGTATAAGGTTTTCAAAAACCACTGCAAACGATATGGATTCTGTTGCTATTGGGTATGGGAGGTGGGGGTGGGGGGGGTGGGGGTTGTTGGACATTAAAGGGCAACTACTCTCTAGCTACCTGCGGGGGAGGCCAGGAGGAGGCTTTTTTTTTTCCTTTTTTTAATAAAATCTCTTCTATCACTTGTTTTGGGTTTCAACCATATACTTAACTATCTAACATTGGATACCATGCAAACCGACCACTAGGGGACGCACTCAACTCGTTTGCAGTGTTTTTTGAAGACCTTATCCCCATACCTAACACTATACTAAAATTCAGAAGTTGTTACAAAATTCCCTAATTTTTCCAGATCCCATCGAAGCTAAGTACAGAATTTAGACGTTGATAAAAGCAGGTATTTTATTACCATGTGCATCTATTACAGTTTGTAAGATACAGCATACTTACTGTGAGTTACACCTCACAGTTGCAACTGCGCAGAGCTGTACACCAATTTTGAGACCCAATTTGGAGCACTTGCACCTGCCACAACAGCCAGATTTACAGCCACATTTGGTGAGCTGTCTTGGCTATTGGAGAGTTGGCTGTCCAGAAGACCTGCCATTCCTTACCAACCTTTTGCCATCCCCAGTCTGCAGGGTCCTCTGCTTCTGGCTGACACTGGGTTGCCTGGCCCACACACAACCAGCCTGATAGGCAGCAAGCCTGGTGTGTTGGAGTAGAGCTGCTCTGGTTGGTGGGATAGACTCATAGGGCCTCTGCTTTCTGGCAAACAAGTCAAGCCTGGCCTCATCCACAGTAGCAGCTGTGCTGGATCTGTCATACATGAGAATGGCAAACTTCTCAAGCACCTCTATGTCACAGTCCACTGTGGGAGAGTAAATACCCAGTTTGGCGAATACAAGCAAAGCTCCTGGACATATGTCCCATGTCTGCTAAGCCATTTTCTTGCCTTTTTTTGCGGAAGGCAGACACAGTGTCACATCCTGTAAAGGCATGGAAGAAGAGCATGCCTTTGACCTTCTCCTGGCCAACATGCTGAAACATGTCATGCACACTGATCCAGCGCAGTCTGACCTTGCCCAAATGCAAGCCACATATGCTGTAGGCCAGCCTCTTGGAGACCGCTGAATACACTTATTGCTAAGATCAGAACATCTGTGTCATTTGCCTTGATCATGATGGATTGGCTACCAGTTGGTTTGGCGTGCACAAAGATGCGGCTGTCCGCTTCCTCCTGAGAGCATTTATCCAGTCCATCAAGACCAGTTGCATGAGTGCTGAGGACAGCAGTTCCCTTTCTGACGATTATGGTATTTAGGGCAAACATTCGTGCAACCTTGTCAGCAAGAACGTGGTACAACTCTGTTTTGTTGTCATTGTGCCTCAGGAAGTTATGCCAGTTAGATGGCATGGTGTTCTTATTTGTTACCTTGCGTCTTCCCCCCTGGCCACGTTTGGACCTGGTCTCAGCTTTAAGGCTTGATGGGTAGTACACATCAAAGACCAGATGTGTCATTGTGTACTTGCTGGAGTACATGTAGATCACAGGTAGGAAGTCAAGAGCTGCATAGTCCTCAACAGTCTTGGATCTTTTTGGTGGCAGGGCATGGTCCAAAGCTGACCCATCTACAATGAGAACGTCTGCCTCAGGTTCCTTGTCAACTGGTGGGACATAATTCTCAAGGATAGAGGTCAGCTGAGACTTCTGGCAAGTGTACAATTTTCCACCCTTGCTCAGTGCAACAGGGAAGGACTGGTTTTCATGCTGAAAGAACTCCTGGAGGTCATGCTGAGTTACACAGCAGTGATATCACCAGTGTGCCCTGGCTGTGTGCTGATATTCACTCTATTACATCTGCAAGCTTGTACTGTATAAACGACTAAATTCTGTACTGCAATGGCCCCATTGGATGCATAGACCAAAAATATGTGCATGCCAAAAGTTCATGTTTCATAGTCACTGAGATCGGATTACTTCAAGGCAATGGCAGCCATCTTGGTTTTCGAATTTCATGTTATAACCCCAATGAAAATAACAGATAATGGAAATGATATTTTCATATAACCATATGCACGTAACAACAATTGGTGTTACAAATTTCTCACTCTCCCAATTCTGTACAAGTATCTATATTCTGTATCTCAAGAACCGTAATGGATACAGAAATGTACTAGGTACCAAAATGTCCACAATACCCAACTTTATATTCAACTTCAATATATGTATGGGGCTTAAAATCAAGGCATTCTGAGTTATAAAGGAAAAACCACATTTTTGGGCGGACATCTTGGATTTTAGGGCCGCCATCTTGGAATTTTGCGTGGCTAACGTTATTTTTGAAAAGAGTGGGGTTTGAAGAGTACATGTACCAAATTTTATGCTTGTATAACAAAGTGAACGATTCGGGCTATATTATGCATTTGTCTGCTCCACTATAACATTTGATAGATTCTGTCAAAGAGTGATGGTTGGTGTTCATTTACGGAGGCCCAGAGTGGACAAACTCTTAAACACAGAAAGAGGACACAGTGAGTTTTGCATCTAAAATGTTGAGTTTTATTTTTCATCTTGAGTTTAACATTTCATCTCAAACTTTTCGTCTACAACATATAAACAGTGAAAGTTTCAGCCATGAGTAACACTGTCAAACATTTTTGGCAAAAATCTTGTAACTTTTAAATAATGTGCTTCAAAGTTAGAAGGTTTTACAGTAATAACTTAAGTTTACAGTGTTATTTGTTGCCAAGGCGACACAGAGCAGGAAGAATCATCCAGCAGACCAAAAAAAAAAAACTAACTTTTCGACCTCAAAGAGTCTTTCAAAGGTTAAGGGCAGCAAAGACCCCTGCTAAATAAAAGAAGGGAGTCCCGAAAAACTGACCGCCATCTAATCCACGAAAACAGCGTGAACGAACAAAACGATTGATTAAAGAAAAACCTGACTAAAAATTAGATAATTAACCAATCAGATACCTCTTCAGATCAAACCCTGCACATGTTAAATCTGACGAAAAAGTTCAATTGAAGTTAAATCCAGAGTTCAATCTTCAATTGAATCTGATGTTAATCTGACATTACCATGACAACCTGACATGAAATCTGAAAATGACGTGTTTTCTATCCAACAACACAAACTCAACCTGAACGTCTTGATTGACACTACAGCTAGCAGAAACATCATCATTATTCTCATCATCATTATGTCACCATGGTTACTGTCATCATTAAAGTGGGGGGCTGGACCATGCAGGGGCACAGGCAAAAGGGGCGGAGCTAAGCGCTACACATCATTTTAGTGGTATAAAAACATAAAAAGTTGATTTTTTAAGTTTTCTCTCAGTGAATAAAGAAGCTTGATTGAAAGGTGGGGGGGGGGGAAATGCAGGAGGCTAAGGGTAGGGGTTATCACTTAGATACAGAGCCACTTCCTGTACAGTTCAGTTCACAAACACACGCCTCCTGACCGCCATATTTACATGTCCTATTAACTGTCCTGGCTGCGGTGGCCAATAAATTCCACTTCCTAGTTTTATACTGATGTCACAATATATGAGCCACGCTCACTGCTACCTCCACCGCCGCCACCACTGCTGCTGCTGCCACCGCCCTCCCCGCCCTTGGGCTCACGTTTCTTGGTGATAGGTGTGGGGATGAGTGATGGGCGGGTGGGGGTGGTGGATGAGGTTGTAGTGGCTGTGGATGTAGCTGTGGCTGTGGTGGTGTCAGTGTTGCTCTTCCTTGGGCTTGGGGTGTAGTTGAAAGGGCTGACCCTGGCCGCCACAGCGCCACTGCGCTGCTGAGCGCGTTGCTGCGGCTGCTGTTGTTGATGACTCTGTTGCTGCTGCGGCTGATGGCGCTCAGGTAGCGGTTTGTCGTCCAGGCTCTCACAGCTCTGGCGAAGGTTGAGGTTTGAGGATGAGGAGGAGGAGGAGGAGGGGATCTTGGAGAAGGTGGGACTGTCAATAACCGGTGGAGCGTTGGCGGTGGTGGGAGAGCGTGCTGAACAGGAAGAGGCGGACCTGGGATTGTTGACAGGGCAGTCCTCCAGACGAACCCAAACATCTTCTGCTTTGTCAGTGAAACTCCGCCCCCCTGAAGCATCATTGCTGCCACTCTTGGTCTTCCTCCAGGTCCCCTTTGACCTGGCAGCGCAGTCCTCCTCACTTCGCCCCTTTTCACTGGACTCTGAGGATGCTGAGAGTACTGAGGAGGAACTTCCTGTCCGCTTCCATGTGCCAACCCGTGGCAGAGATGTTGAATGTTTTCCCCCACTTCCTCCTGTGCTACTGCCACCATTTTCACGTTTCCATGTGCCTGTACGGCTGAATCTTGATGAAGTCACTTCCTGTGGGCGTGATGGGCTCTCAGAGTGTGAGCGGTTAACGTCATGTCTCCTAGTTGTTGGTGGTAGCAGTGACTCTGGGCTGGATGGAGATTCTAAGGGTGCGGTCACCACGGCTGCCGCTGCAGACTCCTCCAGCTTCCTCTTCAGTGTTGGGCTTGGAGCTTCTTTGATGAAAGTCGATTGACGGACCAGCACCGGCTTCTCTGGCTCCGCCTTTTGTTTCTTGGCAGCTGTAGAGCTGCCAACCCGGGATGCAGACTCACTCCGTGGGATGCCGGCACTCCTCACCACTCCGCTCTGTTTGACCGTTCTGGAGGCCGTGGACGACGATGATACGCTTCCCGGGGACGCAGTGCGAGGCAGCTGAGACAGCTTTCCACCTTTATGATTGGCTGCTGTAGAGGGGCGAGAAGGGGTGGAGTCCCGGGAGGACCCACCCCCTCTGTCAGCACCATCAGATCCTCCTGGAGCTTTTGCCAGAGCAGCAGCCCTGGGTTTGCTCCGCCCCCTTGCTACTGGCTCCGCCCTTGGTTTACCTGTGATCAGACTCCTGTATACCTTCTTCCCGCCTCTCAACGCCTTCGCCTCCTCCTCCTCTTCTTCCTCCTCCTTCTTCTTTTTGGCCTCCAGTGTTGTGCGTTCTCCACCCCTGAGGATCCTCGCTCCTCGCTTCGTCTCCTTCCCTTCCCCCTCTTCCTCCTCCTCTGCGTTCGTACTGACTGCCGGCAGGCGGAACGGTGAGCCCACAGACTTCAGGGACAGCACTGAGTCGGAGTCGGAAGATGGCTGGCGAGAAAGTGACGAGGCGGCAGCAGCATTCAGGCTGCTGACGATGGAGTTTGCGCCTTCTTGGATTGCTTTCCAGTCAAAAGACTCTGAGTCAGGGGAGGCAGGGCTCCTGGGCACCTCTGATGGTTCCTCTTCTGCCATGATGCTGTCTTCAGGTTTGGGGTCAGGAGGCAGAGCTGTAGTTGCCATGGGAACGGCTGTGGCAGCAGAAACTTTCTTCTTTTTCTTGGGCATGGCAGAGCTGATGCACTCCTGCAGGAGGTCGTCCTCGGAGTCGATGCTGAGCGAGCTCAGAGACGAGTTTCTGGAAAAGCAGACTGGTGTGTCTTCCACATGAAACGCTTTAGGGGCGTAGCAGGTGGCAGCAGAGGGGCGGGACTTTGGATCTGCTTGTGTGGAGGGGGACTCAGTAGTAGTTTTGCCTCCATCTTGCCTCTCAGGTAGTGGCGGTGGAGCTGGAGAAGCAAACTCCTTGTTGTTGTTCTCCTGGTCGATGTCACTCAGCGAGCTTAAAGATGAGTTCCTAGAGAAGCAGACTGGCGTGTCCTCAATAGCAAACTTCTGCTTCTCATCGGACGCCGTCCCGTTTGCTGCGGGTTTGGTCCTTGGGACAACAGCTGCTGTCTGCTGCTTTCTTTTCCGACCTTCTTCTTCATTTGTTTTCTTTTCCTCGTCATCCTTCTCACCACCCTCGTCTTCGTCAAAATCAAGGGAGCTTAGCGAGTCATTACGAGAGAAGCAGCATGGCGTTCCCTCTATGGGCGTGTAGTGTCGTGGTGAGTCAAAGGCGAACCCTGGCTTTGCTTTGGTAACCGCTGCTGAGGCAACACTGTAAGCTGCCCGCTGAGGCATTGGCTTCACCGGGGATGTTGGCTTTTTCTTCTGCTGCTGAGTAGGTGGAGCCAGAGGAGGCAGAGGGGGTGGAAGGGGCGGGGTTTGGAGGGTTTCAGTGTTGGATGTTGTTCTGATTGGTTTCCTGGGTTTGGCTTTTGGCATGGCGGCACTGATGCACTCTGCAAGGATGTCATCACCATTCTCACCCTCAGGAAGTCCCGCCTGTCTCCTTTGGGCGGAGGTGGGCGGGGCTACAGGATTGCTAGCTGCTGCCACCATCTCATTGGGTGGAGAATCAATAGTAAGGTCACTGAGGGATGTGGCGGTTGAGAAGTTCAGCGGTGTTCCTTCCACACAGTAAACCCTCGGCACTTCCTCTGGTGGCGGTGGTGGTGGGGGTTCCTTCCTCTGCTGTGACTGGGCTCGGTTCTGAGGGGGGAGGAGCTTGTAAACAGGGAGCTGGCTGGGTTTGCGTTGCGCTGCCTGCTGCTGTTTCTTTGGTTTCCGTGACGATTTAGGCATCGCCATGTTGATGCACGCCTCAAGGATCTCAATATCGTCATCGTCGTCTGATTCATCAAGGATGGGTTGTGTCACTTCCTCTTTTATCTCCCCGTTCCCTCCCTCCTGCTCCTCCTTCTTCTTCATTTCTGCTGAGATGTACGGCTCATCGAGACTGAGCGCGCTCAGACTGGAGGCTCGGGAAAAGCCGTGTGGCGTGCTCTCTGTGGCAAAGTGCAGCAGAACGTCTGGGCTGCTCTCCTCCTCCACCTCCTTCGTTTTCACGTTCTCCTCCTCCTTCTTTTTCTGGATCGCTGGCGGTAATGGTGGCGTCTTGGCACGGCTTGGTGGCATGGTCTGTCCCGGGCTGTCAGGCAGGTCACTAGGGCTGACCACTCCACTTGGCATTCCACTGCACGGCTCGCTGGAACGCACCGAGCTGGCGATGGAGGAGGTAGAGAAACTGTCAAGAGAGCTGACGGATGTGCAGCGACTGAACATCAGCGGTGTCTCCTGGGCATATGGGAGCTCCGGGGGGCTCTTAGGGGTCCTGGCACCTGATGATGTCACGTGGTGATGGTGGTGGTGATGGTGGCCATGATGATGATGGTGACCTCTTCTTCCTCGTGTGGTAGGAGCCGTGGCGGCCGTTTGGCTCTCTGCCTCTTTCTGCTGCCTCTGCTGCTGCTCATGAGCATCTTTCTCACTGACAGGAAGTGTCGGGTAGTCGTTACCTCCACCACCACCACTGATGACGCTCCCGCCTCTCCTCTTCCTTCCCACGACATCACCATCTTCTTCCTCCTCTTCTGAAGACAGCGAGGACAGAGAGCTTCCTCTAGAGAAGCAGATGGGTGTGTCCTCCACACAGTACGTTTGAGTGGACTCCTGGTTGCTTTTTGATGCTGTACGATTGGTTTGGGATGGAGGGGGGCGGAGCTTGTTGGCAGATGATGGCTGGGGAGAGGGCACTGCCGGGGCAGTAGTGGTTTCAGGCTTGAACAGTGGTTTGCGAGGGGCGTCAGCTCCGTACTTTAGGCTATAATCGATTGGCTGTTCTCCTGTGGTGTCACCGCTGTAGTTTGGCGCTGCTGTGGATGAAACAAAGCATGATGGAACAGGTGCCATGTGACCACTGGTTGACGACTCTCCTCCATCATTCCTCCTTCTTAGCCGGGCCTCCTGCTGGACATCTTCGTCGCTTTCGATTACGCTGCGGTGACTGGGGCTCTGTCGTCCAGAGTTCAGCTGTTCATCTGAGTATTTAAGGCTGTAGTTGATGGGTGTGTCCAGCTCTGCCCCATCATCATCCGCCATGTGGTTGGCACTGCGGATCTTGTGAGCCAGGTCAGCTGGGTACTTCCTGTAGACGCAGCATTTGTTGGCCCCACTCTCATCCGATAAGAAAGGGTCTGATGAGGGTTTGGTCTTGCCTCGGTTCCCGTAGCCGTCAGCGCTCGTCACGCTGTTGAGGCTATCGCTGGAGGCTCGAACGCTGGGAGGGAAGACTGGCCGGACATACGTCGTATCCTCGCTCGCCCTCTTGGATCCATCTCCATTCTTGGGGCTGGAGAGCACTGGTGTGTTTGCATATGAGCGTGTTGTGCTTCCTGCTCCTCCAGCACTACTACAGCCCCGCCCCTTCCTGTGAGCGGCCTTAGGGCTCAGATTGTCTATGTTGTCAAACGTTTCTGACAGCTGCTGGGCGTCCAACTCCTCAAACAGAGCCTTCTGTTTGCGAGCATGCAGTGAGGGGGCGCCAGCACCAGGGGACAACACACTGGCATCTTTGTAGCGGGCGGGCCGGTTAGCCATCAGGTTGCGCAGGGCAGCGGCGCTGCCCATGGCAATCATCTTGTGCCGAGAGTGAATAAGGTTGCGCAGCATCCCCACTGCACCAAGTTCCCAAAGGGCCTCTTGGTCTTTGGCGTCCCTGGCGGACAGATTCCATAGTGTCCCACAGGCGTTTGAGACGATCGTCAAACTGTGAGACTTCAGGTGCTGCAGCAGAGTCGGCAGGCAGCCATGTTCACGCAGGATCTGCCTGCAAGACAACACACAGGGAAAAGAGGTGATACAGCGTTTGTGTTCAGGTGTTTACCTGTGAGGTGTTCGTGTTCAGGTGTTTACCTGTGTGCCTCGTTAGTGGCGATGAGGCTGGACACGTTACGCAGAATTCCTCCACCGCTCTCAATAATGGCGAGTGTGTTGGTGTGGCTGCGGTGTGTCAGTGTTCCCACCAGGAAGGCTAGCGCTCCGTCCACAGCGCAGATATCAGCCTTGTTCTCAGTGCAGTGAGCCGACAGATTCCAGAGTGCGCTCAGTACGGACTTCAGCGTGGACTCCTGAGCGGGGAGAGGAGAGCTCGTTTCTTGTAATAAAAAAAAAAAGAAAAAGAAAACTAACGAGCAGGAGAGTGTTGTGTTACCTTCTGGACCTCAAGAGCACAGCCCATCAGCGCTCGCACACTGCCCACCTCACGAAGCGTCTTTTTACTGTTGACATCTGCACGCCATGACAAGTTCCTGAGCACACTCGCTATCACCTAAGACCAAAGATCCAGACAAGTCCTGATTGGTTACCATTCTCTATAATAAAGACCGCAGAGCAGGTGAGCACAGGTGAGCTTACCTGCTGCAGGTCTTCACTGTCAGACTTCAGCTGAGCAACCATGGCTCTCATGCAGCCCTTCATGGAGCACAGTGTGGCCTGATGGGAAAAACAGAATGCTCTGATCTGATTGGTCCCCAACATATCAATACAGTAACGATGGATAAGGTGTGTTTGTTTCCTCTCACCTTATTGGCTACATCTCCGAAGGTAAGGTTAGTAAGCGCCATGCCTGCATAACGTCGCAGCGTCACGCTGTAGTGATCGCTACGGAGACCAAACATCTCACAGTCCACCTGCAGCAGCTCCGCCACCGCCTGAAGACCACCTGCAAGGAGAAAAAACCCACAGAGTTCAAACATCCAGTAAACCAGTCCCACAAAGTCTAAAACTATCCTGAAACAGTCTGTCAGTCATCAAACCAGCCTGTAAGAGATGATTAACAGTCTGTCAGTCATCAAATCAGCCTGTAAGAGATGATAAACAGTCTGTCACTGTGAGGAAACAGTCTGTCAGTGTACTAACCACTGACCTGACACGTTTAACTGCCAGTCTGTCAAACCCAAAATGTAACACGCACCAGTCAGTCGGACAGCTTGACAGCCGTGACTCAGAGAACAAACTGATGATGTCCAGTCAAACTTCGACACACGCTTTCAGAACTTTGCTGGACTGATCGTTAAATCCAAGGACTCCCTGGACTCTAAAGTACCTAGACTGTTTCAGATGAACTCTGAGCTGGAGGATCAGATCTCGTCACTGCAGGCTGACATTTGTGAAACTTCCTCAAAGTGGCAAAGTTTCCCCACTCTAAATCAAAGTGCAGCATCATCGGCTGAACTCGACTAGTTCATGAGAGTCAGTCCTTTCCCACATGAAGATTAGAAAGTCCAAATACTGATCCACCAGGACTGATAACCATCCACAGGCCCCCAGCTTGAGACCAGCTATCACGTGAAGACATGAAGCAACTCTTTGCAGATGCACCCCCTCTTGAAATGTTCGTATTACACACTATGCTAACTGCTTTCCATGGTTGTCAGATATATTAAAATGCGTCCAGACTGCAGACACGTCTGCTGGTCTCAGTTTTTGTTTACATCATCAATCATCTGTTTCGGCCATGTTGTTCCGGCGATAAAAGTCTTCTGGGACATTTTTGGTGGCTGAATTTTCTGTGCATGCCTTAATTTTGGGTCTATAAAGGAACCAGAACTTGGAAGAAAGTGCCGATTAATCCTCATTTAGGAGAAGACTCAACTGTTCAAACTGATGAGGGACAAGCAGCAGCAGACAGTTAGCAACCTTTTTTCCTGTAAAGAACCGACATGGACGCCGACTTCTGCTGTTTTTGAACATGTTGGTATGAAGGCCTCTGGTTTTTGGGTCGACAGAGAGACCGTCTTCAGCTGGTCGCTTCAGAAGTAGCTCAGTAGCCAACAAAGTCTGGGCACCCCCGAGATAAACAGTCGTTCAGTCTGGATAAAGGTCTCTCTGTGTTAGGAACCAGTCTTCAGTATTAACAGTCTGTGCGCTCGTGCCTTACCCAGCTCGTTCATGGCGTGGCGGTGTTCCTCATCGAAGGAAAGTTTCATCAGGACACAGACGGCGGGGCAAATCTGATGTTCCACGGGAGAAGGCACTGAACACACAACATCAGACATGGGTTACAAACAACACACACACATACACACACACACACACACACACACACAGTCATAGCTCTTAAGTGGTTTGGCATAACATCACTCACTGGGGTTGTCCTCCTGGTCGACGCCCCGCTCATGGTTCTCCTGCCAGCTCCAGCACGCCTCACAGTAATGACGCACCTGCTCCAGCAGGTGGAGCACCCTGATCTCTCTCCGCCCACGCTTATCATCCGGCTGGCTGTGAACGATGTTGTGCAGCGCTGCTGATGCCCGAGCGCGCGCTTCTTTACTGCCGCGGGAGTTACCTTGGCAACAGGACAGTAACATCAGACCACAGTCACATTTATACACAGGAATAACTCCATTCATTTGTTTGGACTCGTGTTAGTGATTTCCAGGTTACCTAGCAACAAGGAATCCTTGTCGTTGCCGTGCAGCAGCTGAATGAGCAGAGGCAGACAGCCGGACTGACGCATGGCGATGCACGAGTCCTGGGAGCTGGACATGGCAAGCAGCGTCCGCGACATGTCGTCTTTATCATGAGTCCCCAGCATGGACAGGAGACTGTACACCATCTCCACCTGCAGGTGGCGACATCACAGGTGAACATTTGACAGTTTGCACCGTCTCCATGGAGACAGCCACATAAAGATACGGCATCAGGTGCAGATACAGCGTAATGATGTCACATCTGTACGCTCAGTGCAACCTTTGACAGAAAAGTCAACTAAGTAAGTAAGGGTGCCATCTGGTGATGACATCTAACAGAGGGAAAAATCCTGAATTGGATGAAGTGAGCCTCTACTGCGTTTGTTGGTTTGTTGACAAGACATGCGTCAATACAACTTTTCTTCTTCTGTGGTTGTGTAAGGGCACTTAGACAACTCTGCGCATGTCCAAATGTTTCTAATCTGAATTAAACTCAGTGCTCGTAAACGACCGTCATGATTGGATTATTGAATTTCGCGCACGTATTAACAGCAGATCCAGATTTTACAATCCCTCAAACTTTTTATCAGATCAAGAAATCTTGCAAATGTTAACATGGATGCTATTTGCTGACACACCTTGGTTCCCAGGTGGCTGGTGATTCGTCGTGGCACAGAAAAGCTCGCCTCATTGGCTGGATCGTGGTCCAATCGGCTGCTGGAGCTCTGCATGAAAAAAGGAATGACATTAGTTCAAAGTAAACATTTGAAAGTTTAGAGGAACAATAAGGTCGAAAAAAAATGTCCTCACATGAGCTCCAATCAATCCGCTGCTACTGTCACTCGGCCCCTGACCTTCCTCCAACTGAGAGAGAGAGAGAGATAGAGAGAGAGAGAGAGCGAGAGCGAGAGAGAGAGAGAGAAAGGGAGAATGAGAGGGGGGGCAGAGAGCGATATATATATACAGAGAGAAAGAGAGACAAAGGGGGGGGGCAGAGAGAGAGGGAGAAAGAGAAAGAGAGGGGGAAGACAGAGAGAGACAGAGAGAGAGGGAGAAAGAGAGAGAGGGAGAGAGAGGGATTGAGAGAGAGAAAGAGAGAGAGAGAGAGACATATAGAGAGGGGGTGGCAGAGAGAGAGAGAGAGAGAGAGAGAGAGACATATAGAGAGGGGGTGGCAGAGAGAGAGAGAGAGAGAGTGAGGGAGAGAGAAAGGGGGGGAGACAGAGAGAGAGAGAGACAGACAGAGAGAGGGGGAGAGGGAGAGGGAGAGAGAGAGAAAGAGGGAGAGAAAGCGAGAGAGAGAGAGAGACAGACAGAGAGAGGTCAGAGCTGCTCACTAAAATTAACATTACAAACAGTTCAACTGTTTTTTTTAAGGTTCAAGTAGCTCTTTACAAATATGTCTTCATTGAATTTCACTGATGTATTTCTTTCTTATTTACACTGTATAAATGAACACCGTAAAAAACACTCAACCCCAAACACCAGGTTTAGAAATACATTTATGACATCAGTTATAATGTATACCATAATCATTTATATAAACACTGTAAAAACTGCGACATAGAATTCACTCTGTCTGCTTGACAGTTACAGTTTAACACTGTTACAGTACAGTACTATAACAGTGTAACACTCCGAGATTTCCCTGCAGAGTTATGAACATCCACAGTAACTTCAGTGTTTGTTATACCATCAGGACGTCACAGAGCTACAGGACAAAATTGTAGACTGTGTTCAGGTGAGTTTACCTGCAGACGAGCCCCCAGCCTCAGAATGTCCTTCTCTATCTGCTGAATACGGGACACACGAGCCTGCGGACAGACAGACAGACAGACAGACAGACAGACAGACAGACACACAGACAGACAGACACACACACACACACACAGTCAGTGCCAGTGTTTTAACCCTTTCTGTTCTGTGTGTGTGTGTGTGTGTGTGTGTGTGTGTGTGTGTGGGGGGGGGGGGGGGGGGGGGTGTATATGGTTGTTGCAAGCGTAGGAACCTGGCAGGACCATGTGTTTAACTGGTGTTTGCTGTTCTCTCCAGCAGGGGGCGCCCGGCTGTGTCAGCTGCAGGTGTGTCTTTCTCACCTGAGCTCTCCTCTCCATCTCCTGACAGGTGCCCAGCTGCTCCTCCATCGCCGAGCGGATTTGACGAGCTTCAAACTCCAGCTGACGGCGACTCATGTCTGTCTGCAGAGTGAACTACAAACAACACAATGTGACCTTGACAGCAGCAAGGAATCATGGGAAGTGTGGTCTGTAAGTGACCTGCGGTCTGTTTAAACTCTCGTTATTCTGTCTGCTGGTTAATCCACAGGCAGTTGAGATCACCTGCTTGTACGTCAAACTTCAGGCTTTTGGGGCTTTTTGAAGATTTTAGACGTTAAGAACATAAAAAAATGTTTGATAGAGGAATGGTCTCTGAGGAGTTTTGGATTTGGGACACCATGAAGCCATGTTCTTGCCGGGCTCAGCCGCTCTGTGCTCTGACTGTCAGAGATCTTCTCGGTCAGGTTAGACGCTCAGGTTAGACGCTCAGGTTCAGCTCCTTCAAATCAAACAGGATTGTCTTGGTTTCATAATGATAATTTAATAAAGACAAAGAGATTTCCTTCACAACATTGAACTCATCAGAGGATTCTGAACCCTATACTCCTGTGAGCAATCTTCATCGGAATAATCAAACAGTTAGACGAGAGCGTTTATGTCTCATCCTCTGAAAGATCTTAATGATGAAGGGTTCAGCCCCTGATGTCCAGAAATCTGAGACATGCCCCTGGACAGACAGTTCCTATCCTCACTGATTCATTTTGACTTTATCATCACCACAAAAGGTCGACAAAACGCCGCTGCTGTGATTACACACAGAGGAAAAGACATTTCAAAGTTTGACGTTTCACCTAAAAGGATTTCATCTTGTCCACCAAAGCCGGGTCGACTCTAAGTGCAACTCTGTTCCACCACATTTTTCGTTTTGAAGCCGCCGCCACGTCCACCTTCACTCGGCTGGTTCTCACTTATAAAATCCAGTCTCAAAGCTCATCTGGGTAAAGTTCTGATTGGCCTAGTCGGACAACTTGACACGAAGACATTGGCTAATCTTTTCACAGTAAAGGTGAGAGACGCTGCGCTGGTTCAAATACTCGGTTCTCTCTGGGCCCAGATCAGTCTGTGAATAAAAGGATTCTGAGGTCCCAGAGTTTCATTTGTGTGTTCCTGAACAGACAAATATTCTGATTAGCTTTAAAAGTGCGATCTTCAAATTTAACACCTTCAGCAGATTTTTTTATGAAACTTAAAACGACCCAAGGTCTTCTTTTTCCAGACCTTCAGGTGAAAGTTTTGAACCCTGAACACTAAAGCTGCGACCTGGACACTCTGGCTCAGTCTGCAGAGACAGCATGACGAGGGTTCTGACCCAGCAGGTGAACACAGGTGGGTGCTTACGTTCTCTGTGAGCGGCAGGCTGTCAATCCTCTTAGTGAGATTCTGCAGCTGAGCGTAGTACCAGTCCTTCTCCTTCTCCTCCTTTTCCAGCTCAGACAATAGGAGAGATCTGTCACACAGCAGCAACCAATCAGAGGGCAGGACACACACGGGAGACTGAAACATCACAAATCTGTAAGAACTACAAACATGGCAGCAAACACAAAAAGAACTACAAAAACACCTGAAACTGTGACTACACCTGTGACTACAACTACACATGAGGCTGTGACTTGTAGTAAAAGTAGTCGTGGTACTCTTTACAGTGATTGAACCTGTAGTAGTAGTAGTAGTACTCTTTACAGTGATAGACCCTGTAGTAATAGTAGTATTCTTTAAAGTGATTGGACTTGTAGTAGTAGTAGTACTCTTTACAGTGATTGGACTGTGTCTAGTAGTAGTACTCTTTACAGTGGTTACACTTGTAGTGGTGGTAGTAGTAGTAGTACTCTTTACAGTGGTTGAACCTGTAGTAGTAGTAGTACTATTTACAGTGGTTACACTTGTAGTCATAGTAGTAGTAGTACTCTTTACAGTGGTTGAACCTGTAGTAGTAGTAGTACTCTTTACAGTGATTGGGCTTGTACTAGCAGTAGTACTCATTACAGAGGTTAGACTTGTAGTAGTAGTAGAACTCTTTACAGTGATTGAACCTGTAGTAATAGTAGAACTCTTTACAGTGGTTAGACTTGTATTAGTAGTAGTACTCTTAACAGTGGTTACACTTGTAGTCGTAGTAGTAATAGTACTCTTTACAGTGGTTGAACCTGTAGTAGTAGTAGTACTCTTTACAGTGATTGGACTTGTACTAGCAGTAGTACTCATTACAGAGGTTAGACTTGTAGTAGTAGTAGAACTCTTTACAGTGATTGAACCTGTAGTAATAGTAGTACTCTTAACAGTGGTTAGACTTGTAGTACTAGTAGTAGTAGAAGTAGTCCTTTTTACAGTGGTTGGACCTGTACTCTTTACAGTGCTTAGTCTTGTAGTAGTAGTAGTACGCTTTACAGTGATTGAACCTGTAGTAGTGCTCTTTACAGTGGTTGAACCTGTAGTTGTAGTAGAACTCTTTACGGTGGTTGGACTTGTACTAGTAGTAGTACACTTTACAGTGATTGAACCTGAAGGAGTAGTACTCTTTACAGTGATTGGACTTGTAGTAGTAGTAGTACTCTTTACAGAGATTGGACTTGTAGTAGTAGTAGTAGTTGTAGTACTCTTTACAGTGATTGAACCTGTAGAAGTAGTAGTACTCTTTACAGTGATTGGACTTGTAGAAGCAGTACTGCTTTGTACAGTGATTGCACCTGAAGTAGTAGTACTCTTTACAGTGGTTAGACTCTGAGTAGTAGTAGTAGTAGTAGTAGTAGTAGTAGTAGAACTCTTTGCAGTGGTTGAACCAGTAGTAGAAGTAGTACTCTTCACAGTGATTGGATTTGTAGTAGTAGCGGTACAATTTACAGTGATTGAACCTGAACTAGTAGTACTCTTGACAGTGGTTAGACTTGTAGTAGAAGTAGTAGAACTCTTTACAGTGGTTGAACCTGTAGTAGCAGTATTACTCTTTACAGTGATTGGATTTGTAGTAGTAGCAGTAGTACTCTTTACAGTGATTGAACCTGAAGTAGTAGTACTCTTTACAGTGGTTAGAATTGTAGTAGTAGTAGTACTCTTAACAGTGGTTTAACCTGTAATAGCAGTATTACTCTTTACAGTGATTGGACTTGTAGTAGAAGTAGTACTCCTCTTTGCAGTGGTTAGACTTGTAGTAGTAGTACTCTTAAAGTGGTTGAACCTCTAGTAGTAGTAGAAGTACTCTTTACAGAGGTTGGACCTGTAGTAGTAGTAGTACTTTTTACAGTGGTTGGACCTGTACTCTTTACAGTGCTTAGTGTTGTAGTAGTAGTAGTACGCTTTACAGTGATTGAACCTGTAGTAGTACTCTTTTCAGTGGTTGAACCTGTAGTTGTATTATAACTCTTTACAGTGGTCGGACTGATACTAGTGGTAGTACACATTACAGTGATTTAACCTGAAGGAGTAGTACTCTTTACAGTGATTGGACTTGTAGTAGTAGTAGTACTCTTTACAGTAGTTGAACCTGTAGAAGTAGTAGTACTCTTTACTGAGATTGGACTTGTAGTAGTATCGGTACTACTCTTTACAGTGATTGAACCTGAAGTAGTAGTATGCTTTACAGTGGTTGAACCTGTAGTAGCAGTAGTACACTTTACAGTGATTGGATTTGTAGGAGAAGCTGTACACTTTACAGTGATTGAACCTGAAGTAGTAGTACTCTTTACAGTGGTTAGACTTGTAGTAGTAGTAGTAGTACTCTTTACAGTGGTTGAACCTGTAGTAGCAGTATTAGACTTTACAGTGATAGACCCTGTAGTAGTAGTAGTAGTAGTTTTCTTTACAGTGATTGGACTTGTAGTAGTAGTACTACTCTTTACAGTGATTGGACTTGTACTAGTAGTAGTACTCTTTAAAGTGGTTACACTTGAAGTGGCAGTAGTAGTAGTAGTACTCTTTACACTGGTTGAACCTGTAGAAGTAGTAGTACTCTTTACAGTGATTGGACTTGTACTAGCAGTAGTACTCATTACAGAGGTTAGACTTGTAATAGTAGCAGAACACTCTACAGTGATTGAATCTGTAGTAGTACTCTTTACAGTGGTTACACTTGTATTAGTAGTAGTACTCTTAACAGTGGTTAGACTTGTAGTAGTAGTAGTAGTAGTACGTTTTACAGTGGTTGGACCTGTATTAGTGCTCTTTACAGTGATTGGACTTGTAGTAGTAGTAGTACTCTTTACAGAGATTGGACTTGTAGTAGTAGTAGTAGTAGTAGTACTCTTTACAGTGATTGAACCTGTAGTAGTAGTAGTAGTCGTACTCTTTACATTGATGGGACTTGTAGTAGCAGTACTGCTCTTTACAGTGATTGAACCTGAAGTAGTAGTAGTAGTCGTACTCTTTACATTGATGGGACTTGTAGTAGCAGTACTGCTCTTTACAGTGATTGAACCTGAAGTAGTAGTACTCTTTACAATGGTTAGACTTGTAGTAGTAGTAGTAGTAGTAGTAGTAGAACTCTTTACAGTGGTTGAACCTGTAGTAGCAGTAGTACTCTTTACAGTGATTGGATTTATAGTAGTAGCTGTACAGTTCACAGTGATTGAACCTGAAGTAGTAGTACTCTTGACAGTGGTTAGACTTGTAGTAGTAGTAGTAGTAGTAGTAGAACTCTTTACAGTGGTTGAACCTGTAGTAGCAGTAGTACTCTTTACAGTGATTGGATTTGAAGTAGTAGTAGTAGTAGTAGTAGTCTTTACAGTGATTGAATCTAAAGTAGTACTCTTTACAGTGGTTAGAATTGTATTAGTAGTAGAAGTAGTACTCTTTACAGTGGTTGAACCTGTAGTAGCAGTATTACTCTTTACAGTAATTGGACTTGTAGTTGTAGTAGTACTCTTCTTTACAGTGGTTAGACTTGTAGTAGTAGTTGTACGCTTTAAAGTGGTTGAACCTATAGTAGTAGTAGAAGTAGCCTTTACAGAGGTTAGACTTGTAGTAGTAGTAGAACTCTTTACAGTGCTTGAACCTGTAGTAATAGTAGCACTAATTACAGTGGTTAGACTTGTATAAGTAGTAGTACTCTTAACAGTGTTTAGACTTGTAGTACTAGTAGTAGAACTCTTTACAGTGGTTGGACCTGTAGTACTTTTTACATTGGTTGGAACCGTACTCTTTACAGTGCTTGGTCTTGCAGAAGTAGTAGTACGCTTTACAGTGATTGAACCTGTAATAGTACTCTTTACAGTGGTTGAACCTGTAGTTGTAGTTGAACTCTTTACAGTGGTTGGACTGATACTAGTGGTAGTACACATTACAGTGATTTAACCTGAAGGAGTAGTACTCTATACAGTGATTGGACTTGTAGTAGTAGTAGTACTCTTTACAGTGGTTCAACCTGTAGAAGTAGTAGTACTCTTTACTGAGATTGGACTTGTAGTAGTAGTAGTACTCTTTACAGTGATTGAACCTGTAGTAGTAGTAGTACTCTTTACAGTGATTGGATTTGTAGTAGCGGTACTACTTTTTACAGTGATTGAACCTGAAGTAGTAGTACTCTTTACAGTGGTTAGACTTGTAGTAGTAGTAGTGGTAGTAGTACTCTTAACAGTGGTTGAACCTGTAGTAGCAGTAGTACACTTTACAGTGATTGGATTTGTAGGAGTAGCTGTACACTTTACAGTGATTGAACCTGAAGTAGTAGTACTCTTTACAGTTGTTTCACTTATATTAGTATTTGTAGTAGTAGTAGTAGTACTCTTTACAGTGGTTAGACTTGTAGTAGTAGTACTCTTTACAGTGGTTAGAATTGTCGTAGTGGTAGTACTCTTTGCAGTGGTTGAACCTATAGTAGTATTAGTAGTACTCTTTACAGTAGTTAGAATTGTAGTAGTAGTAGAACTCTTTACAGTGATTGAACCTTTAGTAGAAGTAGTTCTCTTTACAGTGGTTAGACTTGTTGTAATAGTCGTACTCTTTACAGTGGTTAGACTTATATTGGTAGTAGTACTATTAACAGTGGTTAGACTTGTAGTAGTAGTATTCTTTACAGTGGTTAGACTTATATTGGTAGTAGTACTATTAACAGTGGTTAGACTTGTAATAGTAGTACTCTTTACAGTGGTTAGACTTCTAGTAGTAGTAGTAGTACGCTTAAGTGATTGAACCTGTAGTAGTACTCTTTACAGTGGTTGAACCTGTAGTAGTAGTAGTAGAACTCTTTAAGGTGGATGGACTTGTACTAGTAGTAGTACTCTTTACAGTACCTCTCCTTCTCCAGCTCCTCCAGGCAGCGGTCGTGGCTGTCTTTCCCCGCAGATGGCAGCCCTCTCCTGGGGAAGGCAGCAGGGGTGGAGGCGCCTCCAGCGGCTCCTGCAGGAGCTCCAGACCCAGAGGAGGCGGAGGAGGAGGAGGAGGAGGAAGAGGGAGGTAGGAGAGGCCTCGATCTGGGCTTAAAACCTGCAGAATCCAGACTCATCTCTGGAAGTCAGGACACACCAGATTAGACGCACACACGCACACACACACTCCGGTGCACTGCAGCTACAAAATAAACTATTTTTACGCTGCAGTTCTTGGCGTCTGTCCGTATGTATGGGTATATGAGGCGCACTGGGGGGGGGGGGGGGGGCAGGCACCGAGTTTTAGCGAGACGTCAACTGTCTGTGAGTCTATGAGTGTGTAATGTGTTTGTCTGTGTGCATGTCTGTGTCTGTGCGTGTGTCACACCCTTCAGTCTCTCGATCAGCTCCAGCTGAGATCCAGACGCCTCTCCAGATTCTTCTTCTATGGTTCCCTGCAGCTGCTTCAGCACTTCCTGTTTCAGGAGCAAAGAACATCAGAGTTTATAGCAGTGATTCCTGATTGTGCCATAGGGGGACAGCAGAGTCACAGACCAGTGAGACAGGATTCTACAGACACACACACACACACACACACACACACACACACACACACACACACACACACACACACACACACACACACACAGAGTGTCTCTCTCTCTCTCTCTCTCTCTCTCTCTCTGTCTCTGTCTGCCTGCGTGTTAGTCTCTCACCACAATAAAGCGACAGTGCTCAAATATCCTCATGACAGTGCTCAAATATCCTCATGATTCTGACCTCTCAGAACTCTCACACTGACACTTGAGCTTCAACACACAAAACAGGAAACAGGAAACAGGAAACAGGACACAGGACACAGGACACAGGAAAGGAAAAAGAAACAGGAAAAGAAACAGGAACTGGGAAGTGAATGTGCGTCTCTGGAGGAAGGACGTGGCGTTGAGAATATTAAAGCAGAACAACAAGAGTAAAACAGCGAAGAGACTCTCAGGTGATGAGAGTTAACGTCCAGGTGAGAGTCAGAGGAGATCAGCTGATCGTCAGGTGATCAGAGTGATGATCTCATCTTTGATCACGTACCTTCATGTTGGAGGCCTCGGTCTCCAGCTTGGTCAGATGGTTGGAGTTGTCCTGCAGCTCCTGTCTCAGGTTCGAGTTCTCCATCTTTAACACCTCCACCTGCCTCAGCAGCTGGTCGTACGACGCTGCTGCCATAATGGATGACCCTCTGCTGACCTGCAGGAGGCGGAGCAAAGACACCGCAAAAAGAGATAGTACTGCAACTGTACTGTACTCCTGCAGTTCTGCAGTACTGTAGTACAGCTCAAGTACTGCAGTACTGAGTAAAATAACTGTAAAAAAAACAGTTAAATACATCAACATAATAAGCTGATCACTTTAACACAGTCGACTGATCACGTTCCAACCATCAGCTGATCACTTTACAATCATTAGCTGATCACTTCACAAGTCAGCACATCAATCTACAACAGTCAGCTAATCACTCAACAACCATCAGCTGATCACTTTAACACAATCAGCTGATCACTCTAACACAGCTAATCACGCTAACACAGTCAGCTGATCACTTTTACACAGTCAGCTGATCACTCTTACACAGTCAGCTGATCACGCTAACACAGTCAGCTGATCACTTTAAAACAGTCGGCTGATCACTTTAAAATAACACCTTCAGCTGATCACTCTTGAACCATCAGCTGATTACTTTAACACAATCAGCTGAGTACTTTACAACAATCAGCTAATCACTTTACAACCATCAGCTGAACATTTAAAACAATCAGCTGATCACTTAAACACAGTCAGCTGATCACTAACACATTCAGCTAATCACTTAAACACAATCAGCTGATCACATTTTTACAACAATCAGCTGATCACTTTAACACAGTCAGCTGATCACTTTAACACAGTCAGCTGATCACTTTTAAACAGTCAGCTGATCACTTTACCACGGTCAGCTGACCACTCTACAACCATCAGCTGATCACTCTACAACCGTCAGCTGATCACTTTAAAAAAATCAGCTGATTACTTAACAACAATCAGCTGACCACTTAACAACAGTCAGCTGATCACTTTAAGACAGTCAGCTGATCACTTTTACACAGTCAGCTGATCACTCTAACACAGTCAGCTGATCACGCTAACACAGTCAGCTGAGTACTTTACAACAATCAGCTAATCACTTTAAAACAATCAGCTGATCACGCTAACACAGTCAGCTGATCACTTTAAGACAGTAAGCTGATCACTTTAACACAGTCAGCTGATCGCTTTATAACAATCAGCTGATCACTTTAAAACAGTCAGCTGTTCACATTTTTACAACAATCAACTGATCACTTAAACACAGTCAGCTGATCAATTTACAACAGTCAGCTGATCACTTTAACACGGTCAGCTGATCACATTTTTACAACAATCAGCTGATCAATTTACAACAATCAGCTTATCACTTTAACACTGACAGCTAACCACTTTAAAACAATCAGTTGGTCACTTAACAACAATCAGCTGATCACTTTAACACAGTCAGCTGATCACTTTACAACAATCAGCTTATCACTTTAACAGGGACAGCTAATCACTAAAAGACAGTCAGCTGATCACTTAAACACAATCAGTTGGTCACTTAACAACAGTCAGCTGATCACTTTAACACAGTCAGCTAATCACTTAAACACAATCAGCTGATTACATTTTTACAACAATCAGCTGATCACTTTAACACAGTCAGCTGATCACTTTTAAACAGTCGCTGATCACTCTAACACAGTCAGCTGATCACATTTTTACAACAATCAGCTGATCAATTTACAACAGTCAGCTGATCACTTTAACACAGTCAGCTGATCACTTTAACACAGTCAGCTGATCACTTTAACACAGTCAGCTGATCACTTTACAACAATCAGCTTATCACTTTAACAGGGACAGCTAATCACTAAAAGACAGTCAGCTGATCACTTAAACACAATCAGTTGGTCACTTAACAACAGTCAGCTGATCACTTTAACACAGTCAGCTAATCACTTAAACACAATCAGCTGATTACATTTTTACAACAATCAGCTGATCACTTTAACACAGTCAGCTGATCACTTTTAAACAGTCGCTGATCACTCTAACACAGTCAGCTGATCACATTTTTACAACAATCAGCTGATCAATTTACAACAGTCAGCTGATCACTTTAACACAGTCAGCTGATCACTTTAACACAGTCAGCTGATCACTTTAACACAGTCAGCTGATCACTATAAAATTGTCAGCTGATCACTTTTACACAGTCAGCTGATCACTTTAACACAATCATCTGATCACTTTAACACAGTCAGCTGGTCACCAAATTGTTTTGATTGTGAGTTTTGTGGTTTTTAGCTTTCAGGGTCAGACTCTGGGTTAGATGTTTAGTTCAGATCCTTCAGAGTCATATTAACTAAGATTTTACCCCCCCACCCCCACCCCACACACACACACACACACACACACCCGAAGGTCTGTCACTGATATAGTCCCCCCTCCCGTCATTTATGTTTCACCCCCACCCCCGTCCACTCCCTTCATCACTTGCCGCCCCCCCCACCCACCCACCCACCCATCGCAGGGAACAGATGATGATTAAAAACCACAGAAGAAGAAAACTGCCACGGAGGAGAAGAAACAATAGAGGACAGTGACACCCCCCCCCCCCCCCCCCGCCGCCCCCCATTATACTCCCTGTTCCTCTGCATCACCCAACAACATCCTCCCTCCTGCATCCTCACCCTTCTCCTCCCACCCCCCCACTAAAATAATGAGTCCAGAATAAACGCAGAGAGAAAAGAGTGATGGATAGAGAAAGAAGAAGAGAAAGAGGATAAAGAACGAGAAAATGGCAGCTCACCCCATCGCTGAAGCCTCCATCACCCTCCCTCCCTCTATCTGTGTCTGACAGAAGGCAGTCAGCTGGGCAAGCGAGCAGCCAATCAGCAGCCAGAGTCAGAGAGAGAGACAGAGCCAGAGAAGGGGGAGGGGAAGGGGGGATCTGTCCCTCCTCCCACTGCTCCCATCATGCTTTGCAGTGGCTGCTGCAGGCAGACTGACCGGGTTACTGATCTGCACACACATGCACAGACGCACTCTTCCTTATTCTAAGACGATAAAGCTTGGTTTAACAACTCGATTATTTTTACAAATCAACAAAATTTAACCAGAAATGTCAAAATACATCACGTAAAAAAAACCACACAAGAAAACACACAACAAGAAAATACAAAACAAAAAATAAAATTGACACAAAGATAAACAAGAGAAAAACACAGATAACAGAGACAAAACTGATCACTAATGCTTTATTACTGATCGGTAACCGATCACTGACAGTTTATAACTGATCACTACCAGTTTATAACTGATCACTAACGGTTTATAACTGATCACCAACTGATCACTAACAGTTTATAACTGATGACTAACGGTTTATAACTGATCACTAACAGTTTAGAACTGATCACTAACAGATCACTAACAGTTTATAACTGATCACTTATGGTTTATAACTGAACACTTACGGTTTATAACCGATTACTAACAGTGTATAACTGATCACTAACGGTTTATAACCGATCACTAACAGTGTATAACTGATCACTAACGGTTTATAACTGATCACTAACCGTTAATAACTGATTAATAACGGTTTATAACTGATCACCAACGGTTTAGAACTGATCACCAGCAGTTTAGAACTGATCACCAACAGCTAAGAACTGATCACCAACTTATCACTAATAGTTTATAACTGATCACTAACAGGTTGGAACTGATCACTAACAGTTTATAACTGATCAATTACAGTTTATAACTGATCACTAACGGTTGATAACTGATCACTAACAGTTTATAACTGATCACTCACGCTTTATAACTGATCACTAACAGTTTATAACGTATCACTCACGCTTCATAACTGATCACTAATGCTTTATTACTAGTCACTAACTGATCACTAACCCTTAATTACTGATCACTTACGCTTTATAACTGATCACTAACAGTTTAGAACTGATCACTAACTTATCACTAACAGTAATAACTGATCACTAACAGGTTGGAACTGATCAATTACGGTTTATAACTGATCGTTTACAGTTCATAACTGATCACTAACTGATCACTAACCCTTTATTACTGATCACTAAACGCTTTATAAGTGATCACTAAAGGTTTAGAACTGATCACTAACTGATCACTAACTGATCACTAACGGTTTAACTAATCACTAACAGGTTATAACTGATCACTGCAGATATTGATTATTACTGCAGATACTCACAGGTACAATTACTTCAATAATGTGAAATAACAACACAGAAAGAGAGACCACTGAGACTGTAGATGACATTATAACTCTAAAAGAGTTTATCTGTAATGAGACTCAGACCTCTGTACTTAACTGTATTTAACTGTTTAAGTTCATTTAACTGTATTTAAGTTTAAACTGTATATAAGTTTTAATGTTGTAATCATAAAGTTTTTTTACCTCATGGACGTGAACCTGGAATATAATGATTCTTTCATACTACTGTATTATCTTTATTACTTCACATCTCATTCAGTTTGAACTGACTGTTTTTTTTTGTAACATTTCATCTTTAATGTTTGATCGCAGCGGGGAAAGTTTACCCCAGTCACCTTCAAAAAAAGCTGGTTCTGGTTCTGAACTGAACAAACCACCAACTGATCAGTTACCAATCTATAACTAATCAATAACAGAACATTAACCAATTAATGAACAACCACTTACTGATGACAAGACAACCAATAACTGATAAAACACACACAAACACACACACACACCAATCCACTGTGATAGTCGCACAGATAGAGGAATTAAAGACGGGCCTTCTCAAGGTACCTAAGGGTACATGAACTACAGACAAGGAGTGCACAGAGAAACTACGGACTGAGGGTACACAGAGAATCTACAGACTAAGAGGACACAGAGAAACTACAGACTGAGAGTGCACAGAGAAACTACGGACTGAGAGTACACAGAGAAACTACAGACTGAGAGTACACAGAGAAACTACAGACTGAGAGTACACAGAATCTACAGAGTGAGTACACAGAGAAACTACAGACTGAGAGTACACAGAGAAACTACAGACTGAGAGTGCACAGAGAAACTACGGACTGAGAGTACACAGAGAAACTACAGACTGAGAGTACACAGAGAAACTACAGACTGAGAGTACACAGAGAAACTACAGACTGAGAGTACACAGAGAAACTACAGACTGAGAGTACACAGAATCTACAGAGTGAGTACACAGAGAAACTACAGACTGAGAGTACACAGAGAAACTACAGACTGAGAGTACACAGAGAAACTACAGACAAACAAATATACTGCAGTAATGATTAAAAAAAAATCTGCAGTAAAAACTAGGAAAAAAGGTTATAGAACCACAATTAAAATAGAGCAAACGGTAGTAAAGCTTGTTCTTTCAAAGTACTACGATTAGAAATCGTGGCATTTAAGATCATTTCGAAGTATCAGAAATACCGCAGTTATGTGAAGTACTTTGGCAGTATATCATTTTAAATATTCAGTAAAAAATGCAGTAATATGTAGTTTATAAGCAGAAAAATCAAGTTAACCGTCAATACTGCAGTTTTGTGCAATACTTCATAATTAGTATTGTTAGAGTATTACGGTCAGAAATACTGCAGTATTGTATAGTACTTCATGAGTGGCATTGTTGGAGTACTACTGTCAGACATTCTGCAGTATTGTCAAGTACTTCATCAGTAGTATTGTTGGAGTATAACAGTCAGAAATACTGCAGTATTGTGTAGTACTTCATCAGTAGTATTGTTGGAGTATTACAGTCAGAAATACTGCAGTATTGTGAAGTACTTCTTACCTTGGCTCTGTACCGAAGCAGTTCCCCCGTTAGCTAGCCGAGCAGTACCGTCTCAGTCCGATACCTGGTACCCGCTCCCTCAACGTCTCTTTTCCGCCTCATACTCGCTCATACCGTCGGTTTGTCGGTCAGTTGGACTAACAGATGAATAATCGGTTTCTGTTGTTTATCGGTTAACCTGGGGGGTCCGCTCAGACTCCGACACACCACCATAACAAACAGTTAGCTTGATGCTAAGCTAGCACGGGCGTTCTTACCTTTCCGGCCTGAAATGGACCGAAGTTCAGCTTCAGACGACGAAGGATCTTTGGGCCATTTCCGGGGAAACACTGAACCGGGTACCGAGCCGTCAGAGGCGGCGAAGGCCGCTCATTAGTCCAGAGAGAGTGGGAAAAGTTCAACAAAGTCCGCGAGAACTTTCAGCTCGGCCTCTTTATTATGGAGCCAGAGCTGCTGCTGTCCGCCATCTTAATTTGTGTGTGTGTGTGTGTGTGTGTGTGTGTGTGGTAATGACAATAAAGTCATGTTCAATCTTTAATCATATTGTTGTTCACACTCGCACTGAGACTAAACGAAACATTTGTTTTTTAATGATCAACTTTCTGGTAGTAAAATTATTAGTATTTTTTTTTGTTATTATTGTTGTTCATGTACATATATATATATATATATATATCCCCACTGTCACTCCCAACACCAGGAAAACACTTTAAATACCATATCAAACAACCTTACTGTAGACTCTGCCCCGCAGCCACCCACATCACCCTCAGCCCCATCTTCCTCCGTCCATGGACTCCCTATCACCGTGATCACCAACACCAGGCCTCACACCATAAAATCATACACCGGACCCAATCATTATAACCTCAAACATATAAATATAGACCCCCATCCCCAACAAACACCAGAGCGAAAACTCTAACAAAACCAAATCATTATTCAACAACAAAATCATTATTGTGGGGGATTTTAATATTCACGTTGGTAATCCATCTGATTCTTTTAGCTCTGAATTTTTAAATCTTATTGATTCTATGAATTTTAAGCAGCATGTGTCAAGCTCCACACACAACAGAGGAAATATATTGGATCTTTTAATAACCTTTGGGTTATCAGCTACTGTGTCCTCTGTTGTGGATGTGGGCTTGTCCGACCATCACTGTGTGTTTTTAAACATAATGGATTTTATCCAGCAGGAGGTCCCAGAGCATACTGTCAGGAAACGCTATCTTACTTCTGAAGTGGCTGCTAATTTTAGTGAGATTTTAACTGATGCTCCAAAGGCTGTTTTACTCTCTGCTTGTGATTTTATTGTTGACCATTTAAACCAGAAACTTAAGTCAGCAATAGATGTTGTTGCACCATTAAAAGTGAAAAAGATCAAACAAAACATAAAACCACCATGGAGAACAAGCGAGGTTCTCAAATTAAAGAGAAAATGCGGAATTGCAGAGAGGAGATGGAGAAAAAAACCATTACAAGTGCATCATCAGATTTTTCAGGAACAAATCACCACCTACAACAGAGCAGTAAAACAAGCAAGACAGGACCACTTTTTAAAAGTAATCGCTGACAATTGCAATAACCCCAAAATCCTTTTCTCAACCATTGACCAATTAACACATCCTGTTTTTAAGCAACCTTTTAATTCAGATTTATCCTGTGAAGACCTTGCAGTCCACTTCAGAAATAAAAATGTTATCAGGTCAATCTTTTTAAGCAGTAAACCTGATGATTTTAGCTCTTCTGTGTATTTAAATGGGGAGACACTGGACAGGTTTGCCCTGGTTGATGCAGCAGAGATCGGGGAAGTTGTCTCCCATCTTAGACCAGTGACTTGTGTTTTAGATCCTATCCTCACATCCCTTTTTAAGACCTCTTTTAGTGTTTTTAAGGATGACATTATTAATATTGTTAACTATTCTCTTCAGACAGGGGTCTTTCCCACTGCCTTTAAGACAGCCTGTGTCAGACCCCTTCTGAAGAGAGACAACTTGGATACAGCGGTACCTAATAATTACAGGCCTGTGTCCAACCTGACATTTTTAAGCAAAATTTTAGAAACAATTGTTTTTAACCAGTTAAATAATTTTATGATTTCTGAAAATATTGGTGATGTATTTCAGTCTGGTTTTAGGAAAAATCACAGTACAGAGACGGCACTGGTCAAGATTGTAAGTGACCTCAGGTCCAACATGGATGAAAGATTAATTTCCAAAACTACATCGGCATCTCTGGTACTGTTTTTAGCTGGTTTAAAACATATCTGAATGGCAGAAAATTTTACGTTAACACTGGGGAACGCTCATCAAGAACCTATGAAATGGAGTGTGGCGTTCCCCAGGGCTCAATTTTAGGCCCCACACTTTTTAATCTATATATGTTACCATTAGGAGATGTCATCAGGAGACACGGCATTAACTTTCACAGCTATGCTGATGATACACAGCTCTACCTGGCTGTGTCTCCTGATGACACAGGGCCCATTGATGCCCTTTTTAATTGTATTTTAGATGTCCAGTCCTGGATGGCAGACAACTTCTTGCAGCTCAATCAGGACAAAACCCAGGTTTTAGTCATCGGTACAGGTCCAGAGAGAGAGAAACTGGAGAACAAACTCCGAGGACTGTCTTTTAATCCCTCAAAAAAAGTTAAAAATCTGGGTGTTATATTTAATTTTAACCTCAGCTTTGAATCACACATACGTGATATTACCAAAAAGGCTTTTTATCACCTTAAGAACATCTCTAGAGTCCGCCAGTTTCACTCTCAAGCCAATGCAGAGACTCTTATCCATGCTTTTATTACCTGCAGAATTGATTATTGCAATGCTCTCCTCTCTGGTCTTCCTAAAAAGAACATTTCACAGCTTCAGCTGCTGCAAAATTCGGCAGCACGCATGCTGACATTTAAAGTCTCTGCATTGGCTTCCTGAATCTTTTAGAAGAGATTTTAAGGTTCTTTTATTAGTTTATAAATGTCTTAATGGTCTTGGACCTCCTTATTTATCTGATTTGCTTTTACCATATGAGTGGTTTTTTAATAGTCCCCAAAGTTAGAACCAAAACATAGGGTGAGGCATCATTCTATTATTATGGCCCATGCCTCTGGAACAGTCGGCCTGAAGACCTAAGAGCAGCACCTACAGTTCATATTTTTAAACGCAAACTCAAGACCTTCCTTTTTAGTCTGTGTTTTAGCTGATTTTTGTTTTATTCTTCTAGCCTCTCTTTAAGTCTACTCTTTTTATCTTATGTATTTTACTCCACTTTAGTCCCAGTGTGAGGTTTTTGAGTTTATGCAGCAGTTGGGTTTCCTGTGTTCCTTTCCTCTGTGTGTTCTCCCTCTCTCTCTCTCTGCAGCGCTGGAGGCACAGCGGGAGGCGGGGCTGGCCCGGACTGATTGCACGCACCTGATTCTCGTTGTTGTGCAATTACCTGGCTTTATATGCCAGCTCCTCTGTCAACTCAGTGCTGGATGATTTCTCAGTTATGCTACACGTGTCTTGCCACGCTGAGCTCCCTGATCTCCCACCCGTGTAACCAGCCTACCTCTCAGTATTTGTTCGTGAGTTCTTTTGTTACTTTCCAGAGAATTTTTCCTTTGAGCAAAGGTGATTTTGTGTTTGCGTTTTTTCCTCTAGTTGAGAAGATTTTTTGGTTTACGATTTTCTGTTGCACTTTGACTTTTACATCCTTAGTTGTTACTTGCCCCACGTGGCACTATCATTTGAACTTTGTTTTTTCACCAGCCATTTGCCTTGCTGCAGTGACTCTTTTTCTAACTCTGTTTTTGTGTCTTTTTAGTGGCAGTCCGAGCCAACCGTGCCTTTTCCCGGAAACTGCGATTTTCTGTTGTTGCTTTGTTCTATTGTTTATTGTCAATAAATTTGGGCTTTTGCCTCTGCATTTTTGGATACTGGCCTTTGTTCGATTACTCACACCCAGAATTATTTTATGTTAACACTATTTGGCACTATTCTTTTATTGTTTGATTTAAAAAGTTTTATTATATGATATTTTATTATTTTTTAAGTATTATTACTCCATTTCATTTTAATTTTTATCATTCTATGAGTTTCCTATATCTTGTCATGGTTTTATCAGTTTAGCTTCAGCTCCTGTGTTTCCCCATTTTAGTTTAAGATAGCGTTTCCTTGGTCCACTGGGGCTTCCTGCTGAGCCCACTTGGTGTCCCAGTGTGTGTGTGGTGGGGTCTCTGTTAAATGCAGGCTTTGAGGGTGGGTAGGTGTGTGGGGTTTTGCAATTTGTATTTTATCTTGTATTTTATTCGGTATCCCCTGGTCCTCTCCTTCTTGTATTCTTTAATGTAAAGCACTTTGTGATACAGTCCATGTATGAAAAGTGCTCTATAAATAAAGTGATATATATATATATATATATATATTTCCCCTTATAGATCAATAAAGTTCTTCCTCTCCTTTTTCTTCTTTATGATTATTATAATTAGAATTAACCATTATTATTATCAGTCTTTTTTTTTCTTTTTTTTAAATTTTGTAACATGTAAAAAATTACCATGATGATCAAAATAAATGACTATTTTTATCATACAATAGCAGAAAGACTTTACTACACAATCTAAAGTTAAAAAATGTGACCAAAAAATTATAAAAGAAAAAATATATATTCGTAGAATGTTTTTTTTTTTTTTTTTAATTTGGCTTAAACAGATGCAGGCTTTGAGAGAAAATCAAAGAGCCTATCAATGATCTGCAGCTACTCAGACTGGGGTAAATAAAAACAGAATGTTTATGGATAAAAGTCCATGAAGCTTTGTGAGGGATAACAGTTGTCATAACCTGGCTCTTAAGCCATGACATATATGAAAAGGGACGCAGTGCAGGGCGGGAAGTAAAGATTTATTTTAACAAAGTGGACACTTAAACAATAATTTGTAAATATGGAGTGTGTTAGTCAGTGATATCAGTCGTGTAAGTGTGGATGTGTGAGTAATGAAGTGTAGGGTGTTGTGGGGTGAAAATAAACCAAAGTCAAACCAAAGCAAAAAGCCTGCGACAGCAGGCCTGTGGCAGGGTCAGAATAAGAGAGCGAGCCACACTGGGGAAGGGCCTTTTATGCTCTGTGGCAGCGTTAGGCACAGGTGCTTCACTTGTCTGCCACACCCACTCTCTCCCAGGTAGCCCTGCAGGGAAAACATGAAACGGCTCCACCAGGATTAGTCCACCTGACCCCCAGTTAGGCAGGGTCGTCACACAGTCATATACTGAGGAGGTATTTGTTCAGCCTCTTCTTGAAGGCGTGAACACCAGTAGATGTAATATCTCCAACAACTGCAGGGGGAAGGCTATTCCAAGTTGTTATAGCAGAGTGGAGAAAGCTCCTGTCAAGGCAATTGGTTTTTAACTTGGGGACTTTCAGGGCGTGACTTGGTAGTACTCTCCGGGTGATTCTTCCCACGGTGTGGGCTTGGGGTAGCAGAGCTTTGAGGTCCACTGGACAGTTGGGGATGTGCATTTTATAAAGAACGGTTGTTGCTGCAACTGTTCGCCGGTGACCCAGCTTGCTGATGGAGTACTGCTGAAGGGCAAGGTCCTCATCCACCCTGATGATTTTTATAGCGTTCTTCTGGATGAGGTCTAGCTGCCTAAGAGTGGTCGGAGAGGCGTTCATCCAGGCCAGGCAGGAGTACTCCATGATGTTCCTGACCTGGGTCTTATAAATGTTGGCCCTGCCCTTGGCATCAAGCTTGTTGGCCAGCTTACGCAGTGCACCAAGACGTTGTCCAGCACGTCTGCAGATGTTGGACAAATGGCTGGTCCATGTGAGCTTGCTGTCTATAGAAAGACCCAACACCTCCATCTGCTCACTAAGTGTGATCTTGGTGGTCCCAAAGAACAGGTCAGATCGAGAGGGATTCCTCTTTTTGGACAGGATTATCGCCTTGCACTTGCTGGGCTCAAAAGTGACCTTACAGGCATCGGCCCACTTCCGGAGGTTTTCCAAGTCTTTGTTCAGGGACGCAGTCACCTCAGGCGCATTTGACGATGTTACTGGTGTGACGATGGTAGAGTCGTCTGCATACAGGAAAATGTTGTTCTCACACTGTTCCACAACATCATCAATTAAGATGGAAAATAACAGTGGGCCCAGAATCGATCCCTGAGGTACAGATGCGTTGATGGGATGTGGTAAAGAAGACTGACCAGAAAGCACAACTTTGATGGATCTTGCTTGAAGGTAGTTCTGTAACCAGACGTGCAATCTTCCGGTTACGCCCTTTGATGATAGCTTTGCACAAAGGACATTGTGCCAGACCTGCTCGAACGTGCCCTTGATGTCCAGTGCGACAGCATATACTTCTCCACCTTTGTCAAGGATGTTGTTCCATGTCTGGGACAAAACTGTAAGGAGGTCGGCTGTGCTGTGGTTAGGTCTGAAACCATATTGTTTATTCGAGATAAGGTCATGACGGAGGAGAAATCCCTGTAGCTGTTTGTGTACAGAGGATTCCATCACTTTACTGATGACAGAGAGCAGGGATATGGGACGGTACTTGGATGGATCCGATTTAGAGTCCCTTTTGTGAATTGGGATTACTCTTGCAGTTTTCCATTGGTCAGGGAACAAGCCACGGGAAAAGAGGAGTTGAAAGAGATGACAGAGGGGACTGGCCAGTTCCGCGGTGCACTCTTTCAGGACCCTTGTTGGGATTTCATCAGGCCCTGTGGCCTTTCCTGGGTCCAATTTGCGAAGGATGTTCCTGACATCTTTGGGTCTGAAGTTGACTTCGCCGAAAAAAGAGGATGGTAATGGGCACTGGAGTTGAGGTAGCGCAGATGCCCCAGGCAAAGTACACTTGTCCGCAAAAGTCTGGCAGAAGATATTGGCCTTTTCACTTGCTGTTATGTGGGGGATGCCTTGGTGTTCGATGACTGGGATGTCTGTGGAGCCACTTCTCCCTGAAAGTGAATTCACAATTCCCCACCACTTCTTAGAGCTGAGCGATTTGTCCGATAGGTCTTTTTTCAATTTGTTGTTATATTGTCTCTTTGCTCGCATTTCAGTTTGATTGAACGCTGCTCTTGCTTCAAGAAACTTCTGTTTTACAGTCAGGTTGTTTGAGGCCTGCATCTTGCAATAGAGTCGGCGCTTTTTTGTGGCTGCCCTCCAGCACTGATCGTCAAACCAAGCTTTATCTCCAGGCTTTCTGGTTGGTATGAATGCGGCCATGGCATCTTGCAGTAAGTTGGTGAGATTGGTGCAGGTTGTTTCGGGATCTTCCTCCTTGAAGACATTGGACCAGTTTATGGAAGTTAGGTACCCTCTCATTTCCTAGAACTGCGCCTTGTCATATCTCCACACTCTTCTCCTGTATGGCTTATCTCTGAAGACTGGTATTGTCAGCTGTATATGTACGGGATTGTGGTCCGAGGAGCCTACATTTGCCAAGGTTGTTGTGGTTGCTGGAGTGTCTGATAGAACCAAATCTAGAATGTTGTTCTGTCTAGTTGGTTCAGTGACGATCTGTTCCAGTCCCAGGCAGTGGGCAAGTTGCAGGGCACGTTGTCCAGCAGCATCCGTAACATTGCTCCCCAGCCACTCCTTGTGATGTACATTGAAGTCGCCGATGAGCGTAACGGACTGGGCTCCAAACTCGTCCATCACTGAGAGGGTGTTACTGTCGATGTAGTCCAAGACATCTTTAGAGGCGCTTGGCGGGCGATAAACAGCTCCTATCAGCAGCGTCCTGGTCTTCAGAGCAACAGTGAACTGAGTCTGGAGAGGGTCCCAACACTGTGGAAGACTTCCTGCGTGATTCCTGTCCCCAAGACAGCACACCCCAGGGAGCCCAACCACTTCAGACCTGTGGCCCTCACTTCTCACCTGATGAAGACTCTGGAGAGGATTGTGCTGAGGAACCTCCGCCCCCTGGTGAGCTCTCATCTGGATCCTCTGCAGTTTGCGTACCAGCCGAACATCGGGGTGGACGACGCAGTCATCTACCTGCTGCAGAGGTCCATGGCCCACTTGGAGAATACCGGCAGCACTGTGAGGGTCATGTTTTTTGACTTCTCCAGTGCTTTCAACACCATCCAGCCTTCACTGCTCAGGGGGAAGCTCGAGCGGGCGGGAGTGGACTGTCACCTAGCCGCATGCACCGTGGACTACCTCACCAACAGACCATAGTTTGTGAGGCTTCAGAACTGTGTATCGGACTTGGTGGTCTGCAGCACGGGGGCTCCATAGGGGACAGTGCTCTCCCCCTTCCTCTTCACCCTGTACACCTCAGACTTCAGCTACAACTCTGGGAGCTGTGTAGCAATAAAGACAACCCTGGGTGCGAAACTCACACATTCCTCACAGGAAAGTTTCCTTATCTGGTCCCAGGACACGGGATATAAATCTTTCCAGACTTGTTTGCCCTCTCAGGTTACGTAAGTGACCCGACCGGAGGTTGACCAAACCTCTGACTCTTCACGATTGGTCAATTCGGAGAACAGAGACATTTTTTATTACCTTTCAAACTGACTCCATCGCTGACCATCTAAATAAACAATAATGCCTCAACCCAGATCTCCCATTTGAGATTTACCGTCTTAAAGTATGTGAACATACGGACCCCAGGATAAGGGGGGACACTGACCTCCAGACCTCGGTCGTAAAACCCTGCTCGACCATACACTGATAAAGACTACATTCCTTTGGTGAAAGAATACAAATGACTGATCATGACATCTTATGCATTCAGCAATGTACTAATCTGTCTAATCATGAAATTTGTGTTAAAATGAGATGTTTCCCGATTCTCTATGTGCTCCAGAAGCCAAGTTATCACTCTGACTGAATAAATCCTTTATTCTTTAGTTTCTTTAGACCAACAGCTTTTCAGACTGTTTCATGAACTTTTAAGAGTTAAATTTATTGACTATGACTCATAACTTTACTCTAAGTAACAGAAATGGTTTAGAAATGTTTGGTTTATATTTTAGTTGTTTATTTAGTATTTTTAACCATTAGGTGGTTATAATGTCATTGAATAATCTGAATGTGAGTATTTAGAATCCATTATTAATCATGATGAAGTTCATTCACATGTGTTTACTCTTTTGTTGTTCACAGTTTCCATGTGTTACTATCTGTTTCATTTCAGAGTAATTTAGCATGTTCAATGTGATACTTAAAACATAATGAGAATGTTTGATGTGATCCTACACTTCATTCATATGTGTTTAGTATCAAATTATTTATCATGAAACCAAGCATTCAATGATATTAATCATAGTGAGTGAGTATCAGATCTGACTCTTTTACCAGCCAAAAGTATAAGTTATATCAAATAATCAGAGACCCGAGGTCCTCCTCTTTCTCCTCACACACACACGCCAGAGACACTCCCAGTGTGAGAAGATAAAACCAGTGAAGTGGGGTTGCTCACTCTCTTGTTACCCGTGCTCTTATGCCCCTTACTCTTGCCCCTTACTCTTGTACTCTTGTGCAGCGCTTTTCTCCTCTCTTCTCCCCTTTCGCTCTTCTTGCCCTTACACTCTCTTCTATTATTGCTCTTACTACTACTACTAGTCTTACTTTTTCTTAGTCTTCTAAGTTTTACGCCACGTGTTGATTCACGTTGATTTTTCTTTAACATTGTCTTAGTTCAAGTTTTGAAACTTCAACTTTTTGTGCGCATAGCAATTCAAGATTAAGCCTTTGATTGATTTTTCTTTAATTTCGCGAAGCCATTTTTGAAAGTTTCTCTGCTCATCAAGCCTCGTTTTTCTGAGTTATCTGCGTGATTTCAAAGTCACCTCTGAAAGCAACCCAGCAGGCCCAGGTCATCCTCTGTGCCAGAGTTTTTGAGTGAGACCAAAGAAGCGTCCAAAAGAGCATCCACAGGATCCACAGGCACCGGCTTTACTTCAGGCCCGAGTGCTACAACTCCTGGCCCATCCTTCGGCTGACTTCAGTCGTCTTCTGAGCTGAACCGCTCGAACCGCCGGTAGCCCCGGACCTTCGGAACCTGCTCCCCCTTATCCAAGGACCAGTCTCACTTAAGTATGCAAACCTCCAGAGCTCCAAAGAGGGCTGATGCTGTCTCATGCGTTCATAACTCAGATATCCACTTGTTCTGGTAATCTTAGATTCCTCCAAATCTACATCCGAGTTTATCTCAACACCAAAGTTAGTGTAGATTAATATGTTAGCGCATATTCACTCACTATCATTAACTTTAGTGCTCCTAGCCTGACTCAGAATCTTTATTTATTCACCTATTATTATTTATACTCAATATCTTATCATCATTTATTGCATGTATGTTGTACCATCATTTATCCTGTAATAAACAGATCATTATTTTTCTAAGTTCTTGTCTGTTAGTGTTCTTCCAGAAGTGGAGTCCCTGAAATGAGAATTTCGGCTTAAGATATGAGATTGATTAATTAATGATTGACTTGATGTTTGATTTCTGAATTAAACTTTAGTTTTCTTTATTTTCCCACCATTAAGGGTGGGTGGTGCCCCTTTCAACGAGTGCATGAATGTCATAATTTGAGATTATTAATCCTCAGACATTTATTATAAATTCAAATCGCTATAGCTGTCACCTCCAGAAGTTCTCTGATGACACAGCCATCGTCGGATGTGTATCGTCAGGGGATGAGCGGGAATACAGGACTGTCATCACTGACTTTGTCAACTGGTGTGGCACAAACCACCTCCAGCTCAACGCCAGTAAGACAAAGGAGATGGTCGTGGATTTCCGCAGGAGGGGGACACCTCAGACTGTTCCAGTGAACATCCAGGGTCTGGACATCGAGATGGTGGAGTCCTACAGATTCCTCGGTGTCCACCTCAACAACAAACTGGACTGGTCAACAAACACAGACGCTCTGTACAAGAAGGGCCAAAGTCGTCTCCACCTGCTGAGGAGACTGAGGTCTTTTGGAGTGTGCAGGACTCTGCTCAGGACTTTCTATGACTCTGTGGTAGCATCTGCACTTTTCTATGCGGTGGTCTGCTGGGGGGCAGGGAGCACCGAGAGGGACAGGAAGAGACTGAATAGACTGGTCAGGAGGGCCAGTTCTGTCCTGGACTGTTCTTTGGACTCCCTGGAGGAGGTGGGTGAGAGGAGGATGTTAACAAAGCTTGTATCCATCATGGACAATCCCTCTCACGCTCTGCATCAGACTGTGGGGGCTTTAAGCAGCTCCTTCAGCAGCAGACTTAAGGGGTGTTCAGACCAAACGCGACCAGGTCATGTCGCGTTGGTCGGTCATGTCGTGTCGCGTGGTGCCCTGGTGTGTTCACAACGGGTCCAAAGCTGCGGTCGCAGGACGCGGCTGGTCGCCGCTGACCCGCTTCTCCCACCTTCCTTCTCCCTCCTTTTCTCCCTCATATATACATTCCGCAGCCCCTTCCAGCGCTTGCAGCACACACATACACACACACACACACACACACACACACACACACACACACGTTGAAACATGTAGCCTAGCAAGGGGAAGGGCAGGGGAAGTTTGCTATGTTTTCAGAAAATAGTCTGCTCACTGAAATAAATAAACAAACAACCAGAAAGCCCGAAATCATGGGCCACCTTCTATGGAGCCAGATCAGGCTCAAAAGTATTGAAAAAGTAGTGTAAGTGAAAAAATAAAAAGTGAAGTGAAAAAATAAGATTTGAACCTGAAAAAAATAAAATGGTACCTGAAAGTCTTGAATTTCGAAATTGAACTTTGAAAAATCCCAGAATGCATGAAAAAAATCTGTTCAAATGTAACTTTGATTCTGTTTTTTAATACTTTTGAATAAATTACTTATTTCTATTTTTCACTTCAATGTATATTTCGATCTTTGAGTACTTTTTTTTTTCGATTGAATTTTATTTATTTATAACAGATTCAGATCTTATTTTTACGGATTCAAAACTTTTTTTTCGGTTTCAGATTTTTTTTTTTCAGATTCAGATCTTCTTTTTTCAGATTCAACTTGAAAAGTTTCAGGTTGACTTTTGAGCCTGTTTTTCCGTGGGGGCGGGCCTCGACTGAGAGGGGCGCGGTCTGCCATGAGTGACAGGCCTCCCCCTCCTTCCCCACCCCATTACCCTGCGTTCAGGAAGTGGCATGAATACACATTAGCTTAGCCTACAATTAGGCTGTATTGGCTGAATGAGATCGTGTTGGTTCGTTCCACTTTAGTGGTGCAATACAAACTGTGATTCATTAAAAAGCTCTATTGATAGTAAGTACTAAAAAAAATATATCTACTCCTGTCATCCTGTCGATTTTTAGTAATCAGTGTTTCGGTGTCGAACTATTTCACCGGGTGATAACTCACTGTGAGGTTAAACTGCTCCTCCATTGTGATTCTTCTTCTCCTCCTCCTCCTGACCTCAGCAGAGCCCTGATTGGCTGTCGCGGCAAGGAGTCGCGGATAGTCGCTCCCAAAGTTCAAATATTTGAACTTGCGTCGCAGGCAGCCGGCGGTCGCCAAGTCGCGTCAGGTCGCGGCTGTCCATGGACTTTGCATTGGGAGCCGTTGCTGACGTGGCCGAGGTCGCGTTTGGTATGAACACCCCTTTAGACTTCCACCTTGCAGGACAGAGCGCTACCGCAGGTCATTCCTCCCCTCTGCAATAAGACTTTACAACGAACTGTAATGATACCTGGATTTACACTACCACTTTTTTCTGGCATTTAAATTGTGTATATTGTAGATAGTTCTCCCTTTTTCCTTTTTCTAAATTTTTTCTTAATTATTACATTTATTTAAGTTCTTAATATAAAGATCTTTATTTTTATAACTGCATTTTTGCACTCTTTGTCTGTGATGCTGCTGTGACAAAAAAATTTCCCCCATGGGGGATCAATAAAGGAATATTCTATTCTATTCTATTCTGAACCACATGAGCTCAAAGTCGTCTTTGGATGGGTTGTGACAGTAGACTGCTATACCGCCGCCGGTGCCTCCGCTGCGATCGCTGCGACAGCTGAGTGAGTAGCCAGGAATCTGTATCTCGTCCGCCCCATCTGGAATGGTTGGGCCCAGGAAAGTCTCTACTAAGATGACAACTGAAGGCTTCTTCTCAGAGCAGAGATTGGAGAGATCCCCCATATTGGTGCGTAGTCCTCGGATGTTCACTTCAAGGATTTCCAGTTTATTTTCACTAAGTCGTAGTCGGGGTCAGTGCGGAGGTCGGCATTGGGTGGTCTGTTCATTTCGAGGCTTTCTTATTGGTTTCCTAGCAAGGGGGGTTGACGGCTACACAGGGAGCTAGCCCCTGTGCCCTTGAACACACCTGAGCAGTGTGGCAGAGATCAGTGCATACATGACCTAATCCGAAAGCATCATGCATGTGCAGAGGACTCATAACGGATCGGGTTTCAGAAGAAACCACTTGGTCAAGGACAGGGGTGATCGCACTATTAGTGATCTCTGCTACCCTGCTAATGTGTACTGTGTTTCACTGGTGCTGCCTCTGTTTTTTTTTTTTTTTTACTTTCCCTCGGGGATTAATAAAGTATCTATTTTACACATATGTGAAAACAAAGGGACAATAAATTAAATAGGACAAGACAACCAACTGATTCGTAAACACCCTGTTATCGTCAAACACCTTCAATCCTATATCTTCTGAAAACTGTCTCTTTATACTTTTTGAAATGATTTATGTTCACTATTTTTTTTTTATTAGCAGTCGGTCATCCCTTATGCAGCATTGTACAACAATATCTTGATGAACATTATCTAAACTTCCACTACAGGGAGTACAGGTGCAGCATTTTTTAAAATACATATAAAGAAAAGGTTATCAGGTCATGTATCAGTCCACACAGAACTCACTAGAATATTAATCACCCAAAACCAGAGTTTCAGATCATATTTCATGCCATGTACAGAATGGAAACTCAGGATATAACAACATGCTTAATTTATACAAAAACTTTGAGGAGGACAGTCGATGGACGTAGAAAGGAAAACACAGAAGAATAGACAGTACAGGGCTCCATAGACTCCATAGGATAGGGAAATGCTCACATTGTAATCTATCATATACAGTTAAACACGAACTTTTTCAGTGTTCGAAGTATGCTTGCATGATAAAAACTTGTTTCAGTTCCAAACAGGGTCAAGTATAAAAACTTTTCAATTGAGAAGGCAGCTGAGAAAACAAGGTTATTATCAAATCCTGAACTGAAGTAGTTTTAAGTTTTTAGTTTTATTTTATTTTATTCGTTATCTATTTTATTTTATTTTATTTATTTATTGGTTATTAATTTTATTTTATATTATTTTATTTATTTTCTGCTCCACGCTCCAGTCCAGCTGGTGGCGGTAATGCACCTCTGAGTTGGTTTGCCGACCGCCATTAGACAAGAAAGAAGAAGAAAAGGCCGCCGGAAGTGGTCGGACGTCCCTTTGTGGCGTGTTACCTCTAAGATGGCGGCGCTGTTAAACGGCTTGGGCTGTCCGTTTATTTTTGCGCCGATTGACGGTTTCTGTCGCCGGTAACCGGGACACCGAGGTGTGCTTCTGACGGCATGAAAAACGGGTGCACGTGCAAGTGAACCGGATGCCTCGCGTGAATCGGACGGTCGTGTTATCACTGCTGATTGTGAGCAGCTCCGTGTTCCTACTGTTCCAGCTGTATTACTACCGGAAATACGTCAGCAAGGTGAGAGGAAAAGTACCTGCGACGGATATATCTAGATATAGATATATCCGGCGCAGGTACTTATATATATATATATATGTGTGTGTGTGTGTGTGTGTGTGTGTGTGTGTGTGTGTGTTCACAATGCTTTTTTAAAAATCCAGCATTAGTTTTATGTATTTTGGGTATTTAGCTACTCCTTGATCAGATGTTGCTTTCATGGAAATGCACCATTTTACTCCATTTACCTATAGATATACATTGATGTTAACAGACCATTGCAAAAGATAATAAGGGCTTAGTTTTAGGGTTGAAAACATATGCAAGAGTCACAACTTCAGAGCAAAAGCAAAAAAAAAAAACAAATCACAGTTGGATTATTCACTTTAACTTTTTGGCTTTTGTGAGTCTGCATACAAAAATACTAATAAATCTCAACAGCATTCAAACTACCACAAAAATGGCTAGAAAGAAGCATCTGAGTAAAGAAACAAAAGTACAGATTTGTACATTGAGGAAAGAAGGATACACAGAAAGAGAAATTGCAAAACGCCTAAAGGTGTTTAACAAAGGAGTCCACTACACTCTCAAGAGACTAGAGGAACCTGGAAGTTATGATGATAGAAAAAGACCTGGGCGAAAGAGTTACTACAAAAGCAGAGGATAAACAGCATTGTCACCAGTAAGAGAAATTGGCAAAAGACAGCTCCAAGAATAAGGGAGGAAATCAACATGACAAGGTCGAAACCCATATCTCTGACAACCTTGAAATGTCGTTTGAGAACGGCTGGTCTGAAGGGTTGTGTATCTGCAAAAAAACTACTTCGTACAAAGAGATATGAGTGTGCAAACGCTCACAAAAATTGGACTTATGATGACTAGAAACAAGTTTGCACTGTTTGGTTCAAAACACAGAGTCTATGTCCGCAGACAAACTGGTGAATGTTTGAAAGCACCATGTGTTACACCCACAATTCAGAATGGAGGTGGTAGTTCCATGGTATGGGGATGTTTTGCAGGTGATGGAGTAGGAGATTTGTTTGAAGTAAAAGGTATCATGAAGGAACAGTACCACTCCATCCTCCAGCACCATGCTGTTCCATCTGGACTCAGACTTGTGGCTCATAAGTTTGTTTTGCAGCAAGACAATGACCCGAAGCACTCTGCCAAGCTCTGTAAGGGTTACCTAGACAAAACAGAAGAGGGGGGTGTTCTTCAAAAGATGGTTTGGCCCCCTCAGTCTCCAGACCTTTCTCCAATTGAGCTTGTGCTGGATGAATTGGATCGATCGGTCAGAAAAACGCGTCCCACGAATCAGCAGTCTCTTTTTAATGAACTTAAGAAAGCTTGGAATGCAATACCTGGAACATACCTTAAAAAACTCTTGGAACGAATGCCTAGTATATAAGCTGTTGTTAAAGCAAAAGGAGGTTACTTTAAAGAAAGCAAAGTCCAAGCAACAATAACTCAAATACCTAATAATTATAGTCAAAATGTCTTCTGATAAGTTACTCTTTACACAATAGTTATGTTTATTGTGTTGCAAATTATATATATAGTTAGCATGTTTGATTAAAATGATACACACTGAACTCCTCTGATGTTAAATTTCCCATCATGCCTTCCTCCTTCAGCCTGGCCCTCACATCCTGAGCCAAACAGGTCACCTGACTGCCAGTGACGTCCAATGGGTAAGTCGGCAGCAGCAGCTCTGATGTTAGCATAGCTCTGAGCGCTAGCATTAGCACCATGACCAGTGTTAGCACTGTAATTAGCATCACTGTTAGCATCAACATTAGCTCTTCTGTTAGCATTAACATTAGCTCTTCTGTTAGCATCAACATTAGCTCTTCTGTTAGCATCACAGAGTTATTTTATTTTTATATTTGCTGTCAGTTTTATCCTACTGTGACGGTTGACATGGTAACATCTTTCCTACTGTGATAGATGTCACGGTAACTGTTTTTCCTATTGTAACAGTTGTCATGGTAACTGTTTTTCCTATTGTAACAGTCATCATGGTAACCGCCATGCTATGCCTGGTTACAGCAAACACTGAGGAAGTTTCTGGCACTCGCTCAGCGCTTCAGGTTGCCATTGTTCCTCGCTGACACCGTCTCCCTGACACTGCTTTCTGAAGATGCTCTGAGGCAGCGAGATCGGCTCGTGCGTGAGCCGCACTGCACTTTCCTGTGCACCGGTCGACCAATCACATCCTTCACTCTGCACGCCAATCTGTGGAAGTATGATGTGAGTGTGTGAGAAACCTTTGAGTGTTTTTGCATTAGTGTGTCACATCTGTGAGACATTAACTGTGTGTGTGTGTGTGTGTGTGTGTGTGTGTGTGTGTGTGTGTGTGTGTGTGTGTGTGTGTCAGCCCGGCTTCCTGTTGGCTGCTGAACAGAAAGGATTCCAGGTGCTGCAGGTACGAGGAGACGACCCACGACTGGCCAGTCTGGACATCCTGTCAGGACAAGACATCCCCCTGCACTTCCTGCTCCGCCTCCAGGATTACATCATCCAGGTAACAGACCTGAGACCAAAAGGATTCTGGAGACCTTCTTGCATGAGTTTGTTTTTTTCAGACGTTTGTAAACTCGACTCAAATTCTCTAAAGGTACGTTTTCATCTCAGTGATATCGACCTACCCGGTTAAGAAGCAAACCTGTGTTTCTTCATCCTGCTGTTGTGGAAACTGGACGGAAACAGAGGTCGGGAGAGGCAATCAGCAGGAGAAGCCCCATGAAGGTTTTACATGTGGAGGCCACAGACCAGTTCCCTCTCCTCATCCTTTCATGAGGATTCTCAGCTAGTTGTGCGTTTTTTTCTCAGTCTGCTCACCACTGGTTAGGATGAGGAGGTATCTGTAGCCCACAGAGGTTTCACTTAGTGCTGCTTCACCAGAATGTCAAATCGGGATGTGCCATTCAGAAGATTTGACGTGTCTTCAAACAGAGTGAGAGGAATGTAGAAAAGGACCCCATGAGTCTGACCAGGACACCAGGAGCAGTGGAGGAGAGACACAGACCAGGACACCAGGAGAGGTGGAGGAGATACCCAGACACAGACCAGGACACCAAGAGAGGTGTAGACTGCTGTGTGCATCTTTCTGAACAAACTAGTGCTGGGCGATAGGACGATAGATATCGTGGGCACGATAGAAAATGTCTATCGTGCCATTTCTATTTTTATCGTTTCGAGCGATAGGCTGTATTTTATCCACAGAGCTTGTGCCATCAGATGATTCATAGTAACAACAACAATAATTGCACATTCAGTAAGTGTATTTGGTGTCAACAGGAAAGAAAACAATATTTTCTTACAAAGAAAAGGATGCGTTGACATGTAGGCTCGCATTTCTGTTTCGATTTTGCGACATGACGCCGCTTTACGTGCCCTCTTAGTGTCCAGCGTCTCCCGCCGTTGCGGGTTACCTGGGTAACACACATGAGGGGATCATTGTAAGCAGTGCTTAATTTGTGCCGGAGCACGCTCCGGGACCTCTTTTGATGGGATCCGGGACCTATTTCAGCTGCTCCGGCACCTGTTTCATCTGCTCCGGGACCCTCCCTGTAGAGGATGACATTTTTCGGGAATTCCCGTGGGTCACGTGATTCCCGCGGGAATCCCACGGGATGGGAGTCATTTTTTAATTAATCCCTTGATCAGGACGGGATGGGAAAAAAAGCAACGGGAGTGGGCAGGAGCGGGAACAACATTAATAGATGATCATTTTCAGCCGTGTTAAACAACCAGATGAACAGGTACGTCCATTTTTGTAGTCATCTCTCAGTGAGAGCCAACACTCTTGACCGCGCTAGCAACACAAAAGAACTACAACAGTGGTTTGACTTCCTGTCAGCTGGGAGCACGGCTCCGCATTTCTACCCTTCAAGCCAGGAGTGAGGAAACGTAATTTTGTGACATTCTGTAGTTTTTCAATCATTTCTGGAGTCGTGGTGAATCAAATCACCTTACCTGTCTGCCCCTGATAGGCGAATAAAGCGCTCGGATTCATGCTCGGGTCTTGCTACGTGCTTGATGAGTAAAGTAAACAATGATGGAGGCAGAGAGCAGCTTTGGAGGAGAAACATCCAGCAGTGTGAACAACCTCTTCAAAAGAGCCCCAAAGACCTACCTTTTTAATAAAGCCTTTGGTTAGCTTTCCTCTACGCTTTTACTACCTTGCCTCTTACATTGCAACTCTATATTCTTTATTTTTTTTGTTCTTTTATGCTTTTTTATCCCAATCTGTGACTGTCATTCTATTGCTTTTTTTATTGTTGCTGCTCTTTTTTTACTGTGCACTGTAGCACTTTGAGATTTTTTGTAAATGTAAAGTGCATTACAAATTAAATGTATTATTATTATTATTATTATGGAGTGCTTTGGCTCACACTATCGGCGTTTTCTGTGAGTGTTGCATAACTTTGGGTGAGCACAGACATGAACGCACTTCAGCCACGTATTTATTTATTCATTTTTCTAGTTTTAAGTGCTGGTCTTGTACTGGCACTGTTCTAGGGCAGCTGTATACACTTACATTTTTCATAGAACTGAAAGCATACCATAGCTATATCGTGGTATATATTGTTATCGTGATATAAAATGATCCATATCGTGATATACATTTTTTCCATATCGACCAGCACTAGAACAAACTGTCAGAAACAGACTCCATGAGGGTGGCACAAGGGCTTCAAGTCCATAAGTGGGGCCAGGCACCGTGGAGTCTGACTGACTGACTGAAGACTAGAGTTTGCAGACTGACTTTGGTGCTTGTTCTTATCAGGTTCAGGCTAAGCACATGTGGCAGGCTGAAGACCGTCTGGAGACTCCATGGAGGAAGTTCCTCCAGCAGGGACCAGTTTGGTGGTGAGTCAGCTACCCTTGGAGGACTGCACAGTCCTCCAGGTGCTAGTCAGAGGTACCTTGACTCTGTTCGGTACCTGAATTAGGTCCTCAGACCCTATTGCAGTGGACCCTGAGTTCTTTGGTGGACCAGGACACTTTCTGGATGAAGAAGGCGTTGATGCTAACTGCCGGCCCGCCTGGTTCCAAGACGTGAATCCAGTCCAGTACCTCTGTGACATCATGTTACACCCCCCACAGGCATGTCCCCCCACAGACTTTCCAGCAGCTGACTGATGCTCTGATCCAGGTCTAGGAGGAGATACCCCAGGTGACCATCAGATGTCTCTTGAGGAGTATACTCAGACGCTCCTGAGTTGAGGACATTCACACGACTGAGACACAAATTCACAGAGTTGGATCAGCCTGTGATCCTGTTTTCCCACTTTGACTCTGAATCCAGACCTCAGTGGGTTCATGGTTTTGGTTTTCATCGATCGTTTTTACGGAATTCTGTTCTCAAGGAATAAAATTTTGTCATTGATAAAGATTTTCAGATGAAATGTTTCATGAATCCAGTTCTGGGATTGAAGTGTTCCCTTTATTGTTTCAGCAGTCTGTTTTTGACCAGGTATCTGACCAGGTGGTTGCTGATGTCACTCATGTCTGTGTTTCCAGGTTGTCTTCCTGTATGAGCGTAGTGGGAACTACCTTTGGTTCGGGGCTTTACGTCTTAAAGGGGACATGGACCGAAGCTTTGCACCGTTCACTCAGCTGGACTTTGGTCGCCATGCAGGTGCTCTGAACAGGTGAAATTTGGATTAAACGAATAAACTTGATGACGATAGTTTCTTTAAAATGGTGTCATCCAGATGGAGTTGTCTGTTTGTTGCCCCCTGCAGGCAGGAGCTGGTCCTGACAGTTCTAGACGGCCTCGATGTTCGAATCCCACGAAACATTACTCGCTTTCTGTATGAGCAGCGACATGCTCGCTTCCTGGAGTGTCGTTACCGTGATGCCCGCAACTTCCTTCAGGTGAGATGAAGCAATGCCTCAGGATTATTTGAAAGTGTAATTTCAAAAGGTCTTTCATATTTCAGGTTCCCATGATTTATGGACCTCTTTGAAATGATCAGGAACTTATTTTGTCGCAATGTTTGCCCCCCCCCCAGCTCTACCCTGATGACTCATCCTCTGCGGCACTGGATTTTAGGAGGAAGGTGAAGTCATTGCTTCATCTGGCGGCACAAACACTAGCTCAGCTTGACGTCCCATTCTGGCTAAGCAGCGGCACCTGTCTGGGTAACATGCTAATACAATGTGCTTAACGGCAAGCTAACCCACAAAGTAAATGCTGGCATGCTAACAACTGTCTCTGTTGTTCTGCCTGCATGTCCATCGCCCCCTGTAGGCTGGTTCAGGCAGTGCAGTATTATCTCTTACAGTCGGGATGTGGATATTGGGATTTTCGTGGTGGACTTTAGACCAGACATCATCTCAGCGTTCAGGAATGCAGGCCTGACGCTCAAACACAAGTTTGGAAAAGTAAAATTTAAATGTTTTAGAGCAGCAAGACTTTTATTTTGAAAGTATTTGTTTTGTTTTGAAAGAACAATATTCTAACTCTTTTTTTTTTTTTTTTGTAACTCAGGTGGAGGACAGTTTAGAACTTTCTTTTCTGAGAGACGACATCAAACTGGACATTTTTTTCTTTTACGAGGACAGAGACATTGTGTGGAACGGAGGAACGCAGGCCAAGAGCGGCAGGAAGTTTAAGTAATATAAATATTAATTATTCTTTATATTTTCAAAATAAAGTTGTTATTTTTGTGTTTAAAAAACAAAGATGCCTTTTTGTACATGCGCATATAAACCCAAAGCAGAAGTTTAAAGAACTAGTGCAAACGGGTATCGTATCTTAAACCTGTATCAGTGTGTCATATTTATGTGTTTTTCCTTTCAGGTACGTCTTCCCTCGCTTCTCGCTCTGCTGGGCTGAGCTGCTAGATCTCAAAGTTCGCGTTCCCTGTGACACACTGGACTATGTGACCGCGAACTACGGCTCCACCTGGAGTGTACCTGTGAGGAGCTGGGACTGGAAGTCCTCACCTAGCAACGTGCAGGAGAACGGGGTGTGGCCTGCAGCAGAGTGGGAGGAGCTTATCCAAGTTTATTGATGGACCTTAGCAGATGTGAGACCGCAAACTGAAAAATAACAAATAAAGCAGAAGCAGAGCAGAAAAAGAGTGGGTTGTTTTTTCTAACCCTTCAGACTGAGACTGAGGCTGTTTTAAGAACAGATAATATAACAGTAATTATAATAATAAAGACATTTTTAATAATGACATTAATAACTTTGTAATAATAAGATTAGGAATGATGGAAGCTGACCTTGTTGGAAGAGTCAATAATAAGAAATGTCGTCAGTTGTTTGTTTTAGCAGTGAACTCTGGAGTTCAAAACACCTGCTGCACCTTTCTGTGTTGACCTATACAGCATTGAGGGTTAAAGGTCACAGTAATACTCAGTACGTTTACATGCACAGTTAAACCACACTAAGCTCATAATTGTTTTTTTTTTTTGCTGGATTGGACTTCTCTCCTTGTCCGTGTATACATGCAGCTGAGAAAATCGAATCATTGACGTGTCTTCCTCCCCAAAACTTGGAGGCGATATGGGTCTTTTCAGCGGTGCTGTTTCAGACCCCATACAACCATCAACAACAACAGCAGGTCCATGCCAGGTGCCTATTCTACGAAGCAGGATCACTGCTTTGCCAGGTAACTTTGTTTGGGGTTTCCTGTTCTACAACGCGGGTCCATTTCTTAGCGAGGCGAGTCTCCATGGCAACGTACGCTGAACGGCTAACCTGCTCCACCTTACATGCGTGCACACACTCATAGCAAAGCTGGATCCACTTACGAGGTTGATAACCAGCGTCGTAAGACCGTTTAGCAAGACCACTGGCTACCGCGCTAAGTTGGTAGCTCCAAGGCTACCCCGCTCAGTTGAACTTGCTTTGTAGAATAGGCCCCAGACGTCAGAAGTGTCTACGGCTCTCCTCACACGAGGACAGCCTCATATTGTCTTGGCATCAGCACCAAAACATGTATCACTGTTTACACATCGTATTGTACATAGGCTTAGTGCATTTACATGCCACGCAAAATCCACACAAAATCCTGTAGTACATACGCCTGGCCTAAAGGTAACACTGGGAAATTGCCACAAAATACCAAAAACAGAGAATGCGCATACATACATGCTGTGTGTGTGACAACATGGGTTGAGGGGCAGGGAGGAGGAGGGGTGCTATGAGGTCACCGTCTTTCCCGGACTTATCTATTTATACCAACTACGGCATGAAGACGAATACCGAGATATCCACCTGCAGACCCGTTTTCCCACGGAGTCATGGACAAACACGTGTCTCCATGTGTCAGCATCACCAAATTGATAGTTTATTTTACCGGTGTCTTACAAAATCGTACTCATGTAAAGACCATCTACAACTGCTTCAACTGGGCATTTTGGAGCAATAAGATGGAGCATCGTACAGCGTTGTTTTTGTCCTACATGATGGACACTTTTCTGCAGCTGAGACGCACGCTACTCCTCTGGTGTTTTTGTTCAAGGGTTACGGGGACGTGGAGCACGTGCACATGCATTATTCGATCATACTCCAACTTTGCTGGTTACATGTTTGAAAAAAATCACATTCCAATCGCATTATCTGGGTGTCTTCATCGGAGTTCTCAAACTCCGATTTGAGTCGGACTAAGGTGTTTACATGCACTTCAGTTGTCCGGTTTTAATCAGAGTAAGGTTTTCTTGAGTGTCATAGAAACGTTCTGAGTATTTAATGGAGCTGGGAGGATAATATGACCTGTTCCCATGGTTACAACTGAAGTGAAAACAAATTTATAAGATCTTAATCTGTTCCATTGAGTCAGAAACACATCTTTACCTGGCAGTCCTACAGTCTGAGCCCCTTCAGAGTAAACACACCTTTACCTGACAGTCCTAAAGTCTGAGCCCCTTTAATTTCATTATTGATGTTAAACATGAAAGAAACACGAAACGGCTCCTTTAATGTTTTTAATATTTAATCATTTTCTGATGATGACGTTTGTCTTCGAATACTTTTCTGCTCCTCACTCTCACACACACACACACACACACACACACACACACACACACACACACACACAAACGCGGAACTGTTTATTCATTGATCTTTAAGTCATTAATCCTGAACCTCACAGTCTCTGCAGCTGTTAGCATGTTCTTAGCATGTTTCCTTTTTTTTTCACTCCCGGTGGTGGCTGCTGACGTCACTCCGCCGTCTCGCGCTGTCCCTCCTTGTGGACCACGAGGCCCTTACTAATTAGGTCCGGTACCTCCACGGCCAGCCAGGGTCCGAGTCCGAGCGCCATGAGGTGCGCGAGCCCGAACCGCGGTGCATTCCGGGCCCAGAGTGGCGCGAAGTGTTCCGTCAGGCAGATCTTCCCGCCCCGGTACATCTTGGCGGTCTTCCCGTCCAGCTCCGGGACCGCCACCTCGGGCGCGGTGTCCGGATACGTCACTGGGACGTCAAACTCCAGCCGGAACTCATAACGCAGGAGGTCGTGGATGAACCAGCAGGTCCCGGTCCAGCGCGTGCCGTCCGCGTTGGACTCGAGCCTGAACCAGTCGTTGTCGGCCTCTTTGTTCTGCTCCACGAACTTGATCAGGGCCTGGTACTCCTCCTTCAGACGCAGCGGCCACAAGGATCGGTCCCGCGGTCCCGCGTGCGTCTTCAGCAGCGGAATCTGCGACACGGCCCTGCGCGTGGCGTCGTCCGCCATGATGGAAAAGTTCAACAGTTAAAATTCAGTTTCGAACCGACCGGTACCGCTCTGCCCGAAGTTCTGACTGTAAATACACAAACTGACGTGGACTTCCGGGAGGACTGACCCTGCTCCAAGTTAACAACGTTCACTTCCTGTATGGGATTTTCAAATTAAAATCTCCACCATGTTTCAGTTACCTCCCCCCGATGAAATGGTTCCAGGACCACAGTCAGATCTAAACTCGTGCTGCTCCTCAAAAGTTCTCTAGAGACTCCAAAGACACCTGAGAAACAAACAAACACGCGCGCGCGCGCACACACACACACACACACACACTTGTGTGACAGTAAATATTCAAACAGCAGACTCCTCTGTATGACAGGAAATCAGGGGTGTGGCTAAATATACTGAGGGACAGGTGAGGTAATGTCACAAATGTCGAACTACAGCCTAAAAACTACAGAGTACAGAAAACAACAATCTACAAATGAACTACAGATCTCCTACAAAACTGAAAACTAACATACCACAGAACAAACTACTGACCAACAACTACAAACTACAGACTGACAATAACTCACAACAAACTACAGACCAAAGTACAGTTCAACAGCTAGAAACCACAGACCCATAAAAACAACTCCAGACAACTGACAACCAAGACAAAATCTAGAGCAAAAACTACAAACTACCAAACTCTAGGGTCAGTACCACCCTGGGGGGTATTCCATCAAGCTCGCTTAGCTCAAAGTCTGGCTTAAATGGCCAAGTTTTGCTTATTTTAGTGAGAGTTGAGTTTCACCAATGTGGCTAAGATTAGCTCCAACTTGGTAACCATGGAAACATGGTTCTGGCTAAGCCGGACACTTGGAGCTAAGCTCTGACTTTCGGTTCCATCAACCTGAGCCTCAATTCTGTTCCATCAAAATGGTTAACACGAATGCCAGCCTTGTAACCATGGTGACTTATGCTGCCGGCCAAACCTGGTCTGGAGCAGGATTAAGGTGAAGATTAACTCCACTAATGTCCAAAAAAATGTCCAAAAGACATGTCTGTTTTGCATTTACATACACAATGCACTGATAAACTAATTTGTGAAACCAAAACGTGCTTTCCATCCACTTTGTAACTAAAAGTGCATTTGGTAAGTATTATGATTTTGTAAAAAATAAAAATCAATCTGTTTTCGTTTATCTTGATTGCATCCTTATAGATAAAGATGAATAAAATAAAATAAATAACAATGAATAAATTTAAAGGTATGATTAAAACACGTAGAGGAAGCCTACATCAGTCACCTAAAATGTCCTCCAATCGACTGCCCCTGACAGTCAATGATGGCAAGGTGTAGACTATTAAGCAGTGCAGTCAAGACAGGCAGGGGGGACACACATTCAGCAGAGACAAAGACTAAGAGAACATGGCATGTCCATTCATTGAGGATGAGGAGCCAATTGATGAAGGGGCACAAATAATTCAAAGGGCCTTCTTCAGGCGACCACCAGCCCCGAGGGTCTTCCAGGAGAGGAGAGGAGGAACACAGTCACAGCTTTACAGTTATATTTACTAATACATTTCACATTATTACAGTTATTATGCGTCACTGACCATTTGAAAGGATGTTTTTATATTTTATTTTGACCTGTTGCCAGGTGCGTTTCTGGCCTCCAAGGTTGCTTCTGTTTGGACAGTAAAAGGAGGTTAATAAAAGACACAGTGAATGCGGAGTGAGTTTTAGTTAGTTCCTCATCCTACTGCACAGACATGAAGGTAAAATGAAGGAATTAGCTCCTTTTTATGCAACAAGAGAATCAATTAACCCCTGCAAACATTTAAACAGCGCTCCTCTGAATAGGGGGAATTAGGTAAATGAGATAATACATGATCAATTGTGTGATAAATGTTTTGCATATAAAACAAATTGATTATAGCCACTTCAACTTCGATTATAAATCTGATTAAATCACTATCTGTAGCCTACAACTTGTCTTGTAGTGAATTTCTTTAATTTTACAGCCTAAATTACAATTCTGTTATGTCAAACAGGTTGTATCATTAACATTGAGACGGGATTATCATCTGAAATAATGAATGGATGAAACATCACTTACGCATTTAGCCTGTCGGCAATTGTCTTCCATGCTGCCTCTCTCACTTTGTTTATTTGAGCGGTGTTACCTTTTTTAGTTATTATATCACAGTAATCATCATATAACTCCATAAGGAGGTTTTGTTCAGCAGCAGAGAAAATCTCTGCCCGTGATTCTGCGTCATTCTGAGCCATTTTGCAACACTTTCAGCACTCGACTTGTTGGGTCTTTTTATATTCCGCGGGGAGGCGCTCAGTGTGAGGCTTAACAGGTGAGGCTAGAATTAGCGTCAAGTGGAGCCAGCTGATCTCGTTTGATGGAACGGGTTGGGGCTAGGTTTGGAGTTGCCGTTAATTCAAGCTTCAAGATTACACCATAGTCCCGATTTTCTTAGCGACTTTGATGGAATACCCTGGTCATCAGGTTTTTGAGTTTATGTGTATGGTTGTGTGTGTATGTCATATTGTGTTTATTTAAAGAGACAAAGTTATGGACACAAACACACATCTCCTACTAGACCATTGTCTTCTCTTTTGTACTTCTCTGTATTTCTGCACCGTGAGGCTGGAGAGAAACTGCTATTTGGATTCCTGTGTGTGTACCATAGACTGTATATAGAATATGTGTATATTGTATATTATATGTATACAGTATAAATAGTCTATGGTATGTACTCACTGCAGAAATTGATGATTAAAAAAACTTGGTCTTGATCTGAATCCAGGATCCTGCAGGTGAGTTGGTTCACCTTCGTGTTGGTGGATTAAAACTTGTCAGCTCTGTGTAAATACTGACTGCAACAACAACGTGGGACTGTGGATTTATTGATTATTAATTAATTTATTTATTTATTGATGCAGAGTGGATTTATCAGACTACAGGGGCTCAGAATAACAGCTGGTGTTGTGATGTCCGACCATAGACTGTATATACTATGGACAACTTGGTTCCGCCTACCGCCTGTATACGGATTTGAAGCTAAAAAGCTCTCTGTATTTCCGGGATTTTTCTTCATTTCCTGAAACCATGCGTGCATTCGGCCGTGCAGTCGCCGAGGCGTTATTTGGAATCCCACATCAGTTCTAGGCAAACCCCGCCTTCTTTGCTCCACAGGCCTGGTGATGCAAACAAACACTGCCCTCTTTGCTCCACAGGCCTGGTGACGCAGGCAAACCACGCCCTCTTTGCTCCACAGGTGCAGATATCTTTTAATTTCGGTGCTGGCTGTTTAAACTACACACGCATGCTGAGGAAGAATTTGCCATTTTCGTCATGCAATGCTCGTCTTCAACAATTCCTTCGACCGAGGAAAAACGGTAAATTATAGATCCAATAATACAGATCCAAAACAACCCCACCAAACTCTCCACAGCCTGGCACATGTTTGGGCGCTACAACAACACCAGGTTGGCATCGGTTCGATTGACTTATGTGCATTAAGTGCATCGGTTCCTAAAGAAGGCATGCTGATTTTGGGAGACAATGCACTGTTCTTGAACTTCAGAGATGAATAAAGAGACTAACAATTATTTCTTGTCCATTTTTTGGGTGATAGAATACAGGGACAGAATACACAAATCTTTTTGTCTGATGGAGCAAACTTACGCTAAAAAGAGTGCAGATTTTAGTGTACTCTTGTATTTAACCATATTGTGTTTATTGATTGTGGATAATAAATTTAACCACCCTGGTTTCCTGATAACAAAATTAGCAGACCTACAAGCTCACAACACAAGTGTTCAGAGGGAAATGAGGCTTGAAGAGACTAAAGACATAGGTTGGGATTATATATATATATATATATATATATATATATATATATATACATACCATCAATGTATTAGAAGTAATGCTAAGTTGGGCTGCATATCATTAGCTTGTATAAATAGGATCTTATAAATCAACTTGACGTTCAGAATGGAGGTATGTACAATAAAACTGTGCTGCTGTGGTCATGCAGTGTGGAGAATTGCCTTCCTGCAAACACGAACGACCTAATAAATGTATAGATGCCAAAACAAAACATAGCGGTGGGGCTTCCTGCTTCTGAACAGCGTGGGTGGGGTTTGTTTGCATTACCAGGCCTGTGGAGCAAAGAGGGCGGGGTTTGCCTAGAACTGATGTGGGATTCCAAATAACGGTGCCCCGAGAGTCACTTGCTGTGTCCGAATGGCCCGCTCGCATACTACATGCCACTGCTACATACTACTGCTAGATCCTACTCCTACATACTAAACACGTTGGCCCAATTCGGACACACTAGACGAGCGGTGGAGAAAGATGACCCCCGTAGGCAGAGAGTAGGTACTGCGCCCGTTTTAGACTCTTTGAATGGTAATTGTGCAAGTGATGGATGCTGCTGTATTATATTCCTGCACTGCTTTAGAAATTCACAAAGTAGCTTTTCCATTACTTTTAGCCTTCATTTACTCACATGGTGATCGTTTGTTCAATGAGATCTGCCTGATTACTGCAGCTGTGCAGTTTAATGATGGAATAAGTGAGCTTTACATCCATGATGTCGTTACGTATTTGCTCATAAAATGATTACTTGGGCAAATATGAGATACAACCGCACATTTTTTAGGACAGTGTGCGAAGTTACATGAAACTTACATCTGTACTGCTGCGGTCCTGCCTGCTGATGCTGCTCCGCCATGGTGCGCACTGCTGTGGCCAGCTGGCGTTCGCGACGCATCTAAATAGGCAACAGCTGGTGGCACTAGCATCACATGCGCTTCTACAACTTTTAAGAGGACAAAGAAGAAGCCCAAGGTGCATTTTGGGTCAGTAGCATGCCCGTAGGATGCACCGCGACCATCCTACAATGTGGGCGTGTCTAGTATCTGAAGTAGTATCAGAAGTAGCATGCTACTCGCTCCGGTGGCCAATTCGGACATGCTACATACTACTTCGACTACTACTTCGACTACCACTTGGCAATTCGGACGCAGTCCTCCGGGTGAGCTACGCAATCCATGAACGCCCATAGGCTGTATCAGGTGTCAATCATAGAAAACATAGCAGCAGAGGGC